AGTTATTGCAAGCCAAGATTCACTTGTGATTTCAGATTATGGTCTGCCGGCTGCAAACTGACCATCGTTTTAGGGAGCTCGGTTGGGTTTGTATATGCAAACAAGCCAGAGTTAAGCTAAACAGGATGTGGTTTTGTATTACTCCTAATCCAGCCTCTGTCTGAATATTTTGGAAATTTTAAATTCACAATCATTGCCTCCCATGCTGAGTGTATTTATGTGCAGTAGGGGGTCCTGAGGGACACACGTGGCGCTGTGGTCTAAACCACAGAGCCTAGGGCTTGCCGATCAGAAGGTCGGTGGTTCGAATCCCCGCGACGGGGTGAGCTCCCATTGCTCGGTCCCTGCTCCTGCCAACCTAGCAGTTCGAAAGCACGTCAAAGTGCAAGTAGGTAAATAGGTACCTCTCCGGCGGGAAGGTAAACAGCGTTTCCATGCGCTGCTCTGGTTTGCCAGAAGCGGCTTAGTCATGCTGGCCACAGGACCCGGAAGCTGTACGCAGGCTCCCTCGGCCCATAAAGCGAGATGAGCACCGCAACCCCAGAGTTGTCCGCGACTGGACTTAATGGTCAGGGGTCCCTTTAACTTTACCTTTAGGGGGTCCTGACCTTATTGTTTTTGGTGCTACAGCTAGCTGCAGCTAATAATTTTGCTGCAGCTAATAATTTTTGGATCAGCTTTTTATGTTCTAATATCGTTTTCATTCCTGATGTCAAGGCCATCCCATGGGTTGCAATTTAAATTATGCTGTGTGCTTTCTGTAATAGCAGTCTGTCTCGTTTCTAAACTGACTTAGATGCGACTTAGATGCGAGGATCCGTCCATCAAAAAACGGAAATGTCTGCCTGCCTCTGAATACAATTTCTAACACAAACCGTTTCCAGAATGTTATGGCCTAGTCTGGAAAACCATTCCAGGATCCACAAGCATCCCTCCCCTCCTGACAAATGCTGGGTTCAGCGCGAAGCCGTAGGCTTGTGTAAAGTCATAAGAACATAGGAAGATCTTGTGCTGGATCAGGCAAGGGGCATCTGGTCCAGCATCCTGTTCTCACAGCGGCTGACCAGATGTCTCCATGGGGAGCACACAAGCTGGACCCGAGCGCAAGAACATTCTGCCCCCTGCGATTCCCAGCAACCGCCACTAGGGGGCATGTGACCTCTGGCAGTGGAGATGGAACAGCAGGGGGCCAGTCCACTGTCCCTTAGACCTTGTGGGGGGCCGGACTATATTTTTTTTTTGGGGGGGGGGAATAATGAATTTCCTATGCCCCACAAATAACCCAGAGATGCATTTTAAATAAAAGGACACATTCTACTCATGTAAAAACGCAATGATTCCCAGACCGTCCGCGGGCCGGATTTAGAAGGCGATTGGTCCGGATCCGGCCCCCGGGCCTTAGTTTGCCTACAGAACATGGCTATCCCTGGTTGGACTGAATTTATCCAATCCTGTTTGAGAGCCATCCGCACTGGGAATTCTGGCTTTGATGTTGGTTAATGTAAGTTCGGCTTGTAAAGCCTGGAATGATAATCTGAACTGGCCTGCTAAATGTGCGTGTTTGCATTAAATGCTGAAGGCAGCTTTGTTTAGGGAAGTTTTTAACGTTTGATGTTTTATCATGTTTTAATGTTCTGTTGGAAGCCGCCCAGTGTGGTTGGGGAAACCCAGCCAGATGGGCGGGGTATAAATAAATAAATAAATAAATATTATTATTACAGTGGTACCTCTGGATGCGAACGGGATCTGTTCCGGAGACCTGTTCGCATCCTGAAGCGAACGCAACCTGCGTCCGTGCGTCTGTGCTTGTGCGGGTCGCGATTCGCCGCTTCTGCACATGCGCACGACGTCATTTTGAGCGTCTGCGCATGCAGCGAAACCCAGAAATAACACGTGCCATTACTTCTGGGTCGCCACGGAGTGCAACCCAAAAAGGCTTAACCTGAAGTGACTTCAACCCGAGGTATGACTGTATTATTATTATTATTAACTAATTAATTACATTTTTATACCTCCCTATACCCGCAGGTCTCAGGGTGGTTCACGGGATAAAATTACAATATAAAATCACAAAATACATTATCAAAGTCAAATAAGAACAACCCAGTAACACCTCCCAACACATTTTAAAAGAGCATTGGATGTTTTTGCCTAGTGCCGAAAAGTGTATAATGAAGGTGCCAGGCGAGCCTCCCTGGGGAGAGCATTCCTCAAATGGGGAGCCACTGCAGAAAAGGCCCTGTTCTCATGTTGCCACCCTCTAGATCTCTCGTGTAGGAGGCGCACGAAGAAGGGCCTCACAAGATGATCTCAGGGTAGGTTCATATAGAAAGAGGCGGTCCTTGAGGTATTGCGGCCCTGAATTGTTTAAGTTACTAGAAAGTAGATTCTGACTGAACATCAGGAATAACTTTCTGGTTGTAAAAGCAGTTCAACAGTGAAACAGACTCCCTTGGGAGGCTGGATGGCCATCGGAATCCCTTTCAACTCTGCAATTCTCTAATATATATAATTGCATGTTTGGCAACTTAAAAAAAAAAAAATTATATTGATTTTCTTTTCTCAAAACAAATATCCAGTAATATTGCTAAACATACATTTCCCAATCCACTCCCCCCACCCCCCATTGACTTCCCTCAACTACCATTTCTGGTTTATTACATCAGATGATACATTCTGCTGCTTATATACATTACTATGTTATCACGTATACCTAGTTAAAGCTATGGTTTTCCCAGTAGTGATGTATGGAAGCGAGAGCTGAACCATAAAGAAGGCTGATCGCCGAAGCATTGATGCTTTTGAATTCTGGTGCTGGAGGAGACTCTTGAGAGTCCCATGGACTGCAAGAAGATCAAACCTCTCCATTCTGAAGGAAATCAGCCCTGAGGGCTCACTGGAAGGACAGATCCTGAAGCTGAGGCTCCAATACTTTGGCCACCTCATGAAAAGAGAAGACTCCCTGGAAAAGACCCTGACGCTGGGAAAGATGGAGGGCACAAGGAGAAGGGGACGACAGAGGACAAGATGATTGGACAGTGTTCTCGAAGCCACAAACATGAGTTTGACCAAACTGCAGGAGGCAGTGGAGGACAGGAGTGCCTGGTGTGTTCTGGTCCATGGGGTCAGGAAGAGTCGGACACGACTAAACGACTAAACAACAACAGTGTTATCACATTGTTGTACTTCCTGTTCTCTGTAAATAAAATTGTAAATGTTTATTTAAATCCAGCCAGCGAGACCATTTATTTCTGTTGTTTTTGCAAATGTATTGTAAAGGGTTCCCATTCTTTTTCAAAGTCACTATTGCCCTTTTCACGCGGTTTGTCCATTAACTTTGCTAACTCTGCCTAGTTCATCAACTTTTCTTGCCATCATGTTTGGCAACTTTTAATGGGCGCAAGTCTGCTGAATGGTGACTTTAAAGCAACCTTCGCTCTGTACTATTGATCCATAGTTTGTGGATTAAGTCTGTCTCTCTGTTTTGCAGTATCCGTAAAATAGTAGATGTGATTTAGAGCCGCCTTTCTCAGCCTGCTAGTCCAAGATACCTGGAGGGCGCAACTCCTATTAGCCCCAGTCAACGCACAGGCCGTAAAACTTTATTCTCGGAAGTGTCAATTGCTGTCAGCCTATTCGCGTGGCTGGGATAGTAGAAAACATCCAGAAAACACAAGGCTGCAGGAAACTGATTCTCCCACCGCTGAGGACGATGCTGTGAGAAGCAGTGCCTCTCAAAATTCTCCTTTCTTAAGGGCTCGCTTGTTACAGGTCTGAAGATTGTGAGTTTACTTCCTGTTTGTACCTGAAAAGAAGGGCTGTGTTGTCAACAAAGATCTGACCCAGGTGGGAGCGTAGAGAAGTTAAAAAATTTTGGGCAATGATATACAATGATCTGAAAAAAATGTTTAAAATGACATTTGTGAAAAAAATCCCAGAAGCATTTCTGTTAGGGATTCTATGACAAGACCTGCCAAGAAAAATAAAGAACTTATTTATGTATGCTACAACGGCGGCAAGAGTCTTGATAGCACAAGGATGGAAGAATGAGGAAATCCCAACGAAAGAACAGTGGCAAGAAAAATTGATGACTTATGCAGAACTGGCTAAATTGACATACAAACTGCGAGACGAGGACAACTGTGACTTTAAGGAAAAATGGGAGCTTTTTACAAATTATCTAAAAAGACAACAAAATGAACAAAATGAACTGGACTCCTTGGCAGGGTTTGAATAAACATACACAAATTTATTGGTTGATAACATGATAGATAGATATGTACAAGTTTATAACATGCAGAGAATAACATGTGCTGAGAAATCAGAGAGAGGAGCTGAGGGAAGTCTTGGGGGGGAGGGGGGGTTGGATGGGGGGAAGGGGGAAAAAAGGGGGGGAATGATGAATATGATCTGTTGTGAAATGTTGTTTTGTTGGAAAGGCTAATAAAAAATATTTAAAAAACAAAAAACAAAGGTCTGACCCAGCAGGAGAAGTCATGAGGCACAGAGGAGACAACATTTTGCTCTCCCATTAAAGGTAAATGTAAAGGGACCCCTGAGCATTAGGTCCAGTCGTGACAGACTCTGGGGTTGCAGTGCTCATCTTGCTTTATTGGCCGAGGGAATCGGCGTACAGCTTCCAGGTCATGTGGCCAGCATGACTAAGCCGCTTCTGGCGAACCAGAGCAGCGCACGGAAACGCCGTTTACCTTCCCGCCGGAGAGGTACCTATTTATCTACTTGCACTTTGACGTGCTTTCAAATTGCTAGGTTAGCAGGCGCTGGGACCGAGCAACAGGACCCCCCCCATCACGGGGATTCGAACCACCAACCTTCTGATCTGCAAGTCCTAGGCTCTGTGGTTTAACCCACAGCGCCACTTGCGTCCCGCTCTCCACAAAAGCCAGAAAATCACATTCAGCGTAAAGAGCAAGTCGACCCTCTGCTTCTCTTTGGAGCCCAGTCCAGGGCAGGATTGTCCACAGGTGTAATGAAGAGCCGCAGCTCAGTAGGAGAGCATTTGCTCAGCATGTAAATAGCCCTTGGTTCCATCCCCAGCATCTCCAGGTAAAAGGCTGGGATGTCCTCTGTCTGAACTCTGGAGAGCTGCTGCCAGTTAGTGCAGACAGAATTGAGCTTACAGGGTCTGTCAGCTTTCTGCATTGCTATTTATACTCCCTAGACAAACCTAGCCAGCATCCTAAAAAGCAGAGACATCACCTTGCCAACAAAGGTCCATATAGTTAAAGCTATGGTTTCCCCAGTAGTGATGTATGGAAGGGAGAGCTGGACCATAAAGAAGGCTGATCGCCGAAGAATTGATGCTTTTGAATTCTGGTGCTGGAGGAGACTCCTGAGAGCCCCATGGACTGCAAGAAGATCAAACCTATCCATTCTGAAGGAAATCAGCCCTGAGTGCTCACTGGAAGGACAGATCCTGAAGCTGAGGCTCCAATACTTTGGCCACCTCATGAGAAGAGAAGACTGCCTGGAAAAGACCCTGATGTTGGGAAAGATGGAGGGCACAAGGAGAAGGGGATGACAGAGGACAAGATGGTTGGACAGTGTTCTCGAAGCTACCAGCATGAGTTTGACCAAACTGCGGGAGGCAGTGGAAGACAGGAGTGCCTGGCGTGCTCTGGTCCATGGGGTCACGAAGAGTCAGACACGACTAAACAACAACAACAACAATTTATTCTCCCAGTCCAGCTGGGAAGTGGGGATGGAGAGGCCTGTCCCCTTTAGCCAACGTCTGGAAAGTTCTTTGGCTAGTTGTTTTCTGGGGCAACCAGTCAACACCGTATTCTTCCGGCGTAAATTTAGCTAGAGGTGTAACTTAACAAAGAGTCTGCTTTGAGCTCTTTATCAGGGTTTTCTGTATAATCCCATTTTGCAGATAAAAGCACGAGCTTTGGGGAGATTCTGCTTATAATATCCAGACTCACTGCCCACCCACCCTGGTTGGCATCTGTCAATCTTAGGAGACAATGGAAGAATGTGTCTTCGGGGATGAAGTCAAATCGATGGAGAGTTATAGCACCTGCTGTGACTATAGAGATCCTATAACACTATTGCTCCATCTTAGAAATGATGAATTGAGGTGGAGGGACGTGGGCGGGAAGTGACTTGCCTAAAAGCCACCTACTTAATTGTATCTTTCAGCAGAGATTTGAATGGAAATCTCTTGATATGTGCTTAAAATCCAGCATTACTAGCTGTTGGCCAAGGCTGTCATGCACCAACATGAGCTTGGGAGCCAATGTACGGCTCCCATCTTCTGAGTCAGCTTAGCCAGTCGTTGGGATGATGGGTGCTGCAGTCTGATCTAACTGAGCCCAGATGGGATGTGGGGAAGCCACTCTTAGGATAAAATGCCCCCACAAGGTGGAACCTCAGAGAGTTGTTTTGTGAGGCTATCCAGTGAAATAGTGAGGGATATTTACTTCTGCTGAAATTAAAATATTGAAATGGCTTTGTTCCTCTATTTTGGCTCAGCCTGTGGTTGCTTAGTTACAGGAATTGTTCTGCTTTCAGGGCCTTGGATGAATATATATGCAAATATGCAAGAGACAACTTCTGTTGCCAATTTAGGTCCTTCTGGTGTACCATCCAAATGTTGCATGAATGAGAAACATTCTGCTTATGAAGATGGCAGGCTGTGCAATTATGTCTTGTTTTCATCTTCTGCAGCCCTCTGCATGCTGTGACACACTGTAGCTGCCACAGGTTTTTTGAGTACAATATTTCAGGTGGCATGATCTGAATTTGCGACGTCTCAGAGACGGGCCTAGGAGACAGGACTGGAAGAGAGTCTGGCATGTGGATCTTGGGGGGGGGGGGGCTCTCACGTTTGACCCGCAACATCCGTCCGCCACATTCAGATGTGATCCTTTAGAGCAGTGTTTCTCAAACTCAGGTCCCCAGACGTTGTTGGACAACAACTCCCATCATCCTTAGCTGGCAGAACCGGTGGATGGGGATGATGGGTGTTGTAGTCTAACATCAGCCAGGGACCCAGATTTGAGAAACGCTGCTTTAGAAACTCGTTCAGAGGTGTGCATGCAGTTGGGAGGAGGCAAAATGAGTAAATTGTGAGTTTTGGGAAAAGGTTGCATGGACCCTGCAAATGCTGGGGATTTCATATAAGCAGAAGGTTATTTGTTTTTTTAAGGATTGAACGAATAGTGCTGGCTTTATAATAAAGGTGGCACATTATTTCTTTAGAATGCTCCAGCGGTGTCCTGCTGACATTGGCTATGTTTGCATGTCACTGTAAGCCAGATTTTGCCCACTGAGTGCCCTCCATATGTTTTGCACTACAACTCCTATGTCGTCCAAAACATCTGGAAGGCACTGGGTGGGCAAATGTAAACCATGGTGTCAGGGAACTGCCATCGGCTCAGAGGCGAGAAATAGAAGGGCAGCTGTGTTACAGGGAGCCTCCGAACATCTTGCGAAGCAGTTCCTCTTCCGGGGAGGAGGAAAGCCCCACCTCCAGTAGGGAAGAGGTGCAAGGACCAGAGGGTGCTAGTGGGAACCTTAACACCGCTCCTGAGCAAGCCGGAGGGGAGGGAAGCACGCCCTTGTCAGTGCCCATCCTGCGCAGTAGTCTGAGGCACAGAGAGGGGCGGAGACGGTTGGGGGTAACGAAACTTTTATGCTGGGGGAGGTACAAAAAAAGACCACTCCCGGATTCTGCTAGCGATTGAGCCAGACATGAACTTATGATGCTCTGCACTGTAAATAGTAAAGGTAAAGGGAGCCCTGACCATTTGGTCCAGTCGTGACCGACTCTGGGGTTGCGGCGCTCATCTCGCTTTATTGGCCGAGGGAGCCGGGGTACAGCTTCCGGGTCATGTGGCCAGCATGACTAAGCCGCTTCTGGCGAACCAGAGCAGCGCATGGAAACGCCGTTTACCTTCCCACTGGAGCAGTACCTATTTATCTACTTGCACTTTGACGTGCTTTCGAACTGCTAGGTTGGCAGGAGCAGGGACCAAGCAATGGGAGCTCACGCCGTCGCGGGGATTCGAACCACCGACCTTCTGATCGGCAAGTCCTAGGCTCAGTGGTTTAACCCACAGCGCCACCCGTGTCCCCTGTACTGTAAATAGTTTGCACCAAAATAAAGCCTGTAAAAGACAGGTTGGAGTCCTGCCTGGTTACTCTCGAGCAACTGCAACAGCCATCTGACACATGGTTTACTGTGTGTGGGTAGCATGCTGTCGAAGGGTCCCTGTTTCACTTCTCCGTTCCTCAAGCTGGTGGCAACAAACCCTGGCTTTTCATCCCGGGCGAACCAGTGTTCATGGTTTGTTTGTGCCGAACAAACCGGGACATGAAGCCAAGGTTTTGTTCTTGGCTGATGGGTCATTTTGAACAAATGAGGGCTACATTCTATCTACCCCCACTATTGGAGGCAGAAAATGCTTCTGAATACCAGTTGCTGGAAACTGCAGGAGGGGAAAGGGCTCTTGTGCCTGGTTCCCGGTTGCGGGATTTTCAGTGTGGCTGCCACTGTGAGAAAGCGTGTTCTCCCTCATGGAGAGCACGTGTTGCCGTGGGGTCCACCAGGCCACCCCTCTGTTGCCAGGCAGGATTACTAAGGAAGCATGTGGCAACGATTGGATGGCTGGGTTGCTGGGTGTTATGTACTGAGTTGAATAGGATCCAAAAGGCAGCAGTCTGATTGGTCCTAGAACAATGCAGCAGTATGATTGGTCCGCAGGAGCCACCCAATCCAGCTCCAGGTGGAAGTGAATCCACAACCTGATTGGCCTACAGGAGAATCCCGGTATTAGCCAATCACGTGCGGCCCATTGTGTAAATAATGTATATAAAGCAGATATTGTGGGGGAACTTCCATTCCTCCTCACCACTATGAGCTGAATAAAGAGCATGAAATCCACACTCGACTCTGAGTATATTTCACTGGGGTAAATCCTATGTTGCAATTTGGTGGGAGGGTTCAGATGTTTTAAATCTTGTGAACGCAGCTTGGAGCTTTCTCTTTCCGTTGTGTGCAACGGATCACCCGCCCGCCCACCCTAATTTTATGGGTTTTGCGTTGACTTTGCTATGCCTGTCATGGGGTCGTCTGCCGTTGGGGCAGGGGCCTGGTAGGAATTTTGTCCATCTGGCTGATTGGCTGGTGCCATTTGGTTTTTGCTTACCGCGTAGCAAAACGTCACAACTTGTAAGGTTGCGGTTAGGCATTGGTTATCAATTGGTTGGAGGAGGGGTTAGGATTGGCTGGGCCTTCCCCTCCAAGGTTTCTGCGGAAAGGGAATTCCGTTAAAGGAATCCAGGGGCTTGCCATCTTTTCGTCCGAATCCCTGGAATGGGGCTAGGGCCGGCAAGCCCTGGGGAGCATGTGGGGAGAAGTGAGGGTCTGTGCCTCAGCTCCATTTCTCCCCAATATTGTTTTCCCTTACTGGCTTTCGGTGGTGCCCGGAAGTCAGTTCGGTCCCCAGGCGGGGGGACAGATAGTCTTAACCAATGCCTAAACAACCACTCGCATTTATGTATTTCAATAAAGTTGTGGCCAAAATATGCCAAAAACCTTAAACAAAATTTATGTGTGTGTTGTGAGTTATTTGAGGGGTGGCTTGGGGACCTCGACACGCAAGAGGATGCTGTACAAGAGCAGGCTGTTCTGATGTCATTTTTGTTGCCTCACAGATAAAAAGAACTTGGCATCAAAAATGTTGATGTGGCTAGAAATTAGGGGGGCACAGGAAGTGTAATCCATCTTGGGTTAGGAAAGAGAATGCCAAGTGTCTTTGTACCTGTGGAGTGTTTCTGCTTTCTCATCCTTTGCTCTGTGGCGCTTTGAAAACCTCTTTGGCCTTTTTATTTATTTTAATTTTTTCGCTTCAGACTGGCTAGAGCCAAGGAAAGATGAATGCACATATGGCAAAACCCCCAAAAGGCACCGGATATGCGCAGCTTTTATCAGAGCTGTGGGCAAATTAGGCCAGGATTTGAATTATTGAACGTTCTCACCATTCTCGAAGCTGCCTAATGGAGCATTATCTCAAGTGTAGCCAGAGAGCTGCATGAATCAAGCTTCAGATTGTTTTACGACCCAGCCCGTGCCATGCTGATCTGTAAGTAAGTTCTGTTCTGTTGCAACAGGAGGGACTTTCCAGCATGCATAATTAGGATTTCAGCCCTGCAGCCCTGTTCTCGCCATATTTCTGTTGGCATCTGTCTGCCTTGTGAGACAAATGGAGCGTGCTTCCGGAGGTGAAGTCAAACCGCAGGCCTGGGCATCACCTCCCTCATGTGGTCCAAAGAAAAGCAGAGCTAGATGTTTGGCACCAGTTTGGCTGCAGGGGTTGCTGGAAGGAGGTGTACAAGGCGTCAGCCGACTGCCTTTGTGCTGGTCCCGGGGGGAGTTACCGTGCGGCGTGGTCTAAGTCCGGTCCTAGGTCAAGGGTACTGAGGCTGTCCGTCAGGGGTGAAGCGAGGTCCAAAGCGAGGTGTCGGGCGTGGTCAGGAACTCAGGAGAGCAGGTCAGGATGCCGGCAGGAACAGGTTTCCAGCGATGTTGCTCCCGCAACCTGGGACTGGGCTGACTGGCCTTTATCTCCTCTGGGGCCTAGGGCGGTCCCAGCCCACAGGTGACTCACCTCTCCTGGCCTTAAGGCGAGCGCTCCTCCTGATAGAACTTAGTTCCCTCCGCCTCTCTGCCCTGAGCCTCTGCAGCTCAGGAGAGGCTGGAGGGTTACTGGACCCAGGGGCAGCTTCACCTTCCCCTGACAGGGCTGGGAGAGGCGCACCTGCAGGCAATGGGTCCTCAATCACCTCCGGAGCCAGAGTGGATACATCTGGTGTCTGCTCCAGCACAGGTGCAGACCCTTCAGATTCAAGCCCCTGCCCCGGCTCAGCCGGCCCTGGAGGCGGAGACTCCTGTGCAGGCTGGGATTCCTCAGGTTCAGCCTCTGAATCAGATTCCCAGGCCATCACAAAAGCAGAGCAAGATGTTTGGTACCAGTTTGGCTGCAGGAGTTGTCGGAAGGAGGCGTACAAGGCATCAGCCAACCACCTTAGAGACTCCACTCTGGATTTGTGTAGGGCAGGCTTCCTTAACCTCGACCCTCCAGATGTTTTTGGCCTACAACTCCCACGATCCCTAGCTAGCAGGACCAGTGGTCAGGGATGATGGGAATTGTAGTCTCAAAACATCTGGAGGGCCGAGATTGAGGAAGCCTGGTGTAGGGCATGGGTAGGCAAACTAAGGCCCGGGGGCCGGATGCGGCCCAATCGCCTTCTAAATCCGGCCCGCAGATGGTCCGGGAATCAGCTTGTTTTTCCATGAGTAGAATGTGTGCTTTTATTTAAAATGCATCTCTGGGTTATTTGTGGGGCATAGGAATTCATTTACAGTGGTACCTCTAGATACGAACGGGATCCGTCCCGGAGCCCCGTTCGCATCCTGAAGTGAACGCAACCTGCGCCTACGCATCTGCACGTGCGCGGGTTGCGATTCGCTGCTTCCGCGCATGCGCATGATGTCATTTTGACCGTCTGCGCATGCGCGAACAGCGAAACGAAACCCGGAAGTAATGCGTTCCATTGCTTCCGAGTCTCCGCGGAGTGCAACCCGAAAGCGCTCAACCTGAAGCAACTTCAACCCGAGGTATGACTGTATTTATTTTTTCAAAATATAGTCCCACCCCCCCACAAGGTCTGAGGGACAGTGGGCCAGCTCCCTGCTGAAAAGGTTTGCTGACCCCTCCTGTAGGGTTGACTCCTGAGGCTTTTCTTCTTCTGTCCCACGTGGCAGCTGAGGTTTAGGATCAGTTTTTGTTGTCCTAGATGAACTACCTTCCCAGGTGGATGAGCCCCACCTGCCCCTCACTTCCCTCTACAGCCCATGCAGAAAACACCTTCTTGACCATTGGGCCCAACATTGGCCTCATTCGCTCAATTCAGCGGAGCCTGTCTTTGCAGGCAGGGTGAGTCGCTACTCACTGCGGGTTTGAGACCCATCAGCTGACTGAGACCATAGCTGTCAACTTTACCCTTTTCTTGTGAGGAATCCTATTCAGAATATGGGAATGTCCCTTAAAAAAGGGAAAAGTTGACAGCTATGATTGAGACCCCTCACCTGACTTAGTCGACCAGTCAAAGCCGTTTCCCAGGGAAATGTCGCATGCTGACAGCTTCCAGGAGCCACAGGTGAGAGGTGAGTGCAGGGTGGACAAACTACCTCAGAAGGAGCACGATGTGTCCCCCACCAAAGGCACTGCCCCTCCCCTGGCACCCCATTAATTGAGTGATTTATTAATTAATGATTCAGGTAGGTAGCCGTGTTGGTCTGACGCAGTCGACATAAATAAATAAAAATATTAAATATCAAAAAGGGTATCAAGAAGTGTGCATGCACACGAAAGCTTATACCCAGAACAAACTTAGTTGGTCTCTAAGATGCTACTGGACAATTTTTTAATTTTTTTAAATTAATATTTACATCCCACCTTTCCTTCCAAAGAGGAACCCAGGGAAGCAAACACAACTGAAAATAGCAACGAAAGCACAATTTGAAAATTTCAAAAACGATCTAAAGCCGTGAAACAGCTTTACAAATTTAAGAACAGATGTAACCAAATCCTGTGTCTGGATAGGCCCTCTGGACCAGAGAAGTCTTCAGTGTGCATCATTCTAAAAGATGCACTTGTAGCAGTAGCACTTGTGGCTTGTGCAGCAGAACCACGCGGTGGATTGTGCCCCAAGTTCACCTGGGTCAGCACTGCAATGCTAGTGAACTCTCTGGATATCCTTCCAGAGCTGGGTTAAATGCACTGCTTTCTAACAAGGAATCTCTCTTTCTTTTTCTGTCTCTCCCTCCATCTTTGCTGATAATGATAAAAAGCTGAAAAGCACTGCCGATTGAATTTTGTATGTGAGTTGTATGTGGAATACTTAACAATTGATTAAAACCCCTGAGCTACATTGTGTCTTAATTATTGGGCTGCCTCAGCAGGGGGGTTAGCATTTTTGACAGCAAGGAGTCAAATGTTTTAATAAGGTTTGGGTTTTCCTTTTGTCTTTCCGGTTGGAGTCTGCTCCTCTCTAATTGCAGTTTTTGCATTGTATAGTAATCAAATTTTTGAGCAAGGGGAGGACAGCTTGTTCTCTGGAATTGTTTTCTGTTGTAGCGATTTGGGGGACGTGCCTTCAAAATGAATTGACTTAGGAAATAGTTGGCAAAATTACAAATTTGTGACTTTAGTAGCTGTAATTATTTCACATTTGTCCGCTCCAGCAGCTTCTGATATTTATAGCCTTAATTTTTTTCATAGTGTGGTATGCAAATGAGTGGTGCAATCCGAACCATGTTTACTTAGAAGCAAAGCAAGCTATGATGTTTCGCTAGTGCTATGAGTTCCATCAGCTGGATCAGAGAGCCAGCGTGGTGTAGTGGTTAAGAGCGGTAGTCTTGTAATCTGGGGAACCGGGTTCGCATCTCCGCTCCTCCACATGCAGCTGCTGGGTGACCTTGGGCCAGTCACACTTCTCTGAAGTCTCTCAGCCCCACTCACCTCACAGAGTGTTTGTTGTGGGGGAGGAAGGGAAAGGAGAACGTCAGCCGCTTTGAGACTCCTGAAGGGGAGTGAAAGGCGGGATATCAAATCCAAACTCTTCTTCTTCTCTTCTTGGTAGAGGTGAGACCCTTAATTTGCCCCAGTTGTGGTTGAGGGCTGTGAGTGACCTGATGTAACCAGAGACTGAACTCAGTTTGCAAAAGCAGGTTTCAAATATGTTAGCAGGAAAACCAGCGGACACATTTTAGTTTAGGAAAAAAAGTAAGCATCATCCTTGAAGATTTCAAAGGATGGTTGTGGTAAGGTTTGCACATCATTTCAAAAAGTCTGCATTTGACAGATGCAAATGGAATTGGCGACAACAGCCGCAAGGATGTTATTAGTCCAGGGCTGGATCTACACAGATATAAAAAAACGCTATTTAAAAACCCTATAGGTGTCCCTACCAGAGAGGAATGGCAAATCAAGCTGTTGGAGTACATCAAAATGGCAAAACTGACCGGAAAGCTCAGGAACCAAGATGACAAAAGCTTTTAATAAAGAATGGGAAAAATTTATAATTTATCTAGGAGACCGCTGTAAGCAGATGAAAACATTAGCAGGGTTCCAATCACACTAGTAATGTAGCAGATACTATGGACAACATGGAGAGATATAAAATATGGATTATGAAATAATATGCAGTAGGAAAGGCTGGCAATAGGACCCATGGAGGGGAAGTCGGGAGATTATGAGAAATCTCTAACTATGAATGGTTATCATACTACACTTGTAAAATCAAATAAAAATAATTTCAAATAAAATAAAATAAATGCAAATGGAATCAAATTGCAACCCCCTAGCTATCTGTGAGTATTCAACACCCTCTGCACGGGGCTTTTCAGATCCCAACACCGCCCTTCTGTGTGCAAAGAGAACAGATTTTGAAACCCCACACCCATCTGTCTCTGTTGAGTAGAAATTATTTTTGTCCTTCATCCTTAATCCATTCAATTCTAGCGCGAGCCAGTTTTTTTGGAATAAAAAGAACCTCGCAAGTATCAGCTTGTTTGCTCTCCTGCCGGGAGGGTTGCAAGATTGCAATTGCGAGCATGTGATGGAAGGCAGGTTCTTAATCTCCAGGGCACCTGCAGCTTCTGAGAGGTCAGGCCAGAATGTGTACCCAGATGATGCAGCCCAGATGATGGAGAGACTTGAAAGCCGAAATGTATAAGGAATGGTTGTGGGAGCTGAGTATGTTTCGCCCAGAGAAGAGTCCAGCAGCGTCTAGGCATGGAAGTAGTCAGGATTTATGTAATGGTGTTGGGGAGCAGGGCAACCACCTATCATCCTCTGTCTGGCTCTGTCTAGCAGATTTGGAACAAAGTGTCTCCGCAACAGTTAGCGCTCAGAAAAAGAAACCGTCAAAATCCTCAGCCATCTGAAAACTTTGTTGTTGTTGTTTAGTCGTTTAGTCGTGTCCGACTCTTCGTGACCCCACGGACCAGAGCACGCCAGGCACTCCTGTCTTCCACTGCCTCCCGCAGTTTGGTCAAACTCATGCTGGTAGCTTCGAGAACACTGTCCAACCATCTCATCCTCTGTCGTCCCCTTCTCCTTGTGCCCTCCATCTTTCCCAACATCAGGGTCTTTTCCAGGGAGTCTTCTCTTCTCATGAGGTGGCCAAAGTATTGGAGCCTCAGCTTCAGGATCTGTCCTTCCAGGGAGCACTCAGGGCTGATTTCCTTCAGAATGGAGAGGTTTGATCTTCTTGCAGTCCATGGGACTCTCAAGAGTCTCCTCCAGCACCATAATTCAAAAGCATCAATTCTTCAGCGATCAGCCTTCTTGATGGTCCAGCTCTCACTTCCATACATCATTACTGGGAAAACCATAGCTTTAACTATATGGAACTTATTTGAAAACTAGGAAGCTCAAGAAAACGTGAACACCAGGGAGTGCCTTTCATGCGGTTATCGAGTATATTTTGCAAAATTACAAAGAACACGCCTTTTCCCATCTTGTTTTTTTTATATAAAAAAAATCTAAACTAAAGCAAGTTTCCTTGGATTTGCTGAAAGCTTTTTGCAACATCGTCCGAGTGACCTCAGCGAGCGTTTCAGTTTCAAATATTCTGATTTGTTCTACTTTTAGTTAAGTATTTTTATTTATTGGCTTGATGGGGGGGGGCAGCTGCCCCCCGACGACACATGTGCGTCTGGAAAGCCAAAAATTAACCAGCTAGTTTCTGTGTTCAATTCAAAGTGCTCAGCTCAAAGTTTTCTGTGGCTCAGCACACCCAAAGACTGTCTCTCCCCACAGAAACTGACCCAAATCACTGTATTCACCATCCAAGGCCCTAAATTGCATGCCGTCTATAAGTGGGGTGCAGACACGAGAAGAGGCCTTATCAGTGGTGGCTCCCAGTTTTTGAAATATTCTTAACAAGGAAACACACCTGGAATCTCTTGTTTTTAGGCTCATCTTTATTTCCCCCCAGGCTTTCAGTTTTTAACTGAGAAGAGCAGCTTGAATAGCTCGGTCGGTAGAGCATGAGACCCTTAATCCCAGGGTTTAACTAGCAGGGGGTTGGACTAGATGACCCTCGCGGTCCCTTCCAACTCTACAAATTCTATGATTTTATGATATGTAGTTATGACAGTGGCCTTTGGAGCTCATCCTTTAAGCAGGGTGGGTAGGGCTTGCTCCTTTAAATTATGTTTTCGATTCTGTTCCTTGTTGCTGCTACATCTGAAAATAGGACCTTTCTTAGTTCTGTTTTTTTATGTTGTAAGTTGCTCTGAGATTTATCTAAGTGCAAAAATGCAGATAATAATAATAATAATATGTTTCCCTCCCCTTATGGTTTTGATACTTTTAAAATGAGGCTGTATTTTAAATTGCATTTTAACCTGTATTTTAAATTGGGTTTTTCCCCCTATCATGTTTTTACTGTAATTTTTACTGTTAGCTGCCCTGAGCTAATCCCTGAATGGCAGAATTTAGATTTTTTAAAACTCCGGCAAGTTACACAATCGTGCCACTAGAGGGGGATGCAGTCCTTCTTTTCCGAGCCTTCTGAAACCAGAACGGTGGGTGATTTTGATATTAGACTCTCTATACGGTACTGTTTTGTACTGAACAGATTTGGAAGGCAGTCAGCAGGAATCAAGGCACTTTATTCCTGGCCCTCTAGGGATCCTAGACCTCCTCCCTTGATGTATTTGGAGGTTACGCCGTAGCAGCCTGTCTGGTCAAGGCTGCCTGGCCCTTCCCGTAAATTGCAAGGATATTGAAGAATAAATGAATAATCCCACGATGCAGGCAATTGCGGGCGAGTTCCTTGCTGAGAGCAATTGTCTCCCTCTGCAGCAGCAAAAGGCTTTAGGTTCCCAGCATAAGCATCTTTGCATTGATTGGAAGCGGCAAAACAACCACTTTGCGTTGTTGGAAAGGAAAACCGTCTGACTGCAGCTCTGGAAAGCCCCAAGCACAACATTAAATGGACTCAACAGCCTAATGCTCGCTGAAGGTTTAAGAGAAAGGGTGGGGAGCTCTTTGCCCCAGAGCTACAGGAAGTGAGGGGGGGGGCTCAAGGTCTTTTTAAAAATTGCAGCTGTAACAGCTCCTTTTGCACCCTCTCTTGCATTTTATCGCATCGCAATTTGAAATCTGTGGCAGAATCGTTCAGTGCGCGTGGCTGTCAACCAGAAGGCCGGTGGTTCAAGTCAACCCTACAGTTCTACGATTCCTTGAATTGAAATGGCAATACAGTAAAACACAATGCGTATAAAAAAATAAAAATAAAAGAATAATAATAAATTTTATTTATACCCCGCCCTCCCCAGCCCAGACTGGGCTCAGGGCGGCTAACACCAGGTATAAAAACAATTGATTAAAATACAACTTAGAAACAATATTAAAGTACGACATTAAAATGCAGTCTCATTTCAGTAGAAACTCAAATCAAAAACTTTTTGGGGATGAGAACGTCAAATCTTCACCAAGGCCAGCTATCCAGACTGGTCCTATGTGGGCCAGAAAAAGCCAGGGAAGTCCCCAAATAGGAGTTCCATCTCAGAAGGAAAGAGGAAAGGGGGAGGGGATCAAGTTGATTCCAAGCCAAAGGCCAGGCGGAACAACTCTGTCTCACAGAAATCAGATCCTGCAGGGCCATGGTCTCATGAGCGAGGTACCCAACCTTGTACGATGAAAGACAAGTTGTGAAGCTTTGTGTATTCAGCAAATATGATGTCCAACACAGAACAGTGATTCCGGATATTGACTACTGTTTCGTAGAATTCTACCTCGCTTCATTTAAAGATTTTCGGAGACTTTGAGACTACAGATTTCATTTTGTACTTGTTATGGTTTGAAGGAATTCTATAAAGATTGTCTATTATGTATGTATAAGGTCATCGTGTTTCCTAGATATCAATGTGATGCAGCAGCAAAAAAGGCTAATGCCATTCTAGGCTGCATCGGCAGAAGTCTAGTGACCAGATCAAAGGAAGTCATAGTCTATTGCTCTATTCTGCCTTAGTCAGACCCCTCCTGGAATCCTGTGTCCAGTTCTGGATGCCACAATTTAAAGTAAAAGTAAAGGTAAAGGGACCCGTGACCATTAGGTCCAGTCGTGACCAACTCTGGGGTTGCGGCGCTCATCTCACTTTATTGGCTGAGGGAGCCGGCGTACAGCTTCCGGGTCATGTGGCCAGCATGACTAAGCCGCTTCTGGCGAACCAGAGCAGCGCACGGAAACGCCATTTACCTTCCCGCCAGAGCTGTACCTATTTATCTACTTGCACTTTGACGTGCTTTTGAACTGCTAGGTTGGCAGGAGCAGGGACCGAGCAACGGGAGCTCACCCCGTCGCGGGGATTCGAAACGCCGACTTTCTGATTGGCAAGTCCTAGGCTCTGTGGTTTAACCCACAGCGCCACCCACGTGGCGGCATTTAAAGCAAGGAGAGACAGCCCTTATGTGAATGGTGGTGATTAGCTGGAAGCAGGGGGAAGATTCTCCTGCACTCATTAAAGCACATACTTGAGCATTAAAAATGAATGCGCGATTTAGGGCTTAATAGGCTTGGCGTGACTCACCCGCAATTTCCATTGATCGCTTATGAAAGTATCAGCTGATCTGAGTTGTGGATGAGAGCAGGGGGAGGTCTGAAGCTCTTCTTTGCCTTGGAATCTCATTTTCCTTTCATCGTTTTTATTTAGGCAGCTGCTCGCTTGCTACCCGCATTGCAGGGGGCTGGACTGGATGACCTTTGGAGTCCCTTCCAATTCTACGGTTCTATGATGCTATCTGCTCATGCTGTCTATTTTGCCCCATCAGGGCATTTATTAAACCAGCAGAAGCATCTTCTAAGAAAAACAACTCTTTAAAATGGCCCTTGGACTACCCATTGGACTGCACGTTCCTATATCCCCCAAAGTATGCGGGCAATGCCTGAGGAAGTCTCATTCAGCAACGGAGGGTTCATATAGGCAAATGCCTCGTTGCCTTAACATGTTTTGCTTCAGACCCCAAAGTACAGCTTCCATCATCCCTGAACCTTGGCCACAGCGGGTGGGACAGATGGGAGCTGGAGTCTAGACACATCTGGGGGTGGGTGGGCGTAGGTCCCCAGCTACCGTATTTTTTGCACCATAACACTCACTTTTTTCCTCCTAGAAAGTAAGGGGAAATGTCTGTGCGTGTTATGGAGGAAATGCCTACGGGTGGCATGCCTACAGATTTTCCTCCTCTGAAAACTACGTGCGTGTTATGGTTGGGTGCGTGTTGTAGAGCGAAAAATACGGCAATTGTAAACACACCATGAATGAGTTGATGTCATGGCATTTTCATAGAATCATAGAATTGTAGGGTTGGAAGGGCCCTCAGGGGTCATCTAGTCCAACCCCGACAATGCAGGAATCTCAACTAAAGCACCCAAGACAGATGGGCCATCCAACCTCTGCTTAAAAACCTCCAAGGAAGGAGAGTCCACCACCTTCTGAGGGAGACAGCTCCACTACTGAACATCTCTTAGGGTCAGAAAGTTCTTCCTGATGCTTAGTTGGAATCTCCTTTCTTGTAACTTGAAGCCATGGGTTCGAGTCCTACCCTCCAGAGCAGGAGAAACAACCTTGCTCCATACTCCATAGAGCTACCCTTGAGATATTTGAAGATGGCTATCATATCTCCTCTCAGTCTCATTTTTTCCAGGCTAAACGTGCCCAGCTCCTTCAACCATTCCTCATATGGCTTGGTTTCGAGACCCTTGATCATCTTGGTTGCCCTCCTCTGCACACATTCCAACTTGCCAACATCCTTCTTAAATTGTGGCACCCAGAACTGGATCCAGAATTCCAGGTGTGGTCTGACCAAGGCGGAATAGAGTGGGACTATGACTTTCCTTGACCTGGACACTATACTTCCATTGCTGCAGCCTAGAATAGCATTAACCTTTTTTTTTGCTGCTGTTGCATCACCCTCCACTGAAGGAGAGCTCACAATCCGTTCCACTGTCAAACGGCTCTTACCACCAGAAAGTTCTTTCTGACATTTAGTTGGGATCTCCTTTCTTGCGATTTGAATCCACTGGTTCAGGCCCAAAGCCGCATCTTGTTGCATCTTCCGTGTGACAGCTTCAGATACCTCTCAGCTTTCTCTTATCCAGGCCCGAAAATACCAAACTCCCTTACCTGCTCCTCAGCTTGGCTGCACAGCGATGTCACAAACCATCCCAGGGTTGAGGCCAGAGTACGTGCTCTCAGTGAAATACCGGGAGACTTGTTGCGAATATCCCTACCCCGCTATTCCTAGCTCTCTTAAAAGGTGGTGGTGGGGGGGCACATTTTGTTGAGCAATATAAAATGTTTACGAAAGTCGCGCCATTTCACCTCGGCACAGGTGACAATCCCTTAAAAAAAGATTCCTGGCAAACTTAACAAAGAAGGGGAAAAAACCAGAAAGAGGAGAAAATGCGAAGGAGAGAAAAACAAAAGAAAGCCCCCAAACGACACCAGCTCACCTTAAGGATACAATAACCATTAGTACATCCATTGTAAATTTAAAATGCAAGTCAACCTAAGCCGTCCAGATAGGTATCTATGTGAGATTAATGTTTGTATGAAACATGATAGAATGCAGCAGGGGCTCTGAGGTCTTCAGGCCATTGCATAATAGATGGGGGGGGGGGGAGTGTTTACCCTTCCAGGCTTAGTGGCCACAAGTGCTCACAAAATCCAATTTCTACTAATCTTTTCCATTGATACAGTACAGTGTGTTCAGCATAAAGGTAACAAGGAAAAAAACGCAGACACCCTTCTTTGGAAATTAAGCTAATATCCAGACTTTTAACATTCCAAACTTTACTTGCAGAAACTTATAGATGTATTGAAACATACTATTTAAAGTCACATGCTTCTCCAAGCATGGGCTTACAGTCTCATCTTCTAACTTCCAAACAACTGTATTTTCCTCCCTTCCCAGAGCTCAGCACTTTCAGTCTTCTGTATTACTGTTAAGGTTATGCCTTGCAGCTCCTATGGGAGATTCCTGCTTTCATCTTCTTCTGCAGTTTAGCTCTCTTTCTTCCAAGCAGAGAAGAAGCACTCCCACACTCGATTCAACTTAGCAGTGTTCACAGTGGATTCTAACACATAGTCATCTTGCTGCACATAAAATGGAGTCTCTCCTTCACGAGATACCTCCTGACATTAGCCAATCACATGAGAACTCTCTAGAATTCAGTTACCAGCCATCAAATGTAAACACAAAGTAACGCATACAAGCATCTACAAGCCCATATATAGACTTTTGAAATTGCCACCTGTAGCTCAAGACCACCCCCCAAAACATCATACATACATCACAGAAGGGGCGGTCTACAGCAGAATCCTGTCTGGCAGGAAACCTTTTCATGGGTTTACCTGGACAGCCTGGCCATTCTTTTGTGATGGTAAATACTTAATTCCTGAGTCCAGGTCACAGGCTCACCCTATTCCTACACAAATGTGCCCTTAAGGCAGGATTTGTGAGCACAGAGACAATGGGGAGGCTTTTAGGGAAGCTTTTAATGTTTGATGCATTACTGTATTTTAATATTCGGTTGGAAGCGGCCCAGAGTGGCTGGGGAAGCCCAGCCAGATGGGCGGGGTATAAATAATAATAAATTATTATTATAATTATTACTATTATAATTTTCCCATTTCCATCCAAACTGCAGTGGAATATTTGAGGTCACTGAAAGAGTCAAAATGGCTTTAGGACTGTTTTCCTGTACAGTGGTACCTCGGGTTACATACGCTTCAGGTTACAGACTCTGCTAACCCAGAAATAGTATCTTGGGTTAAGAACTTTGCTTCAGGGTGAGAACAGAAATTGTGTGGCGGCAGCGCAGTGGCAGCAGGAGGCCCCATTAGCTAAAGTGGTGCTTCAGGTTAAGAACAGTTTCAGGTTAAGAACGGACCTCCGGAACGAATTAAGTACTTAACCCGAGGTACCACTGTACAGTCTCAGACACGTGGTTTATATATTTATGTGTTTGCCTGGTACATTTATGAACATTTATTTTATATCTTAGATCTTATAATTCTCATAACAGGGAGAAAAATAGGGAGAAACAGTCAACTTCCACTAATGTGACTTCCAGATAAGCAGGCTTGAGGACTCTTGGAAGTCTTCATCCAGCAGGTTAGGAACAGCAAAACGCTTGCACAGGGCTGTGCTTATACATTTTGATTTCCACTTCCGCTACGGTGCTTCTAGCAGGGCTAGGCGAATCCTCGTATATTTGTGGCTTCTTTACTCAACTCTGACTTGTCAACCATTAACTAAACCGCAAAAAGTAAAAAAATACAATAAAAAACCAGTTTCTATTCTTTGCTCCTGCGAAATGTCAAGCTGCTAATTCCTCTTCAGAACTCCCTCCCTGTGGCAACGATCCTCTCAGAAACCTTTGCGCCGTTTCTGTCATTAAAAAATAAAATAAAACCCAACCAAACATCTTTTCACCGGAGAATCGCAGAGGGGGCGGTTACCCTGGCAACGCCGTTTCCTTGCTTCCCTTTCAACAGAGTGGTTATAGTTCCACGGGTTCACGGCATGTGCCGGCGATTCGCGCAGGAAGGGCAAACACGCCCTCCCTGAAGAGCCCTATAAAAAGGTCCGTTGCCAAGGTGTCCCTGCGAGATTAAATGGACATCTAGTGGATTGATTTCCTGTTCCTTCTTCTGAAAGGTATCGAAGGCTCAGCCTGGCCTCCCTCCAGCAAAAGCAGGTGTGCCGTGTAAACCGCTGCGTTTCTATCTTTCCTCGCTTTTAGAAATTTGAAAACCAGCCAGATCTCTCGGTGAACCTGCAAGGTTTAAAAAACCCACCCAACCTGCAAGCAAGTGATATACTGTGGTACCTCAGGTTAAGAACTTAATTCGTTCCGGAGGTCCGTTCTTAACCTGAAACTATACTATTTTAGCTAATGGGGCCTCCCGCTGCCACCATACCGCCGCTGTTCTCATCCTGAGGCAAAGTTCTTAACTCGAGGTACTACTTCCGGGTTAGCGGAGTCTGTAACCTGAAGTGTTTGTCACCCGAAGTGTTTGTAACCCGAGGTACCACTGTATAGAGTCATAGAATTTGTCATAGACCTGTCCGAGTCCAAGGCTGTTGAGGGCTTCAAAGGTCAGCACAAACCCTTTGAATTGTGCTGGCAACGTACTGGGAGCCAGTGAAGATTCTTTAGGACCAGTGTTATAAGGCCCTGGCAGCCACTTCCAGCCACCAGTCTAGCTGCCACACTCTCAACAACAACAACAATAACTCTGGGCTGCTTTCAACAAAATATTAAAATACAGTAATGCATCAAGCTTCCCTAAACAGGGCTGCCTTCAGATGTCTTCTAAAAGTCTGGTAGTTGTTGTTCTCTTTGACATCTGGTGGGAGGGTGTTCCACAGGGTGGGTGCCACTACCGAGAAGGCCCTCTGCCTGGTTCTCTGTAGCTTGGCTTCTCGCAGTGAGGGAACTGCCAGAAGGCCCTCAGCGCTGGACCTCAGTGTCTGGGCAGAACGGTGGGGGTGGAGACGCTCCTTCAGGTATACTGGGCCTTTGAGGCTGTTTAGGGCTTTAGAGGTCAGCACCAACACTTTGAATTGTGCTCGGAAACGTACTGGGAGCCAATGTAGCTCTTTCAAGACTGGTGTTATGTGATCTCGGCAGCCGCCCCCAGTCACCAGTCTAGCTGCCGCATTCTGGATTAGTTGTAGTTTCTGGCTCACCTTCAAAGGTAGCCCCACATAGAGTGCATTGCAGTAGTCCAAGCGAGAGATAACCAGAGCATGCACCACTCTGGCAAGACAGTCTGTGGGCAGGTAGGGTCTCAGCCTGCGTACCAGATGGAGCTGATAAACAGCTGCCCTGGACACAGAATTGACCTGCGCCTCCATGGACAGCTGTGAGTTCAAAATGACTCCTAGACTGGATTAGTTGCAGTTTCCAAATCACCCAGATACGAGGCCTTAATGAGAGCATATTCACACTTTGCAGAGCCAAAATGTTTGGATAAAAACAAAAACCAGAGTGTGCAGGGAAGCTGTGGCCTCCATATGTTGTTGTACTACATCACGAACACGAGAGGAGCCTGAATCACGCCAGTGGCCCACCTTCTCCACCATCCTGTTCTCACCTGAGCCAACCAGATGCCTGCGGGAAACCTGTGAGCAGGATCTGAGCACAAGAGCAACACTCTCACCTCCTGTGGTTTCCAGAAACTGGGATTCAAAAGCATTGCTGTGGAAGGAGAACATAGCCATCAGGTCTAGTAGCCATTGATAGCTCTCTGCTCCATGAATTGGCCAAACCCCTTTTTTGAAGCCTTCTAGGTTGGCGGCCATCGCTGCCTCCTGTGGGAGCAATTGTGTCGTGTAGGGCCGCCATCTTTGTTCTGGCAAAACAACAGGATAGAGCAGGGCGGGGCAGCTGAGGGGCAATTTTTCTTTTTCATCTGGTTTGTGGTCCAGCAACAGGTGCTCACTGGAAGGACAGATCCTGAAGCTGAGGCTCCAATACTTTGGCCTCCTCATGAGAAAAGAAGACTCTCTGGAAAAAAAACCCTCTGATGTTGGGTGAGATTGAGGGCACAAGGAGAAGGGGACGGCAGAGGACAAGATGGTTGGACAGTGTTATAGAAGTGACCAACATGAATTTGACGAAACTCTGGGAGACAGTGGAAGACAGGAGTGCCTGGTGTGCTCTGGTCCATGGGGTCACGAAGAGTCGGACACGACTAATCAACTAAACAAGAGGTGAATACTGTGGCCTGAAATGTAAGAAAACTCTCAGAGGTTCCATAAAAGCAAATGTGCCAGGGGCCTTCTGTGTGTCTGCTTTTGAAGGGGCTTGTGGGAGCAGAAGAAATCCGGCCAGTTAAAAATCTAACTCTTAAAAATCTAACTGCACACAGCAATGAATAAATCTCACGTTGTGAGGCTGAGAGCCGCATAGCTCTGCCCTCAGAGAGCCAGGCACTTTTTGATTTACTTTGAACCGTTTTGTCCATGGTGTACAGTAACTCCACTGAAAACGCAACTTGCAGGATGCCTCGGGCGCATAGAGGCACTCAGGGAAGTACTGAGCAGATAAGGCCCAGTGAATTATGCACCTATGCTCCAATCTGCCTGCCAGCGTTCCACAGGAGATGTGTTATGCCTTCTGCCAATGGTTGTGATGGAGGGGCTATGTCTTTGGCCTCCCAGCCAACGTGGCCAGTGGCATGGGGTGTTGGGAGTTGTCATCCAACGGCATCTGTAGGGCCATAGCTTCCCCACTTCCCTCTCTCATGATTCAGTATCTGTGATGAGTTCTTTGAGCAAGGAATGGAGGGGGGGATCTGTTTTAAATGGATTTAGACAAGGGATTTGATGGTTCCAGACCAGTCAAGCTTTGCTAATCTCCCAACAGCTCCTTGTATCATGGAAGACCACCTTATGACTGAGCTGTTTTTGCACTGCTTTTCTTAAAGTCAAACTAATTATTATACTTTATGTGTATAATACACACAGGTAACTCACAACTTACTCACATTTTACTTGGGAACATTCAGCTTTGTATACTTGGCAAAAAAATATCAAATCACATCAAAGGGGACGGGGGGGGGTGTCAGGATTTTTGTTGTTGTTGTTGCAATCCCACCCACCGTTGAACCCAATATGATTTGACTATTCACAATTTTGGCTTTAGGCACTATCTCTGGAACATAATTGAGGTCATTTTAATCTCTTTTAGTATTTAAAATTTGGTGTGTTTTAAAGTAGGGTTGTAAATCTTCTTTGATTTTACCATTGAATTTGATGTAAACCGCTTTGAGGTTGTTGTGGTTGTTTACAAAAAAAGTGGTGTATAAATTTTAGGAGGTAAATAAATAAATGCTGAAGTTTAGGTCTTGAGATCATATTGAACCTTATTCAGCACACTTGGTACCAATTTTGGTCCTGGCTTGTACACCAACAGCTGGGTGCCCCAAACCAGTATCCTTTTGTAAGGTACCAAGGATGGAGGCAAGTGTAAGCAGCCTAACTGCATCGCAGCGGAAACAAGTTAGGCCGGTTTCTCAGCAATCTCTTTGGCTAACATTCCTTGGGTGATACTCACATATTTACAGACCCGTAAACTTCCTCCTTTCCCTGGGACAATACAGCACATTAGAGAGAAGTCGCCACTCCCTACCTTCTAAACCACGAGGGCATAGAACTTTTCCTTCTCGCATCCAGCCAACTCTAATCACCAACAGCTCCAATAATAGGAAATAAAAATCTACGTTGAGTAATCTGTCCTGCAAGGGAGAAATCTGGAATCTCTTTGAGAGTTGCAGCATTCTCAGAATCTACCACCTGCAAATGATAAAAAAGAAACACCTGGGATTACTTTGTGGGTGCAAGTAATGGGTGACCTCTGAATTACTACTCAGCAGAAGCGCAAACTATGTAAGTCGTTTTGCTCTAAATATTTCTTTCATAATAATGGCATGAACAGAAGGGAACTTTTCCATGCATTCTGCCTCTCTCTCTCTCTCTCTCTCTCTCTCTCTCTCTGAGTTCCAAATCTTGTGTTTCAAATGTGTTTCTGTAGTTTTCCATGTTAGAATATTATACCAAGGTTTGCTGAGATGTCTGCTGCTGCTATTTGTGTGAGGAGCACCGGGTCCCCATGACAGGGTTGGATTTACTATGAGACTAAAGAAGCTTCAGCTTCAGTCTATATTGCTTAAAAATAACAGTAAACCCAATTTGAGTCACATGACTAAAAAACTATAAGGCACAGGAATTTTCTATTCACACCGGTGCTTTTGACATGTTAGATAAGCCAGTAGAGCAATTTTAATCAATGTCATGGAACAACCTCACTGAAGAAGATAACAGTGGTTACCTAGACCTTGTTGCTGGTTGTGAAGGGGCCCCCTTAACAGCTCAAGCTTCAGGGACCCCAAAATTTAGGTCTGCCAGTTCCCCATGGTGTCTCGCAGTTTGTCACTCCTGCATTCCACTCTCCAGTCTTATCGTGTAGAGTTAGGAGATACCCCAGGGGTCATCTAGTCCAACCCCCTTGCAATGCAGGAACCTCAACTTCAGCATCCATGACAGATGGCTGTCCAACCTCTGCTTAAAACCTCCAAGGAAGGAGAGTCCACGACCTCCCAAGGGAAACCGTTCCACTGTCAAACAGCTTTTTCTGCCAGAAATTTCTTCCTGAAGTTGAGTCAGAATCTCCTTTCTTGTAACTTGAAGCCATTGGTCTGTGTCCTACCCTCTGGAGCAGCAGAATACAAGCTTGTTCCCTCTTTCACATGACCCCCCTTTAGATATTTGAAGATATTTCTAGGCTGTTGTTGTTGTTTAGTCGTTTAGTCGTGTCCGACTCTTCGTGACCCCATGGACCAGAGCACACCAGGCCTCCTGTCTTCCACTGCCTCCCGCAGTTTGGTCAAACTCATGTTTGTAGCTTCGAGAACAGTGTCCAACCATCTCGTCCTCTGTCGTCCCCTTCTCCTTGTGCCCTCCATCTTTCCCAACATCAGGGTCTTTTCCAGGCAGTCTTCTCTTCTCATGAGGTGGCCGAAGTATTGGAGTCTCAGCTTCAGGATCTGGCCTTCCAGTGAGCACTCAGGGCTGATTTCCTTCAGAATGGATAGGTTTGATCTTCTTGCAGTCCATGGGACTCTCAAGAGTCTCCTCCAGCACCAGAATTCAAAAGCATCAATTCTTCGGCGATCAGCCTTCTTTATGGTCCAGCTCTCACTTCCATCCATCACTACTGGGAAAACCATAGCTTTAACTATATGGACCTTTGTTGGCAAGGTGATGTCTCTGCTTTTTAAGATGCTGTCTAGGTTTGTCATTGCTTTTCTCCCAAGAAGCGGGCGTCTTTTAATTTTGTGACTGCTGTCACCTTTTCTAGGCTAAACGCACCCAATTCCCTCATAAGGCTTGGTTTCCAGACCTTTGATCATCCTCCTCTGTGCACCTTCCAACTTTTCAATGTCCTTCTTAAACTGTGGTGCCCAGACTGCACACAGGACTCCAGGTCTGCAATAAAGTAGTACTATTAGTTTGCTCTTACTTTCTTCCCTTAGAACATGGCAGAAACTCTAAAGTTAGCCCAACTGTTGCAGAGTTGGATTTTGGGGGCACAAAGCCAGAGAGGTGTGCCCAGCACGAAGCCGCAGAGAGCTTTAAAATTAAGGAGAAGCCTCTTGATCTGCTGATCAGGCGCTGTTCTGAGAGCGCATGTTAGTCTCGTAATTTTTTTCCTCTGCCTGCGGATCCTGAAATAGCTATTAGCTACCCCTGCCAAAACACGCACTCACACACACAGAGGACAGGAAGAGTGTCTTCAGGGCAAGCGTTAAGTACATCTTGGCCTACTTATTCATTTTACGTAACCGTTTATTTATTTTATTTTAAAAGCGTGTGCCCCGAATGGAGGCAGATAAATAGCCGCAGGCCAGACCTGCGAGAGGCCCCAGTTTTGTCTGGGCAACCTGCTCTGCGGACGGGAAGTCCTGTTACTGTTAAAAGGACAGGGGCTGATTAAACGGAAAGCTCTTTGGCAGAGCATCTTTGCTCCCCGGAGTAATGGAGGTCAGGCCGGTTGCCAAGGAAACGCATTCAACCTTCAGAGGAAGGGCTTAGAGCTACATCACCTGGAGTCAGTTTGATGGGGGGGGGGAGCTTTTGGACCAGGGCTTCGAAAAGGGGGCAGCGGGCCAAATTCTGGATATAGTAAATTGCCACGCAGGGGATCTAAAATGGAAGGGCTAAACTGAGCGGAGTTGCAGGAGAGGACGGGGGATGCAAGAACGGAGAGCGGGAAAGCTCTGAACCTTTTCTCTTATGGGGTGTGTGGAAGCTGAAGGGCCTATTTGGAGGTAGGAGACGATGTCCTCGTTTTCCTACATAATAATAGTGCAGTGCTGCATTGTCAATAAGCAGGGCTGTCACCTGCTTAAATAAATCTTTATTAATTGAATCATATGAGTTTTAGGCAATAGAATTGTACGACTGTATAGTTGGAAGGGACCACAAAATAAGAATGTTAATGATAATGATGATGATAATCATAATCATAATGATAATAATGATAATAATAATAATAATAAGAAGAAGAAGAGTTTGGACTTGATACCCTGCCTTTCACTCCCCTTAAGGAGTCTCAAAGCGGCTAACATTCTCCTTTCCCTTCCTCCCCACAACAAACACTCTGTGAGGTGAGTGGGGCTGAGAGACTTCAGAGAAGTGTGAGTAGCCCAAGGTCACCCAGCAGCTGCATATGGAGGAGCGAGGAAGCGAACCCGGTTCACCAGATTACGAGTCCACTGCTCTTAACCACTACACCATGCTGGCTCTCTATTATTATTATTATTATTATTATTATTATTATTATTATTATATTTACACCTTGAACATCTGGCTGCGTTTCCCCAGCCACTCTGGGCAGCTCCCAACAGAATATTTAAAACACGATAAAACATCAAACATTAAAAACTTCCCTAAACAGGGCTGCCTTCAGGTGTCTTCTAAAAGTCAGAGAGCTGTTTATTTCCTTGACATCGGATGGGAGGGTGTTCCACAGGGCAGGTGCCATTACCGAGAAGGCCCTCTGTCTGGTTCCCTGTAGCTTTGCTTCTCGCAGTGAGAGAACCAGCAGAAGACCCTCAGAGGTGGACCTCTGAACGATGGGGGTGGAGACGCTACTTCAAGTACACCACTGCCACTTGCAGTGTTGTTTTGCCCCTTCCATGGGGCTCTTGCAGGTATTGTCCCTATTTCCAGAAGAGCTCAACTGGAGAACTTGGGGGGTGTGTGTGTGTGTGTGTGTGTGTGTGTGCGTGGTGGAATGCATGGATACAAATTCACTCCAGGGTGGAATCTAGTCACATATAAAAACCACTTTGAAAATGCTTTTTTAAAAAAGCATTTTAAAAGGTACATTGAATTTTTCATAACACTCACCTTCACCATCTAGTGTCACCTTGTATATTGCACTTAAAGCACACGTAAAATGTTTTATTTGCAGCTGAGTCCCAGGTTTCATTTAAAATCCTGTATTATTATTTCTTCAGTTAAAAATTCAGGGGAGCAAGAAATTCCAGCCACATACGGTTCTGGCTCCTCTTACACCTCAGTCCATAGCTGGAATTGTCCTTCTTGGGAGTGAACTCAGGGTGTATCTGTTCCTCTGACTTCTGATTTAAGGGCCTGCTGGATTTTGTAGACATCTCAGGGGAGGAGTAAGAACTTGCTTTCTTTAGAAGATGACTGCAGATTGCGAGGTATTCTAGCAGTGATGTAAACCATCTTCATTGACTCAAAATATTGCATCCGGGTGTTGCCATAGTAACAAAGATGTTCACATATCTCTTATGGGGGGGAGGGGTAAGAAGATTTCCAGAATGATGTGGTTCATGAGACTGCAGTCAGCTGTTTGCCAGGCTACAACTTCCAATCTAAATTTTGGGGAAAGGACAGAATGACAGGAGTGGATGGAGGGATGGCTACAGAGGTCGTCTGAGGCTGATGATTGGATCAGTGCAGCAAAAACAGCTAAGGTCGCTACCTGTAGTTTGTGGGTGCGATTCAGGCGCATATCTTAAATTTACATTTCTGCAGTTTAAGTCCTCTTTAAAGTAGGGTTGCCATATGTCTGGAATTTCCCGGACCAAGCTTGTATTCGGCCCTCGTAAACAGCACCTGGGCGGAAATCGCTTAAATTTCTGGGAAAATCCAGATGTACAGCAACCCTTGTCGGAAGCGTAGATGTTGGGGAATTTCACAAAAAACAGCTCCGAAACCGAACAACTTTGGCCAACTTCTTTTGTGTCCAGATTGGCGCTGTGGGTTAAACCACAGAGCCTAGGACTTGCTGATCAGAAGGTCGGCGGTTCGAATCCCCGCAATGGGGTGAGCTCCCATTGCTCGGTCCCTGCTCCTGCCAACCTAGCAGTTTGAAAGCACATCAAAGTGCAAGTAGATAAATAGGTACCGCTCCGGTGGGAAGGTAAACGGTGTTTCTGTTCGCTGCTCTGGTTCGCCAGAAGCGGCTTAGTCATGCTGGCCACATGACTCGGAAGCTGTACGCCGGCTCCCTCGGCCAATAAAGCAAGATGAGCGCCGCAACCCCAGAGTCGGTCACGACCGGACCTAATGGTCAGGGGTCCCTTTACCTTTAGCTTTAACCCTAACTTAAAAATGCTCATTCAACAAATCCACTTAGAAAAGCACCAAATGTTGGTTTTTTTGTGGTCGGGGAAGTGATGGGGGGGGGTCATGCGTGGAAAAGCACGAGATGAATGAATGGGAAAAGGTTAGAACCAGCTTAGCAAGCAAATTGGGACCAATTCAGAATGATGGCTCATTGCCTAATAACCTCCCCACAATCGAATCGGGGTGAACGCACAGGTCATCTGGATGGGCCCACGGGGTCTTGTGACAATTTTAAAGGCTCAACAGATGTATTGAAGCATGAGCTGTTGTGGACTGGAGCCCATTTTGTGCAACATGACTTGTACTCTTCAGTTTTCAGGGTGTGAGATGTGTCTGATAGCTTGCTCTTTTTCTCACACGGTCTGTAGGGGAGGGAGAGAGGCCAAAATGCCATAAAACATTAAGAGGCAGAGGCATGTCTGTAGAGCCCAGATGTTTGTGTAAGATAAAAAGTGGCCATTCATTTTATGCCAGCTAAAGGTGCTATCAGACTAGCTCAGGCATAGCCAAACTTGGCCCTTCAGCTGTTTTGGGACTACAGTTCCCATCATCCCTAACCACTGGTCCTTTTAGCTAGGGATGATGGTAGTTGTAGTCCCAAAACAGCTGGAGGCCAAGTTTGGCCATGCCTGGACTAGCTGAATTTAAACCCACTTTGAGTAGACTGTGAGCAAACTCAGAAGAAAATACTTTTGGCTGCGAAGGGGACTTGGGGGGTTAAGTTGAAAGGCTTAAGATACAGTGGTCCCTCGGTTTTTGAGCATAATCCGTTCCGGAAGACTGTTCAAGTTCTGAAACGTTTGAAAACCGAAAACTCAATCGGAAGCCATGTGGCACGTTCAACTTCCGAAAAGGGTTCAAAAACCGAAATGTTCCTCAGTGACGGTCGAAAACTGAGGTACCACTGTATTTGAAGATGGCTGTCATACCTCCCCTTTTCCAAGCTAAACATACGCAGCTCCTTCAATTGTTCCTTCAGTTAAGTGTGATGTGCCTTGTGTTTGAGGCGTCGCTTGAAATGTAAATAGCAGCTTCTGAGAGGTGACCTTCGCTCCTTCGCTGCTCCTATTTACATAACCAAAGCAGACACACTGACTGCATTCACATGACTAATGCCATATCCCATGTGGCCTTTAGATGGTGTGCAAGGAGGATACATTCAACAGTGGTGGTGGACTCTCCTTCCTTGGAGATTTTAAAGCAGGCATCCCCAAACTCGTCTCTTCAGCTGTTTTGGGACTACAACTCCCATCATCTCTGACCACTGGTCCTGTTAGCTAGGGATGATGGGAGTTGTAGTCCCAAAACAGCTGGAGGGCCGAGTTTGGGGTGCCTGCTTTAAAGCAGAAGTTGGTTGGTCATCTGTCATGGATGCTTTAGCTGAGATTCCTGCATTGCAGGGGGTTGGACTAGATGACCCTCGGGTCCCTTCCAACTCTAAGAAATCTGTGATGCCTCCTTGGCACGTAGGAGGAAGGACGATAGCTCAGTGGTGCAACATCTCAGGGAAAGGACCATAGCTCAGTGGCAGAGCATCTGCTTTGCACGCAGCAGGTCCCAGGTTCAAATCACGGCATCTCTAGGTAGGGCTGGCAAAAACTCACTACCTGAAACCTTGGAGTGCTGCTGCCAGTCAATGAATAACGATAAAACAATGAACAGGGTGGTGATACAATGACTACTGCAATCGACACAAGATAACCAAGGCAACCATCTGTAAACAAACAATAGGACCCCTGACCATTAGGTCCAGTTGTGGCCGACTCTGGGGTTGCGGAGCTCATCTCGCTTTATTGGCCGAGGAAGCCGGCGTACAGCTTCCAGGTCATGTGGCCAGCATGACTAAGCCACTTCTGGTGAACCAGAGCAGCGCACGGAAACGCTGTTTACCTTCCCACCGGAGCGGTCCCTACTTATCTACTTGCACTTTGACGTTCTTTCGAACTGCTAGGTTGGCAGGAGCTGGGACCGAGCAACGGGAGCTCACCCTGTCACGGGGATTCGAACCGCCGACCTTTTGATCGGCAAGTCCTAGGCTCTGTGGTTTAACCCACAGCGCCACCCGCGTCCCTCAAACGAACAATAAACGTCCATAAAAATGGCAATAGTAGTTTCTTTCCCAAATAGGTTTTATCTTAACCAATTGCAAATGCAGTAAATTAAGAGTCCACTTGTGATATTCCAGTAGTTCAGTGTTTGGACATCGTTCCGGTAATCAGACGTTTCGTCGTTAAAGAGCTTAGTCATCGAGCTGTCAAAATCAACTGTAACAGGATTGCACTGAATTTCCTCCCCTTTATTTGAATTTATTTTACGACACACGTGCACGCATTAAACATAAAAATAATAATACATAATCAACACTAAAACAAAAACAAAAAACAGAGAAATACAACTAAAACATTGTTACTTACAAAAATTTATACAAACAAATGAACATCAATATATATACCATATTTCCTTTCTTTTCTCCCAATTGACTTCCTTGATCTTCAACACGGTTCTCTTTTTGTTTTTGGTAAACTGTTTCCTTCTTAATTCCTTCTTACCTCTTTTTCTTTCTATTTTTGACTTACATACCTTAATTTATTTTGCAGAAGTTAATCATTTTTAATGTTTAATGCTGTATCGTCTTTTGAATATTCGGTTGGAAGCCTCCCAGAGTGCCTGGGGAAACCCAGCCAGATGGGCAGGGTATAAATAAATAATTATTATTATTATTAATTAAGGTATCCCCCGTAAAAAAGCTTCTGTTTTCTTAATAAAATTTTGTTTGAATATTTTCTTTAGCTCCTCATACACCACATCCCAGAAGCCCTTGATTTTATCACATGTTCACCACACATATATGAGTGTCCCCTCTACTTGATTACACCTCCAACACAGATTTGATTTTGTTTTATACATTTTGCATATTTTGGTTGGCGTTAAATACCATCTATAAAACATCTCTATCAGGTTTTCCCTTATCGCTTCACAAGCCGTAAATTTCCAACTTTCTTTCCATATTTTTTCCCATGATGATAGTTCGATAGTTTTACCTATATCTTAAACCCATCTAATCATTACCTCATTTACTTGTTCGTCCTTAACTTCCCAGTCCAACAGTGTTTCATATACTTTAGAAATTACTTTTGTCTTATTTTGTAATAACTCTTTGTCTAGTAATGAGATTTCATTTGTAAAGCCTCTTTTCTTGCACTGAATTATCAAGTGCAATAAGGAGAATTAAAATTAAAACTACGTTGAGAATGCATAATTAAGACAGATCTTTGTAGTATATAATATGCTAGAGAAGAAAGTATGTCTTTAGTAACGAAGAGTCGGGTTGCTGTAGTTTAAGATAAAACCTATTTGGGAAAGAAGCTACTTTTGCTAGTCAGTGTAGACAAGACTTAGCTAGAGGCACCAAGTGCCTGACTCAGTATAAGACATCTTCCTATGTAACTACTGGGTCCTCAACAGGTGCTGATAAATTTGATAACTATATAGGTAGAGGTAAAGGTACCCCTGACTGTTAGGTCCAGTCGTGGACGACTCTGGGGTTGCAGCGCTCATCTCGCTCTATAGGCCGAGGGAGCCGGCGTTTGTCCGCAGACAGTTTCTGGGTCATGTGGCCAGCATGACTAAGCCGCTTCTGGCGAACCAGAGCAGCGCACGGAAACGCCGTTTACCTTCCCGCCAGAGTGGTACCTATTTATCTACTTGCACTTTGACGTGCTTTCGAACTGCTAGGTTGGCAGGAGCAGGGACCGAGCAATGGTAGCTCACCCCATTGCGGGGATTCGAACCGCCGACCTTCTGATCAGCAAGCCCTAGGCTCTGTGGTTTAGACCACAGCACCACCCGTGTCCCTTATAACCATATATGAGTATATAAATTGACACAAAAAGCTGCTTTCAGGTATAGGGTCTGTGGCAGGAGTACACATCTGCCTTCTAGTGATTTGCCTGGAAGAAACCTTTTTCAGCCGTGGGCCGGTCCACCGACCCTCAGACCATGTGGTGGGCCAGATTATATTTTGAAAAAATAAACAAAATGAATGAATTCCTGTGCCCCATGTAAAAACACCAGGCAGGCCCCACAAAATAACCCAGAGATGCATTTTAAATAAAAGGACACATTCTACTCATGTAAAAACACGCTGATTCCCGGACTGTCCACTGGCCGGATTGAGAAGGCGAATGAGCCGCGTCCGGCCCCCGGGCCTTAGGTTGCCTACCCTTGGCCTGGAATGACAGAAGCAAGATTTTGTTCCAGGAAAGAACAGGTTGTGCTTGTAAGACTACCCTGTGATCAGAGAAAAGTCAACTATCTTAAGTTCATCCAGTCCTGGGCATCAGATGTAGGATAAGAGGAATCTAATGACAACTGGGGGGGGGGGAGTTTTAAGTTGGGTGTGCACGGTGTGCTGGATGGCAAGACACCCTCCCGGAAGGGGAGGGGAGTAGTGAAGGGAGTAGTGTAACTGTCAAAAGGAAAGTTAGAGGTTGGGCGCGCGCGCCAAGTTCAAATGTAGAGGCGCGCGGAAGTACAGGGAGCCCGGAGGAAGGGCCAGGTCCCAAAGCCCGCAGGAGGGGGGAAGAGCAGTCGGGGGATAGCGCGTCAGGGGAATCCAGGAGGGGCGAAACCCCAGCGGGCAGAAAGACCCTGAGGAAAAGGAAAGAGAGAAAGAGGTGGAGCAGCGCAAGGCTCTTAAACTGGTGCAGGGGAGGGACTGACTCAGAGGGGACTACAACGGTCTAAGCGTACAGACGTGGGGCTGCGCGCCTCGGATATGAAGCAAACAATGAACTGCAATAAACACTTTTGAATGTAAGAAGAGATTGGCGTTGGTCTTTTGTGAGCTGAGACTTGAGGCAGCCTTGACAATGCGTATATAAATTGACACAAAAATCTGCTTTCAGGTATAGGGTCTGTGGCAGGAGCCCACCACTATCCTGATGTTCCCCAGATCCCCCACCCTCGAACTCGTGACTTTTCACCCAGTGCTGACAGCACACTTTCAAGCTTATCTCTGCAGCGCGTCAGGGTAGAAGAAACGGGCTTCTGTGCAAACTGGGAGAAGCTCAAGCGAAGGCTTATTAAAGCAAACTGAACAGCACACAGCTGTTTTAACAAAATGTGGGTCACGTCAGAGCTGCCGGAGCGTCGCTTTTACAAAGCGGCCTGCTGTTGCAGCAAGCGACTGATACGGCGCATCGTGAGCTGCAGTTATCGGCCTCAAACAGGTGGCGCTTTTATTCATGTGTGAGGCGCACACAATGTGCAAACACTCCAGAAATAAAACGTGTGTGTTTTCGCAGGACAGAAGCTCTCTCGGCTGATTATCTATTTCAAACAAGCCGGAGACAGAATTGTTGCAATCGCCTCTTGCCTGCTGCAGGGGACGGGACTGTTGTGTGACTCCCTCTGCCGTCCCCAAAGGTGACCCTGATAATCGCAATCACACAAACACACAAATTGGCAGGGAGGAGAAGAATGAGCTGCGAGGCTTGGATGCAGAGAAAGCTGTAATTTTCACTCAAGGAAAGAAGCTCGACTGAGCATAGACTGAGCTTTGACCGTGCTATTGTACGCCATGCATAAAAGAGAAACCGTGCCCTTTTGCACGCCTTCAAATGCAAAGCAACGGGCAGTCCAGTGTTAGTCATTCCCACTGAGGTCAGTGGGAACTTTAGTTTAAGCCATGAGTAGGCAACCTAAGGCTCGGGGGCCGGATCTGGCCCAATCGCCTTCTAAATCCGGCCTGCGGACGGTCTGGGAATCAGCATGTTTTTACATGAGTAGAATGTGTCCTTTTATTTAAAATGCATCTCTGGGTTATTTGTGGGGCATAAGAATTCGTTCAATTTATTTATTTTTCCAGAATATAGTCTGGCCCCCCAGAAGGTCTGAGGGACAGTGGACCAGCCCCCTGCTGAAAAAGTTCGCTGGTTTAAGCACTAACTTGCAGGTTTCCCTGGGGAATAAAAGCAGGGCCAATGCAACTGTTGGTGCAGAGTTTCAGCCGTAAATATTGTATGTGTGAAACATTCAGAAAAAGTTTCTGACATTAAGAGCTGTTCGGCAGCAGAACAGACTCTTACAACAGGTGGTGGACTCTCCTTCCTTGGAGGTTTTCAAGCAGAGGTTGGATGGCCATCTGTCATGGATGCTTCATCTGAGATTCCTGCATTGCAGGGGGTTGGACTAGATGACCCTCGGGTCCCTTCCAAATCTTAAGATTCTATGATTTTATGAAATCCCATCTTTTTCGGTCTGGATATGTCTGACAGGGCCCCAGAGTTTAATCAATAAATTGGTTTGAGGAATCAATCAATCAGCTAAAAGTGCCTACGTTTAATCAGGCGGCATAACATTTAAAAAAAATTTTTTTTTTAATACACGACTTTTAAAAACGGCAGATGGCAAGTACCATTGTAAAAGTGTTCCCCTGTTTCTCTTTGACACAGGAAGGAAAGCCTTTTCTACAAACGCTGGTAAGTGGCATGTGTGCATCCTCTTAACACTGCATGTTTCTTGCTTCAGAATGATTGCTTTGACTCATGTACCTGCACTATTTTGCAGGTACTTATCTATTCCAGCTTGATCACCCCCCGCTTTTTAGTAGATGCATACAGGATCAACCAAATAAGCTTTTCCAATTGGGTGGATTTTTTTGTTTTGTTTATTGTTTTAAAGTGTATATTAGAATTAGGTTTTAAAACCTATTTTAATTGTTGTATTTTTTTTAAACGTAAGTTAGTTTTTATTGCAGGATAATAAATTTCCTTGAGACGTGCAAAAGGCAATTCACAGATAAACAATTTTTTTTTTTAAGTATATCATTTACCAGGTGGCAGACAGCACAGTTTCATTTGAAAGCAGACTGTGCATTTTTTAGGGCACTGATGGCCAACAGGTCGATCACGATCTACCTGTTCCCTAAAAACTTTGGCTCCCTAAGAAAAGCTCAACAACTTTGGTAGATCACTGCCTGTTTTCTTATGCTGGGAGTAAATTGCGGTCTCTTGAAACATGCCTGTTTTAGGGAATTCAACCGTAAGTGCAAACACACAGGTTTCAAAAAAAGTTGGATTTTCAGAGTCATTTCATATTTTAATTATGATGCAAGCATCACTCACCACTCATTTAAAGGTGCAGAGGCCACTTTTCAAGGAGAAGGTTTGCGTGCTCTTTCTTCTTGACCTTGAAAAATAAAATGATTTAAGTGCCTGCTTCAAGGATGAAGGGAAAAGTGGGCTAATTGCACATCATTTCCCCGTATGCAGCACTATTTAGTTATTTAGAGAACTTTGCACAAGCCAGCGTAGAACAAATGGACCAATAGGTAAGAAAAATTCATAAAACACCACATTCCTTAAAAACACATCACAAATCAGCAAAGCACAGTTACTTATAGTGCCAGCCTTCAGGTCCCTCTTCAAACAGCTGCTAAAAAAATAGCCACCTAAAACTATAGAGAGATGGGGCTAGATGCACCTCAGAAGGAGGGAGCCACCACTAAAAAGGCCCTTTCCTGGACTCCACACCACCTACCTCATACAGAGGAGGGACCACCAGGAGGGCTTCACCTGTTGATTTGAGAGAACGGGCTGGCTGATATTGCACAAGGTGCATCGTGTTCTTTATTCGAGCATTAACTAACTAAGCAGTGCTGTTTCTCAGCTTATTCCAGCGCTGACTTTGGCACAGAGTGCTGGGCTGGGCTCCGGTTTGCTCTCTGCTAAAGCATTAGCCACCTTGCCGTTGCTCAGGCGTGATCCACAGAACCTGACAACGCGTCACTTGGTCGCGCCTTGTTTTTCAGAAAGCTAATTGCTGTTTTCGGGACACACTCTCCCACAGCTGTGAAGGCGCGGTTTTTCTTTTCAGGAAGTGAAAATAACATACATTCACTGCAGACCTATACCATAGAATCACAACATTGTAGAGTTAGAAGGGATATCAAAGAGTCGTCTTGTCCAACTCTCTGCAATGCAGGAATCTCGGCTAAAGCATCCATGACAGGTAGACATCCAACCTCTGCTTAAAAACCTCCAAGAAAGGAGAGTCCACAACCTCCTGAGGGAGACCGTTCCACTGTCAAACAGTTCTTCCTAAAGTTCTTCCTAAAGTTTAGTTAGAATCTCCTTTCTTGTAACTTGAAGCCACTGGTTCGTGTCTTACCCACCAGAGCAGGAGAAAACAAGCTTGCTCCATCTTCCATGTGACAGCCCTTCAGATATTTGAAGATGGCTATCCTATCTCCTCTCAGTCTCCTCTTTTCCAGGCTAAACATACCCAGCTCCTTCAACCATTCCTCATAAGGAACGCTTGGTTCCCAGTCCATCATCTTGGTCGCCCGCCTCTGCACACGTTCCAGCTTGTCAGCATCCTCCTTAAATTGTGGCGCCCAGAATTGTATACAGGACTCCAGGTGTGGTTTGACTAAAACAGAATAGAGTGGTACTATGACTTCCCTAGATCTGGACGCTATACGTCTGTTGATGCAGCCTAGAATAGCATTTGCCTTTTTTGCTGCTGCATCACTCCATTGACTCGTATTAAGCTTGTGGTCCACCAAGACCCCTAGATCCTTTTCACATGTACTACTGGTAAGCCAAAGCACTTGGGGCCACCGTTCAAATCATAGAATTATAGAGTTGGAAAGGACCTTGAGGAACATGTAGTTTATCCCTCTACAGTGCAGGAATATGCAGCTGTCCCGCACAGCGATCGAACCTGCAACCTTAGCTAACCATCTGTCCTGAACTATCCTGAATGCACTTGTCTTAGAGCTGTGGATTAGGGTTAGAGCATCAGTTGCCGGCATGGTGGATGAGGCTTTGCAAGACAACTTCCTCTACAGTGGTACTTCGGGTTAAGAACTTAATTTGTTCCAGAGGTCCGTTCTTAACCTGAAACTGTTCTTAACCTGAGGTAGCACTTTAGCTAATGGGGCTCCCGCTGCTGCCGTGCGATTTCTGTTCTCATCCTGAAGCAAAGTTCATAACCTGAGGCACTGTTTCTGGGTTAGCGGAGTCTGTAACCTGAAGCGTATGTAACCTGAGGTACCACTGTATTGCTAAGACTCAGAGAGGGCCATATATGCTGTATATGCTGTCACCATGAGTTTTTTTCAATGCCTGCATCCAAAATCCTGTGCCCATTTCACCATAACTGCCTTGACTTGTTCTTCTTTTGTTTCCCATTCCAAAAGGTAATCGTAGATTCATGAAATATTTTTTCCTTTGATAAAAATTAATTCTCTTTCAAATTTGGATGTTTCTTTCGCAATCCCTTGTTTTAAATCCATGGCCAATCTTTGCTGTAACTGAAAATATTGTAACCAATCCGTGAGGTAAAGGTAAAGGGACCCCTGACTGTTAGGTCCAGTCGCGGCCGACTCTGGGGTTGTGGCGCTCATCTCGCTTTATTGGCCGAGGGAGCCGGCGCACAGCTTCCGGGTCATGTGGCCAGCATGACTAAGCCACTTCTGGCGAACCAGAGCAGCGCACGGAAACACCGTTTACCTTCCCGCTGGAGTGGTACCTATTTATCTACTTGCACTTTGACGGGCTTTCAAACTGCTAGGTTGGCAGCAGCAGGGACCGAGCAACGGGAGCTCACCCCGTCGTGGGGATTCGAACCACCAACCTTCTGATCGGCAAGCCCTAGGCTCAGTGATTTAACCCACAGCGCCACCCATGTCCCTATTTTCCCCCTAATCTGGTTCAAATACCAGAAGTGAGTTTGATTGGGAGGAAACTGGGAGGGGCTGGATTGGAGGATGCAATGCAGGGAAGATTTCGCTCCCCTAAACTGCACGCCCTTTCGTTACCAAAGTCGCCCCCACTTCCCTTTCAATATGTGAAAGCAGTAGAGGCGGATGAACAAATGGGAGCGCCCCATCGCATCCTAAATGTAGTCCCCAGACTCTATATGTGGTTTCAGAAGAGGTGTCAAATTTCCTTCAAGATAGAGCATGCATGAGCACAAAGGCTGTTTGGGTCAAATTCCTCTTCCCCTTGGTACATCCATTACAACCCCCATCCCAAGACAACAGAGCTTTCGAACTGCTAGGTTGGCAGCAGCAGGGACCGAGCAATGGGAGCTCACCCTGTCACGGGGATTTCATAGAATCATAGAATCATAGAGTTGGAATAGACCACAAGGGCCATCGAGTCCAACCCCCTGCCAAGCAGGAAACACCATCAGAGCACTCCTGACATATGGTTGTCAAGCCTCTGCTTAAAGACCTCCAAAGAAGGAGACTCCACCACACTCCTTGGCAGCCAATTCCACTGTCGAACAGCTCTTACTGTCAGGAAGTTCTTCCTAATGTTTAGGTGGAATCTTCTTTCTTGTAGTTTGGATCCATTGCTCCGTGTCTGCTTCTCTGGAGCAGCAGAAAACAACCTTCCTCCCTCCTCTATATGACATCCTTTTATATATTTGAACATGGCTATCATATCACCCCTTAACCTCCTCTTCTCCAGGCTAAACATGCCCAGCTCCCTTAGCCGTTCCTCATAAGGCATCGTTTCCAGGCCTTTGACCATTTTGGTTGCCCTCCTCTGGACACGTTCCAGTTTGTCAGTGTCCTTCTTGAACTGTGGTGCCCAGAACTGGACACAGTACTCCAGGTGAGGTCTGACCAGAGCAGAATACAGTGGCACTATTACTTCCCTTGATCTAGATGCTATACTCCTATTGATGCAGCCCAGAATTGCATTGGCTTTTTACTGCCGTGTCACACTGTTGGCTCATGTCAAGTTTGTGGTCAACCAAGACTCCTAGATCCTTTTCACATGTACTGCTCTCAAGCCAGGTGTCACCCATCTTGAACCGCCGACCTTCTGATCGGCAAGTCATAGGTTCTGTGGTTTAACCCACAGCGCCACCCGCGTCCCAATCTGTTAGGTGACTTTTAATTCCCTCGTATTTTTTCAATGTAGGCTTGTCTTTACCTATTTCTAGGACTAATCGGTACGTAGGCCAATCTGCTTTCATATTTCTTTTTTTTTACTGTGGGCATCACCAACAGAAACCATGGCAGAGCCTGTGGCACGTTCAGCTGTTTGTGTGCTGAACTCTGTCCCCATGCAGCCAATCGCCCTGGATAAATATTTCCAGAGAAGTAGCCTTCTGCAGCAAACACAGCAGAGTCCTGCCGCACCTCAAAGACTAACATCATATAACTTGCTTATATAAGTACATTTCCCAGCACAATTCAAAGTGTTGGTGCTGACCTTTAAAGCCCTAAACGGCCTCGGTCCAGTATATCTGAAGGAGCATCTCCACCCCCATCGTTCTGCCCAGACACTGAGGTCCAGCGCCGAGGGCCTTCTGGCGGTTCCCTCCCTGTGAGAAGCCAAGTTACAGGGAACCAGGCAGAGGGCCTTCTCGGTGGTGGCGCCCTCCCTGTGGAACACCCTCCCACCAGATGTCAAAGAGAACAACAACTACCAGACTTTTAGAAGACATCTGAAAGCAGCCCTGTTAAGGGAAGCTTTTAATGTTTGATGCATTACTGTATTTTAATGTTTTGTTGGAAGCCGCCCAGAGTGGCTGGGGAAGCCCAGCCAGATGGGTAGGGTATAACTAATAAATTATTATTATTATTATTATTAGTCTAGATTCAGGTAGGTAGGCGTGTTGGTCTGGCGCAGTCGAAATAAAATAATAATAATAATGAATTGTTCAGTAGCACCTTATAGACCAACTAAGTTTGTTCTGGTATAAGCTTTTGTGTGCATGCAAGACTCTCTTGCTGGTTTTTCCTGGAGATGCTCAGGATTGAACCAGCTGAGGGGGTGTGTGCATCTGCTTTGCGTACATAAAGTCTGAAGTTGAATCCTTGGCATCTCCTGTTAAGGCCTAAAACCCCATAGCTGTCAACCATCCCTTATTTGGCGGGAAAGTCCTTTATCCCAGCACCATGTCCCGCTGCTGTCCCTTATTGATGATGTCCCTTAAATTTCCCGGATTTCAAAGGAAGCAGCTCCTCTCCCTCCCCCCCTGCCAGCCAGGGAGGAGGGAGGCTCCAACTGTGTTGCTTGGCTGCGTTGCTCACCCAATAAGGACTCTAAGAACAACTGGGGGGTGGAGCTTGCATGCCTTGTGCCGATCAAATCGGCCGCGTTGCCTGGGGACTTGCCTTTTGCTCAGCGCTTCCCAGCAGAGAGGTGACGGTGGTTTTCCTTGCTGCATCCCCTTTGCCGGGTTGCTGCGCTGTGGGAACCACCGCTTGAGGCTTCATTTGGCTGCTGGCTGGGGTTTCTGCCTTTGGCTCGGAGGGGCTCAGAAGTTGAACATACCTGTGTTCGGAAAATCCCTTATTTTGGCTGCTGATCCCTTATTTTCGAGGCTGCTGGTCCCTTATTTTCAAATCTGTAAGTTGACAGCTATGAAAACCCTGGAAAATGGCTGCCAGTCAGTGTAGACAGTACCAAGCTAATTGGACCCATGGGCTGACTATTTTATAAAACAACTTCCTGTGTTCCTGGGAGTGGAACAGCAGGTGGTTAGCAAGGATTTCTCCCAGTCCTTCCTGGAGATCCCAGGGATCGAACCTTCGGCTTTCTGTGTGCACGGCATCTGAGGTACAGCCCATCCCGGTGCCACCTGTGCACAGTTTATGCTGCTGGCAGAGGCGTTGTGCATTAAACCCAGTGCAAGATTGCCCAAGTCTGCTCCACGCAGCCTTTCCTCAGAGCTACGGCCCACACAAGTTCTCTTGGTGTTCAGTCTTGTGTGTGCATGCAAATACACACGCTATATAATTAGCCCCTCGTTATGAAGGGTGCTATAGGAACCAGCAGGGAAATAATGTGTTGCTCCAAATGTATAATGAAATTCAATTAGCGCAAATGGCATAAGAACAGTTTATGGGCCGCTGATTGGGTGGTGGTGGGTTTCTAATTGGAAAAGTACCAGCTTCCCTATTATCTCTGCTCCACCTCCTACCCCAAAAGTCGGGAATGAAACTGGCATTAAAAGGAGCCTTGGCTGACAATGCTCCTGCCCCCCCAAGTTAAATGTGCACGGATTGAATCTCCCTCTGATGCAGTTGAGGAATTGCTTTGTGTGCACTTAAAAAGTCCACCCCCTTTTTTTTCTTTTAAATGAAAGCTGTGGTGGTAGCAATAGGCTGCCACTGATGATTGTGCTTTGCATGCTTCCAAGACCATCTCCTTTGCTGAACGAGCGAGTGCTGCAAAACACAGGGGTTTCTCTGCAAAAAAACAAAAACCCCTGCAAATCTTTTGCACAGGTTTGGAGAAGATCCCAAATCTTGGGGTGCATAGTCAATTTTCCTAGAGTGAGCAATTTTTGGGCATGGTGGCTAGCATCTTTCTCCCACTCCTGCACCAGGAAAGGCTGGTTTCTGCAACCTGTAAAAATTACGGAATTCTAGAACGGTTGTGTAATTTCTCGCTTTGTATAATTCATTCTGCGGAGTTTTCAGCTTTCTTTCTTTCTTGTTCGCATGATATATTTAACTGCTTGCCTGTCCTGGAGCAGGACAAGAAACTCATTGGGGTAGGGCAGCGATATATCCCATTCCTGTACTTTTGGCTTCTGTGATCTTCGCTGGGCATTACATTTAAGCATATCCCAGAAACTGCTTCAACTGGCCGGCTAAACCAGGTGAGGGTAGCCGACAGGTCTCAAACCCTCGATGAGTTAGGGATTTCCCTTCATTCAAAGACCGGCTCTAGCAGACAAAGCAATCGTGGGTCCAGCGGTCAAGAAGGCGGTTTCTGAATGTGCTGTAGAGGGAAGTGAGGGGCAGGTGGGGCTCGTCAACCTGGGAAGGGAGCCCATCTAGGAGAAGGAAAACTCTGATCCTGAATCTCTGCTGCCTTCCAGGAAATCTTCGGCAGTAGAAAAGGCTCAGAAGTAAAGCCTACACAAATCCTTAAAATGGATGGATGGCGCCTTGAAAGCCTCCTTCCATCAGATCCTGTAGCCAAGCTGGTGCTCAATGTCTTGCTCTGCTTTCCTTTGGACCACATGAGCCAGGCTGGGAGGGGCGGGTCTCGTCATCTGGGCAGCCCAAGACCTCCATAAATACCACCCAGGCTTGCGTTCTGCAATGGGGGGGGGGGCGTGCCACATAATAATAATGATAATAATAAAATTTATTTATACCCCGCCCTCCCCAGCCAAGACTGGACTCAGGGCGGCTAACACCAGGTATTAAAACAATCGATTAAAATACAACTTAATAACAAGATTAAAATACAACATTAAAATGCAGCCTCATTTCAGTAGAAACTCAAATCAAAAACTTTTTGGGGATGAAAACGTCAAGTCTTCACCAAGGCAAACTATCCAGACTGGCAACTACGTGGGCCAGAAAAAAGCCAGGGAAGTCCCCAAATAGGAGTTCCATCACAGAAGGAAAAAGGAAAGAGGGGGAGGGGATCAAGTTGATTCCAAGCCAAAGGCCAGGTGGAACAACTCTGTCTTACAGGCCCTGCAGAAAGAAATCAGACCCTGCAGGGCCCTGGTCTCATGAGACAGAGCGTTCCATCAGGCCGGAGCCAGTGTTGAGAAGGCCCTGGCCCTGGTTGAGGTTAATCTGACTGCCTTAGGGCCCGGGACCTTTAGGGTGTTGCTATTTATGGACCTTAAGGTGCTTTAAGTGCTGCTAATGCAGCAGTTTGACTTCATGTCCGGAGGCGCACTCCATGGTCTGTTGAGACAGACGGATGCCAACCACAGCAACAAAGGGGGTGGGGGGTGGGTCAGAAGGCACATGAGACCACCGCTTTGCTTAAGCTAAGCCAGGGGCTAGCGACCCTAGTGGGTACGTTTGGAATTTTCAGAAAGCGCCTTGGCACCAGTGGCAAACTAGCTGCCACGTGTATATGTGTGTGGGACAACACAAAAGGGGTGCCACAGCTAAAATAGGAGACAAAGAGACAGGACTTCTAAGTCGTGCAGGCATGCCCCCCCCATTGCCTCAATTCAGTTGTCACATTGATTGGCGGGGGGTGGGGGCGGGGCAGAGGCACCTTAATCAGGCACTCTCTGCTCCCAGAGAGGAGCTGTTTGCGCTTTTCCAATGTTCCTTCTGGGTTGACATCCTCAGTCCTTTTCTGTCCCTAAGTGGGACAGAAGGCAAAGGACTCAGAATAGTGGGAACATTTTCTCTGTCTTGCCAAATGCAAGGTGGTTCTTTTAAAATGAGATTCAGAAGTAATAAAAAGACACAAGTGAGCGAGAAGTTGAAAGATTTTATTCTAAACAGCAAGCAATATATACATACCAAGCAAGCACTTGCACCTGCCAATTGGAAGCCCTCAAGAAGCGGCAAAGTGACTCCCCCAGGTAGCCTCAGTTTGCACAGCCCCGCAGTTGGAACACGAGCTTCTCAAAAACTCTGCCCACAACCACCCGATCTATAGATAGCTAGCCTGTGTGGCTTGCCCGACTGGCTATGTGCAGATCATTCATTAACCACCCCCTCCCAATGCCTCACTTTCTCAAAACAATGTCCAACATCAGAGAAGGTACCTCGCACTATCACTTCCAACTGATTACAGGGGTCAGCAAACTTTTTCAGCAGCGGGCCGGTCCAGTGTCCCTCAAACCTTGTGGGGGGCTGGACTATATTTTTTTGGGGGGGGGGAATGAATGAATTCCTATGTCCCACAAATAACACAGAGATGCATTTTAAATAAAAGCACACATTCTACTCATGTAAAGACACCAGGCAGGCCCCACAAATAACCCAGAGATGCATTTTAAATAAAAGGACACATTCTACTCATGTAAAAACACGCTGATTCCCGGACTGTCCGTGGGCCGGATTTAGAAGGCGATTGGGCTGCATCTGGCCCCCGGGCCTTAGGTTGCCTACCCATGGATTAGGACAGACATCCCCAAACTCAGCCCTGCAGATGTTTTGGAACTACAATTCCCATTATCCCTGACCACTGGTCCTGTTAGCTAGGGATGATGGAAGTTGTAGTCCCAAAAACATCTGGAGGGCTGAGTTTGGGGATGCCTGGATTAGGACATTAAAGGCTGTTCTTATGCCATCAAAGAGCTTATCAAGAGTCAGGGAGGGGGAAGGAACAGAGGCAGGAAAGGTAACCATGTCAGATCACTAACTCCTCGAAAGACAATTCATCTTCCGGGTAGATTGCCCATACAGCTCCTAGAGCAAATCAAAGACCAAGAGGCATATACCTGTACACCTGTCAGGCTGCTACCCTAAACTTGCTGAGGACCATAGGAATCTGCCTTTGGCTGAGTCCAACCATTGGTTCATGTAGTTCAGTATTGTCAACATTGCCAGACAGGTGCACTTCAAGATTTCAGGTGGGGTTCCCTCACAGCCCTCCCGAGAGGTGCCAAGGACCTTCTGTTTTCAAAGGAGATGGAACACCATTAATGTCACTTACCTGGGCATAACAGCCATCAAATTCCATAGGATTTCCTTCTGAGTAGACATGGTTACAGTTGTGCCGTCAAGCTGGGCCCAAAGGCAACAGGCCTGTTCTTTTCCTACCCTTTCCTGCGGCTCCCTCGGGAATCGTGCCTCTTTTACAAATGCTTAATTCCTCTGCGTTGTCACTGTCAACGTCTGGGAACGCCCATTTGCCGACATGACCCTGCAAAGCGCCAGCTTAACGCCTTGTGCTTTCTTCCTTGTGCTTTTCCTCGCTGCCAGTTACTCCTGAAGCGATTGGGTTCCTCTCAGCTGTCGGGGTCTTCATCGTCCTCTTTGCGGTCCTCTTCCTCTTCATCAACAAGAAGCTGTGCTTTGAGAAGATCGGGGGCCTCCCCTGCTTGGAACAACGCGGGAAACGTAAGCGCTACAAAGAGAAGTCGGCCGTTCACGAGAGCCTTGGTAAGTACCGCCATACTCCTTAAAACAAATCGGATCCGATTTAAGGAATAGATTGAAATCTCCTGCTTTTAGCAAAACTTTAAATTGCTTGGAACTGCTATCTTTTGCTTTCTGGTACCCGTTGGCCACATTTGCACGTCACATGAAAGAGCCATCAATTAGCCATGATGGGGAACCTTTTCCACCTCGGTCCTGAATGATTAGTTCGGATTCCTGTATTGCAGGAGGCATAGGTGCTGGCTTCTAGAGGTCAAGGCAGTTTTGCCGCCCCCCGTGTTTTTTTGAGGGGTGGGTAGGCCCCCTCAATATTCAGAGGGTGTTTGGTTCCACCTCCCAGCTCCTTGCGATGTTAGGACATCCCATCAGTTCCCCTCAATCAACTTGAGAAGATGGTACCTCTGGGCAGGGGGCTTGGAGTTTGGGTCGATTTGGACCCCTTCCAATTCCACAGGTGTATGATTCCGAGGGCCACATTTTTCTGTGGGCAACCTTCCAGGGTCCACATGCTGGTGGTGGGAGGGGCCAGAGGTAAAAGTAGGTGGGGCAAAAAACGTAAGGGCAGATAAAGAGGTCTGGATAATGCCATTCAGCACCTCCTCATCCTGTTGTTTATGATTTTAGATATGCTGCAAGCCGCCCAAAGTGGCTAGGGAAACTCAGCCAGATGAGTGGGGTATAATAATAAAATTATTATTATTATTATTATAGTGATACCTCAGGTTACCTAGCTTCAGGTTACATACGCTTCGGGTTACACACTCCGCTAACCCAGAAATAGTGCTTCAGGTTAAGAACTTTGCTTCAGGATAAGAACAGAAATCGGGCTCCGGCGGCGTGGCAGCAGCAGGACGCCCCATTAGCTAAAGTGGTGCTTCAGGTTAAGAACAGTTTCAGGTTAAGAACGGACCTCCAGAACGAATTAAATACTTAACCTGAGGTACCACTGTACTGTGTCATGCAGAAGCTGGAATGATCCCATGTGAGTCTCAGGCTTGCACAAATTCTCCAGGAAGAGGACTCCCAACAGCATTTTGCTTCATTTCTGCTGAATATTTAGGGGTTTTTTTTGGATGCAAACAGGGGTTTGTGGTTTATAACAAACTCAGGTTCGTTTAACCAAGGCTTCTTGGTAGTGGCGCTCGCCCTGTGGAACGCCCTCCCATCAGATGTCAAAGCGATAAACAACTACCTGACATTCAGAAGACATCTTAAGGCAGCCCTGTTCAGGGAAGTTTTTAATGTGTGACATTTTAGTGTATTTTTGGTCTCTGTGGAAGTCGCCCAGAGTGGCTGGGGAGGCCCAGCCAGATGGGCGGGGTACAAACAATAAATTATTATTATTATTATTATTAAGGCTTGGAGTTGACTTGCTTTGAAAGTGACCAGAGTATTTTATAAGCCCCACCAATGACAAGCCGAGAGTTTCATGAAAAAGAAGCGTGGCTAAAGTTGTGCTCTGGACCAGAGGGGGAGACAAAAGGGGGACATCCAGGGCAGGTGGGGCTCACTTCGGCTCATTCCGGCTTGTGAATGCCACACTAAACTATGGCTTACCGTGACGTGCCAATGCAGCCATTACGTTTGCTCTGACAGCAATGAGTTCTATGAGAATAAATGGTAAAATATCATAATAATGCTAGAATAATAATTCCTCTATTTTATTCTTATATTCTGGGGTGTCCTGAATGTGAGGCAACAGTCACCTGTGAAATTGATGGTGTTTCCTTTTGGGTGCTTTCTGCTTGGTGATGGCTGTTCTCCTTCTGTTTCTTTGGCATTGGGAGGTAGGGTTAGGTTTAGGTTTAGGGTCAATGTTGGAGGTAGGGTTAGGTTAGGGTTGGGTTTAGGGTTAGGGTTGGAGGTAGGGCTAGGGTTAAGGTTGGGCAAGATCAACTGCAGGGTTTGCAAAACTTGGGTCTCCAGCTGTTTTTGGACTACAGTTCCCATCATCCCTGACCACCGGTCCCGCTCACTAGGGACGATGGGAGTTGTAGTCCGAAAACAGCCAGAGACCCAAATCTGGGAAACAGCGATCTACTGGGAAGAGTTACTTGGCCTTACTTGAGCCTGAGCTGTTTGGTTTCTTTGAACAAAGAGTTACCGTATTTTTTGCTCTATAAGACGCATCAGACCACAGACCATCTAGTTTTTGGAGGAGGAAAACAAGAAAAACAATATTCTGAATCTTAGAAGCCAGAACAGCAAGAGGGATCGCTGCGCAGTGAAAGCAGCAATCCCTCTTGCTGTTCTGGCTTCTGGGATAGCTGCGCAGCCTGCATTCACTCCATAAGACGCACACACATTTCCCCTTACTTTTTAGGAGAGAGAAAGTGAGTCTTATAGAGCAAAAAATACGGTAACTACACTGATGCTTTGTGAGTTATTTTTGACCTGACCCTGGCACCTGCCTCTGACAACCTGGGAATTGCAGGTGGTGAGCTCAATGTCGGGGGGAGCGTGTCTTCATGGCGCCTGGGGTGGGCGCACCAAAATGCGCCCTCGAAAAAACTGTGCCTCAGAGCAATGGTTCCCGCCCTTGCTATGCCTCTGGGAGAGCTCACTGTTGCACTCAGGTCCTGCTTGCAGAATCCCATTTAGCATTTGGTTGGCAGCTTTAGGAACAGGATACTGGATGAGGTGGGGCTTTGGCCTGATCCTGTTTTATATTCCTATTCCATGAGGAACGCCAGCAGTTGAGACTGGGAAGCAGTGCAGGGAAAGGCATCCCTGCTCCTTCTCCTCTCACAGATTCGTACCTGTTTCCAGAAATGTGAGGAGAGGTCTTGCATCGCGTAGCTTGTGGGGAGCTTGCGCTAGGTTCCTTTTGTTTTGTTCTCCGCCACGCTCTCACTGTTACACAAACACCGATATCGCTCTGTTAAAAAGTTCCCTTTGTTGAGAGCTTTGCAAAGTCTTTCTTTCTCCTGACAAGTATTGCAATGCGAGGGCCTTAAAAAAAATAAAATAAAAATGACAACATCTCTCCTTCGCTGCGTTGTGGGCGTCGGTGCTTTTTGGAGCTGCCACAGACGGCAGTGCAAACATATATTTACCAAAGCTTTTAAAAAATGTGAATTATTAATAAACAGGGTAGGTTTTAAAAACTGAGGAAAGTGGGAGGAATAGTGGGGGGGCCCGGGGCTGAGAAGACTTGCCTGCACGCTATAGTGATTTGCATTTGAAAGTAATTCTTACATGATTGACAAGTAAATCCTTTAAAATGTGGTATTTATAATGGAAAGGCTCATATCGCCTTGAACCGCAGCCTGTACTGTGGGAGAAAGATGGCGTTTGTATTGTTGTAGCCTTGGGTGTGTATATATAGAGACAGTGCTGCTACTTATGAATTATACTGGGAAATTGAAGTAGGAAACAGTTTTTCCTTTTTGCTAAAATGGGAAAGGTGATGTCAAAGCTATTCAGAACATTTACCTGTTCGCTCCGTTGTCTTGTGATGGGGGTTGTAATGGATGTACCAAGGGGAAGAGGAATTTGACCCAAACAGCCTTTGTGCTCATGCATGCTCTATCTTGAAGGAAATTTGACACCTCTTCTGAAACCACATATCAAGTCTGGGGACCACATTTAGGATGCGATGGGGCGCTCCCATTTGTTCATCTGCCTCTGCTGCTTTCACATAACGAAAGGAAAGTGGGGGCGACTTTGGTAACGAAAGGGCGTGCAGTTTAGGGGAGCAAAATCTTCCCTGCTTTGCATCCTCCACTCCAGCCCCTCCCAGTTTCCTCCCAATCAAACTCACTTCTGGTATTTGAACCAGATTAGGGGAAAAATAGAGACGTGGGTGCGGCTGTGGGTTAAACCACTGAGCCTAGGGCTTGCCGATCAGACGGTCGGCGGTTCGAATCCCCGTGACAGGATGAGCTCCCGTTGCTCAGTCCCTGCTCCTGCCAACCCAGCAGTTCGAAAGCACGTCAAAGTGCAAGTAGATAAATAGGTACCACTCCGGTGGGAAGGTAAACGGCGTTTCCGTGCGCTGCTCTGGTTCGCCAGAAGCGGCTTAGTCATGCTGGCCACATGACTTGGAAGCTGTACGCTGGCTCCTTCGGCCAATAAAGCGAGATGAGCGCCGCAACCCCAGAGTCGGTCACGACTGGACCTAATGGTCAGGGGTCCCTTTACCTTTACTTTAGGGGGCAAATGGGCCACAATGACAACAGGGCCTGATTTAGGTTTAATGACGTCCTAAGCTACTGAAGGTAATAGGGCCCTTTATATGTCCAGCTGTCCTTTGTCAACAACAAATTGTTGCTGTTTTTTGTGTTGAATATATGCTATATGGTAATTTATGGACCTAATAGGTATCTAAAGCGATTTGCACATAACAAAATATGTATTTTATCAAAGTAATTGTTGAACTGAAATACAATTAAGAAGAAGTATATTAATAGTGAAATACAATTAAGAAGAAGTATATGAATTGTGAAATAATTATTAAGCTCTAACTTAAAATGATTTTTTATTCATAACAAACTTAATAACGCAAACACATTGGCATTTGGCAATAACAAAAGTTCCTTTAGAAACACAATTTACAAAGACTCATAATCTAGTCTCTCGAAACTTGCTATAACATGGAATAATAATTGTGGGGTTTTTGGTTTTTTTATCTTATATTTTGGAAATGTGCATCCAGTTTTCCCCCCCTTTAAATTTTTTGGGGCCCCCAAGAGAGTGGGGCCCTAAGCTATATCTTGTTTAGCTTATACAAAGCGCTAGGAGGTGAGGTTCAGGCAGGGGAAAGATTCACCCCGTGCAACTCTGGGGAAAAGATTTAGTCCCCTTCTCCCGTCACTGTCAGCGGGGCAGATCCGTGAACTAGGTTTCCCCAACCCAATGTCCTCCAGATGTTGAAGAACTGCTGCTCTCATCCCTCTAATGGTTGGTTGTGCTTTCTGATGGGAGTTGTAGTCAAAAGCTTCGGGTTAAGGAAGGCTGAAATAAATAAACGTGGGTGCTTCTCCCATATCCAGTTGGTTCTGAATTTCTAGGCCAAAGAGCTCATTCAGACATACCATCCAGGGACCCTATTTTTCAGGGAGAGTCCTGGAATTACAAAAGCCATCTCAGTTTCTGATTTGCTTCTGATGGAATATCCCGTTGGCTCTTTATGGTCACCGCTGCTGGCCTCTTCCAATAATAGTAATAATAATAAATAATAATAATAATAATAATAATAATAATAATAATAATAATTTATTTATACCCGACCCTCCCCAGCCAAGACCGGGCTCAGGGCGGCTAACACCAGGTATAAAACAATTGATTAAAATACAACTTAAAAACAAGATTAGAATAGAACCTTAAAATGCAGCCTCATTTCAGTAGAAACTCAAATCAAAAACTTTTTGGGGATGAAAACGTCAAATCTTCATCAAGGCCAACTATCCAGACTGGTCTTACGTGGGCCAGAAAAAAAGCCAAGGAAGTCCCAGACACAGAAGGAGAAAGGAAAAAGGAAAGAGGGGAAGGGGATCAAGTTGATTCCAAGCCAAAGGCCAAGCGGAACAACTCTGTCTTACAGGCCCTGTGGAAAGAAATCAGATCCTGCAGGGCCCTGGTCTCATGAGAGAGAGAGTTCCACCAGGCCGGAGCCATCACTGAAAAGGCCCTGGCTCTGGTTGAGGCTAATCTGACTTCCTTAGGGCCCGGGACCTCTAGGGTGTTGCTATTTATGGACCTTAAGGTCCTCCGCGGGGCATACCGGGAGAGGCGGTCCGTTGGTACCAGGGTCCTAGACCGTGAAGGGCTTTAAAGGTCAAAACCAGCACCTTAAATCTGACTCTGTACTCCACCAGTGCAGCTGGAAAAGCAGTTTGTAATGGCTGATGGAGAGCAGGCAAAGAAGAGGAGAGGTTGCCGGTACTGAGGCCCAGCCCCGTGAGACATGCCAGCTCTGAGGGGCAGGCAGAGGCCAGGGCCTCCCTGAGAGGGAAGAAAGGACAAGGAGTTATTATTATTATTATTATTATTATTATTATTATTATTATTAAATGCTTCGTGCATCCGTGCCCAATCTTGCCTCCCTCCTAAATAAATTAAAACAAAATTGGGATTAAGTAGTTTTCTCGGGACGGTGGAGGGCTTGTGTGTTGTGTCCTGTTGGTGAAGCCGTGGTGGCCCTTCAGGCTTCTTCTGACAGAAAATGCTCTGTAGGCTGGGGAGGGACAAAAAAAATGGGGGGGGTCAAGGAGGGTCATTTGCAGGGAGTGAGAAATGTCCCTATTTTTCATCTGAGGAAAGTCAGAGGGTATGTGCTTATCATGTGCTGACTGTCTCCCGAACGTACAATTAGTCTCCGTTTTCTTTAAAAAAACAAACAACCCTGTGCTGTTGCATTGAAACTGGGTGATTATAAAAGTTCTGCTTTTGATGGCTCCAGAGTTCCAGAGCGGGGTCTCTCCCTGCTTCCTTAGAGAGGTCTGAGGATTGAACCAAGGCCTTCATTCTCTTCTACGGAGCTATTCCATTCAGCCTACAAGCCTAACACATAGATCCCCTCCCTGAGTTGTTCGAGTTTCTATCAGCTCAGGCTGAACAACCCTTTTGCATCTGCTGTTGCAGGAAGTCTTGCTTTGCGCTCAGGTATTCCAGAGACTTCTGCGATTGTGCTTTTTGTACCGTTCCAGCACATTTGCTCTGTATGGCAACCTTGCATTTTATAACCTGCCCCTAGCCGTTAATGAACAATGGGTGTCAGATTTATACAATATAGAGTTTGCTTCCTTTTTTTTAATGCATTGGAAACAATGGAGAATGCAATTAATTGCTGCCATTCCTTTTCCTTCAAGGCAAAGTACGTGTTCTTAAAAGGGTTGGGATGAAAGTAAAATCTAAACAGGAGTATGATTAATGGGAAACAATTATTTGGTGGTGAGCCACTTTGTTTCGGATTCCAAGACAGTTTTATTTGAAATTATGGGGAACTTCATACCAGAGGATTAGAGACAGCAAGTGTAGCAAATACTGGTTCAGCTGGCATGGAAAGGCATTATGCAATTGAGCCTTAGGCTCCTTCCTCCATGTGCTCAGAGTCAATCACTCACTCACTGATCAATGCAAACCATAATTTGCTGTTGCAACCAACCTAGCAAACTGTAATTTGCACCCAACCTCCGTACTAGAATTTAAAACGATGGTTTGCAGGGGAAATGCAAACCCTAGTTTATTGGTTTGGATGCAGCGGCAAACTATTGCTTCTGCTAAAATGTGGCCTTCCAATTACATCAGGAGCGGAGGAAGGGTCTTGATCCCCCTTTGCCAATCCTCTGCTGGCCACATGCCAGAAGTGGGTGTGTCTATCCTGCACATGAACACTCGCAAACATATATACACGTGTATAGGCACATGCAGCCACCCCAGCCGATCAACCAACTGTTGAATGGGGAGTGTACGATTTACATCCCCATCCATCTGCTGTGTTTAGCATTTAAACCTCTGCATCCACCCCAACACTATCTGCTTTATTGTTACTTGGGGAACCTGTAAACATGGTTTGAACCATCCCTTGCATCACCTAGTTATAAATTAACTTTTGACATTCATCCTGTGCTTTTGGTTTGGTGAATCCCTGGTTGTCTTGCAAATTTGGGTGAAAGCATTCTCTCCTTCTGGTTTGTGGTGTGTGGACACTTCTCCTTTCTCTTTTCTGTGCTCTCTTTCTTTCTCTCAGCTTGGATAATTTTAGTAGGTCTAACAAAGAGGTTAAAAGGGGGGCAGGCGATCTTTTGATAACCTTTTGCAATGCTTATTCTGTAGCTCACAGACCTCTGAGTCTGGCATGCTGGCAGAGATGAACAGCTGGAGTTTATGACCCATCAGTTTACTTGTTCATGGTGTGCAAAAAAGCATGTCCGCCCAGGATGTCCAGAGTTTCTTCCAGCCCTTGTCCTCATGGATGTCTCGGATCTATGAGGCTGTCCAGGAAGCAGGCGACTCCATATCTTCTTCCTTCGCCAACCTGGGAAGCAAAGCGGATCCCCATCCCACTGAAGAAGGAGACGAGGGCTTAGAAGACAGCGATGATGGGTCTTACGAACGTTACTCTGAAGCTTCAGACGATGGAAGCACCTTTAGCCAGGAGAGTGGAGAATCTGATGACTTCTCATCATCTGCTCATGAGCCTACTTCTCTGGAGTCTTCCTGTGCTTCAGAGCTGGGTTTTCGTTGGCAAGAAGGAGACAAGAGCAGCCCCACCTTCTCAGATCAGTATCTCGATGATGACCCCTTGACTTCCCATGGACTCTATCCAAGCTACAAGGGCTACCAACTTATGGAAACCATCCCGGAGGAAGAGGAGCATTCCAAGCAGAGTAAGAATCTTCTACATAACTGTGATGGTAAGTTGGTGTCCTCCTAACCTCTTTATTTTGCACCCACTCTCCAAGAAAAACATGGGGTTGCTGCCCCAAAGGGTGATCCCTTTCAGTTCCTACCACGTGACTTCGTGTTCTTACACAGTGCATTTCTCTCCCTCTACTTTATATCATTGGTTGGCAGGGAAATGCAAGGTGTAATGACATCAGGACATGGGGCAGGTTATGTCAAAAGTTATGAAAGCAGAGGCAGCCATTTCCCCTCCATCTCCATACTTACTTGCAGATAATGCTTCGCAGAGGATAAAAGTTATTAGCAACTCCTTACGACAGATTATAGGGACGCGGGTGGCGCTGTGGGTTAAACCACAGAGCCTAGGACTTGCCGATCAGAAGGTTGGCGGTTCGAATCCCCGCGACGGGGTGAGCTCCCGTTGCTCGGTAGCAGCTCCTGCCAACCTAGCAGTTTGAAAGCACGTCAAAGTGCAAGTAGATAAATAGGTACTGCTCCGGTGGGAAGGTAAACAGCATTTCCGTGTGCTGCTCTGGTTTGCCAGAAGCGGCTTAGTCATGCTGGCCACATGACCCGGAGGCTGTACGCCGGCTCCCTCGGCCAATAAAGCAAGATGAGCACCGCAGCCCCAGAGTCGGTCACGACTGGACCTAATGGTCAGGGGTCCCTTTACCTTTACCTTACGGCAGATTATGGTTCCTAGGGATTCCAACTTTATCCTGTGCTAATCCTGCATCTGACAGCATTGGGGAAGAGATGCGTTCTGCATCACTGAAGCCAATGAAGTTAGTTGATCCAGAATGCTGGTTCTAAAAGTAGTGGCAGTCGTGCATTATTACAAACTAGGGTTGCCCCACGGCAGGAAATTTCCTGACACAGCAGGTATTTCCTGGATATTAGCAGCATCTGGACAGAATGTAATTTAAGCGCAACAGCTTTTTGTGTCTGGATTTTCACTTTTTGAAATATGGCAACCCTGTGACAAGCCATTGCACAAAAATGTATTCGGGGCCCCCACTCTCAATTTAGTTTGATTATGAACCAGTATCTAATTCCATTAGACACGTTTGTTATGAGAAGAAGAAATCTAATTTACCACGAAGTATATGTCTTTAGAATGCATATAAGTTATAGGTGCATCTTTATGCGTAATGTTAATTGACATGACACAGCTATATTTGAATATATTGGCAGAAAGTTGGATGACTTAAGATATGCTTGCTGGCAGCTCTATATCAGCACATGTCTTAGCCTTTGAGAAATTTCCACCATGAGCCCTTGTATTGGTTAGCGGTGGGTGCATGCCTGTCAGAGAGGGGGAAAATAAAAGCTAATCAGAACTATAATACAACTGCCCCTTGTGTTGAAATTATTGTTTATGATCATTTATGAAGATTTCCTGGTTTCTTGAGACTGGATTTATTTATTTATTGTTTATTTAGATATTTATAAAACACACTTTCATAAACAAATCAGGGTATAACTTTAAAAACATGTCAGAATTACAGCAACAAAACCACCCATAAATATGGGTTGGTAAAATATTCACATTCCGAACAACAGAGTTTTCTGAAGATCACGAAAAGAAGGCAGGGAGGGTGACTCCTTCTGTACCTCTAGTGGCAAGGAGTTCCACAGGACACCGCTTGACATGCTAAAGACTCAGTCCCTGGAAAAGGCCAACTGAGCCTTAGGGGCATTGGGGACCTTCAAAAGTACCCTAGAAGATCTCTGTGAATAGGAATGGAGCGTAAGGCAGTCCTGCAGGTGCGAAGTTGTTTAGGGTTTGTGAATTAATGCCTTGAACCAGGCTAGGTAGTGAACTGGTAGCTGGTTGCACTAACAAACCTTTATGACCCTTACATGTGAGCTGAATTCAGAGACATCTCCAGCCATGGGAGATTCCTGATTCTGTACGGTAGTTATAAAAACTTCCAGACGCAAGCTCTGATTAAGTTCCTAACTGCCACTGCAAATCCCCCTCCCTCCAATCTGTTGTGGAATACCACAACAATTTTGATGCCTTCATGAGTGAGTCCACAAGCAATTCCTACTCTGTACATGCCAATTTAGAGATCAGACTTTGTTTCACGGCACCAAGATTCTCAGGACGCCTCTTTGCTGCAAAAAGGCCACGTGGGAAAACCACACGCTTCTCCACATCCGCCCTACGAAGTCCTCTTAAGGTCTTCACTCCGCATCTCAAGATGTACTTGTTTTTCTGCTGGAGGCATGAACTAAATATCTTCCCCACGCCACTTGGAGATACAACATGGACAAAGGGAAACAAGTGTTGGCTGGCGAAGGAGAAAGCAAGCCTTGACGTTCCACGGAAAGTCCAATTTCTGGACACGGATTCTGAGACTGAATACGGATTCTCTCCAGGCAATTCGGACGTTTCTCCCTTCGCAGTGCTTCTCTGAAACATTATTGACATCTCTGCAGCACACAGGGTTCTTTTCCCCTTGTTTTCTCTGCCGGTTTCCTCCGTGTTTGGTGCCAGACAGCTTTTCCACTGCTTCTTCTCTGCACGTATATAAACCACAGTTTCCCAAACTTGGATCTCCGTCTGTTTTTGGACTACAACTCCCATTGTCCCTAGCCAGCAGGACCAGTGCTCAGGCATGATGGGAGATGTAGCCCCAAACCAGCCGGAGACCCAAGTTTGGGGGAACCCTGCCTTAACCATTAACATTTAGTCCCATCCCTTCAGAGTTCTGGGCTGGGCCTGACTTCAGTGTGTCCCTCCATCCCTAGTCCTGCTCTGGGAACAGTTAAATTAAGGGCCAGTGTGGTGTAGTGGTTAAGTGCGGTGGGACTCGTAATCTGGTGAACTGGGTTCGCTTCCCCGCTCCTCCACATGCAGCTGCTGGGTGACCTTGGGCTAGTCACACTTCTCTGAAGTCTCTCAGCCCCACTCACCTCACAGAGTGTTTGTTGTGGGGGAGGAAGGGAAAGGAGATTGTTAGCCGTTTGAGACTCCTTAAGAAGAAGAAGACTTTGGATTTGATATCCCACTTTATCACGACCCTAAGGAGTCTCAAAGCGGCTAACAATCTCCTTTCCCTTCCTTCCCCACAACAAACTGTGAGGTGAGTGATGCTAAGAGACTGCAGAGAAGTGTGACTAGCCCAAGATCACCCAGCAGCTGCAGGTGGAGGAGCGAGGAAGTGAACCTGGTTCACCAGATTACAAGTCCACCACTCTTAACCACTACACCACATTGGCTGTAGTGATAAGGTAGTGATAAAGCGGGATATCAAATCCACCACTCTTTTTTTCTTTCTTTCTTAAGCTGCCCTTCCTTCTCCTGGTCCTCCTTGCAATTCATTGACGCAAGGTCTGCAGGGAGAATAGTGCTGGCCGTGCACTGACAATTCCATTTCTGAGTGGAAGCAATCATGGCGGCAGAGGGGGTGGCGAGGAGTTGTATCTTGTTTTGATTTTAGAAATAAAACAAAGCGAGCAGATGGGCGGGCAGCCTGACATTCTGTGAAAGAAGAGAGATTCAATGTGTGTGTGTATCTCTCTCTGTGTCTCTCTGTGTGTGTTTTCCCCACCTAAACAATTTGGAAAAATTGCCTCGCTGCCTTTTCAGCTCAGTGAAATTCTGGGGTTCTTTTGTGCCGCCGCATTTTTTTTTAAAAAAATCTTTAACTGTTGCTTTCTTGGCTGTACGTATTCTTAATGCACCATCTTCCTCCCCGCTCCCCAAAATATAATAGAAGCTTTTAAGGATAAATTGGCACAAAACAAGAGCGACACTTGAATGCTTTTTGTTGCCATAGAAGCGCTTCGGGCGGATGACAGAAGGACCCTTTTGCTAATAGTAAAGTACCGGAAGAAAATAGACACTCTTCATTTAGCAGTTGCTGATGATGGAAGAGCAAAAAACCCTTATGTTCTTATCCCAACATAGACTCTACTGTGTGTGCATATGTTACATTGGTGGGGGTTTTTCCTTCCCCTGTGTAAAAGCAACAGGAAAAGTAGTGTCTTAAGAAGAAGATTCTTGGGGTGGCGGGGGTGGGAATCCTAGCAGTTGAAGACATGCATTTAAAGCGCATCCAAAGTACTTTTAAAGTGCACTGCTCTAACCCAAAGAATACCGGGAACTGTAGTTTCCCCCTTCACAAAGCTATAATTCTCAGGATTCTTCCGGGGGGGGGGTGTACTTTAAATTGTGTGTTGGGTGTGCTTTAAATATATTCTGAAGATATAATCATGGGGTCATGGAGTGAAGACTGGTGTAATATTTGTATCATAGAATTGTAGATTTGGAAGCCCCCCCCAAGGGATATCTAGTCCAACCCCCTGAGATGCAGGAATAGCAACTCATGGACACAAGAACTTCAGGGCTTGTTTGGAAGCGCTTTTGCCTTTGCCCTGTGAGATCAAAATGAGGCATATAAAATTGCACATGGTACAGGGAAAGTGGATCAAGAGAAACTCTCCCCCCCCCCCCCATCCTAGAACCTGATATCATCCAATGAAGCTGAATGTTGGAAGATTCAGGACAGGCAGAAGAAAGCACCTTTTCACCAGCACGCTTAGTTAGGCTCTGGAATTTGCTCCCACAATATATGGCGATGACCAGCAGCTTGGATGCCTTTAGAAGAGGATTAGACAAATTCATGGAAGGTGAAGCTCTCAGTGGCTGCTAGCCACAATAGCTATTCTCTGCCTCCACTATTTGGGGGCCGTTTGCCTCTGAGTACTGTTTGCTGGAATCAGAAATGTGGAGAAAGTGCAGCTGCACTCAAGTCCTTCTAGCAGGCTTCTGGTGGGCTTCTGTGTGATGCAGCAGCAAAGAAAGCTAATGCTATTCTAGGCTGCATCTACAGAGGTCTAGTGCCCAGATCAAGGGATGTCATTGTTGTTGTTTAGTCCTTTAGTCGTGTCCGACTCTTCGTGACCCCATGGACCAGAGCACGCCAGGCACTCCTGTCTTCCACGCAGCCATGGTGGTACGCCTCTGCTGATGGTTGTCTCCTCCATCAATTCACCTACCCTAATCCACTTTTAAAGCCCTCCAAGTTGGTGGCTGTCCTTTTCTTTCCCTTTGTTGTTGTTGTTTAGTCGTTTAGTCGTGTCCGACTCTTTATGACCCCATGGACCAGAGCACGCCAGGCACTCCTGTCTTCCACTGCCTCCCGCAGTTTGGTCAAACTCATGTTGGTAGCTTCGAGAACACTGTCCAACCATTTCGTCCTCTGTCGTCCCCTTCTCCTTGTGCTCTCCATCTTTCCCAACATCAGGGTCTTTTCCAGGGAGTCTTCTCTTCTCATGAGGTGGCCAAAGTATTGGAGTCTCAGCTTCAGGATCTGTCCTTCCAGTGAGCACTCAGGGCTGATTTCCTTCAGAATGGATAGGTTTGATCTTCTTGCAGTCCATGGGACTCTCAAGAGTCTCCTCCAACACCATAATTCAAAAGCATCAATTCTTTGGCGATCAGCCTTCTTTATGGTCCAGCTCTCACTTCCATACATCACTACTGGGAAAACCATAGCTTTAACTACCGGTATATGGACCTTTCTTGGCAAGGTGATGTCTCTGCTTTTTATAGTGCCACTCTATATTCTGCCTTGTTCAGACCACACCTGGAGTCCTGTGTCCAGTTGTGGGTGCCACAATTTTAGAAGGATATGGACAAGCTGGAAGGTGTGCAGAGGTGGGCAACCAAGATGATCAAGGGTCTGGAAACCAAGTTTCCAGACCCTTGCTCTGGTCAGACCTCACCTGGAGTACTGTGTCCAGTTCTGGGCACCACAGTTCAAGAAGGACACTGACAAACTGGAACGTGTCCAGAGGAGGGCAACCAAAATGGTCAAAGGCCTGGAAACGATGCCTTATGAGGAACGGCTAAGGAGCTGGGCACGTTTAGCCTGGAGAAGAGGAGGTTAAGGGTGATATGATAGCCATGTTCAAATATATAAAAGGATGTCACATAGAGGAGGGAGAAAGGTTGTTTTTGCTGCTCCAGAGAAGCGGACACGGAGCAATGGATCCAAACTACAAGAAAGAAGATTCCACCTAAACATTAGGAAGAACTTCCTGACGGTAAGAGCTGTTCGACAGTGGAATTTGCTGCCAAGGAGTGTGGTGGAGTCTCCTTCTTTGGAGGTCTTTAAGCAGAGGCTTGACAACCATATGTCAGGAGTGCTCTGATGGTGTTTCCTGCTTGGGAGGGGGTTGGACTTGATGGCCCTTGTGGTCTCTTCCAGCTCTATGATTCTATGATTCTATGATTCTATGATTCTAAGTGTTCCTTATGAGGAACAGTTGAAGGAGTTGGGGATGTTCAGCCTGATAAAGAAGATAATGAAAGGAGATACGAAAGGAGATTCCAACTAAACATCAGGAATAACTTTCTGATGGTAGGAGCTGTTTGACAGTGGAACGTTCTCCCTTAGAAGGTGGTGGAATCTCCTTCCTTGGAGGGTTTTTCAGCAGAGGTTGGATGGCCACCTGTCATGTGATCTAGTTGAGATTGGCCCCTTCCAGCGCTATGATTCTATGACTTGATAGGTGTTGGGTAAGTTCTATCACGGCCCTCCTTGTGGTCTTTTTCCAAACCATTTTGAGGGCAGCAGGGTGGAGAAGGATGAGCTGGGTGTTGTGAGGAAGAGAGTTATCAAGGCACCTCTGGGTTGTGCCGTTCTGCCCAGAGAGTATGTCCTTTCTGGCAGATCTTTCTTCCTGCATGCTGCGAGGTAAATGTTTACTTGCACACTGCGAACAAAGAGAAGTGTTCTGTTGACAGCTGACAACATTTGGCATTTGCAAGCGAAGAGATAATCGTTGGAATACAGGAGAGGCGAATGAGACGCAGTTCACCTTGAATGGTTTAGATTAGCATCGACGCTTCCACCCCCAGCGTTCTGTACTTTTAACTCTCGTGTTTATGAAAACGGAAGGCTTCCGGCCTCTCAGCCTGACACTGTGTTCTTGTTGTTTGGAACATAAAGGGCCTTGATACATATGAGAGAGAGAGAGAGAGAGAGAGAGAGAGAGAGAGAGGCTGGCAGAGTTAAAACGGCAGAAAGTGAAGTCTTCCTTTGCAACTGTCAAGACTGAAATCGGGGCTAGCCAATGACTTTATTTAGGTTCTGCTGAAAAACGTTGATTTTTTCCTGCATCTCGGTTAAAAGATGCAACCATGCTTGGAATACTGTGTACAGTGGTACCGTGGGTTAAGAACTCAATTTGTTCTGGAGGTCCGTTCTTAAGCTGAAACTGTTCTTAACCTGAGGTACCACTTTAGCTAATGGGGCCTCCTGCTGCCGCTGCGCCTCCGCCTCATCCTGAAGCAAAGTTCTTAACCCGAGGTACTATTTCGGGGTTAGTAGAGTCTGTAACCTGAAGTGTCTGCAACTCGAGGTACCACTGTACAGTTCTGGTTGCCTCGCCCCATGAAGGCAGGAGATAGGGAGAAGTTGGGCCACTGGCCTGATCCTGCAAGTTCTTTTTCTGTGTTCTTATTATCCCTTACCATTGGCCATGGTCAGGAATGGAAGTTGTAGTCCACATTATCTAGGGGGAACCCTGCTGGCTACCCTGACCATAAATGCACCAAACAACTTAAATATATTTGCTGCTGAACATGGTTTCTAAAAGGGATGTCCAGTTATACTGCTGCAGATGCACTGCAGCGTTTCTTCTCTCTGTGCTCCTCCCAGCAGCCATTCCTCCTCTGATCCTTGCTGTGGATGCATGGCCTGTCCATCTCCAAGAAGGACACTGACAAACTGGAACGTGTCCAGAGGAGGGCAACCAAAATGGTCAAAGGCCTGGAAACGATGCCTTATGAGGAACGGCTAAGGGAGCTGGGCATGTTTAGCCTGGAGAAGAGGAGGTTAAGGGGTGATATGATAGCCATGTTCAAATATATAAAAGGATGTCACATAGAGGAGGGAGAAAGGTTGTTTTCTGCTGCTCCAGAGAAGCGGACACGGAGCAACGGATCCAAACTACAAGAAAGAAGATTCCACCTAAACATTAGGAAGAACTTCCTGACAGTAAGAGCTGTTCGACAGTGGAATTGGCTGCCAAGGAGTGTGGTGGAGTCTCCTTCTTTGGAGGTCTTTAAGCAGAGGCTTGACAACCATATGTCAGGAGTGCTCTGATGGTGTTTCCTGCTTGGCAGGGGGTTGGACCCGATGGCCCTTGTGGTCTCTTCCAACTCTATGATTCTATGATTCTATGATCTCCAGGCACTGCGGTCATCCGCAAGGGATTCCCTCATGGCAGGGCGGGTGGTAAGCTAGATGGAGCAGTGAGCTGCCTCCGTATTAGGCAGCCTCGCATGTTACAGTTTCCAGAGAGGTAGCTGTGTTGGTCTGCTACAGGTGTCGATAACACAGACACCCAGCCATTGGTAAGCCAATGGAGACACAAAGTATGCTGATAAAAACAACAAAACACCTTAGTTCTTATTCAGTCCACAAGAGATGCCTCTCAAATTGTAATCCAGTAGTTTTCTTTGGCAGTTAATGCTTCTTTTTGGGTCTGAGTTTGTCAGCACACATTTATACGGCATGAGCCAATGTCTCAGATACATCTGAGGTTCTGGACAGTCTATATTTGTAAAACTCAGTCCCATTCCTCTCTCTGTTTGGCTGCCAACATGTGCCAATTACCATGAGATACATTGTTTACCAAACAGAAATCTGCAGCGCGAATATTGTACGCAATGAAATGTCTCATTCTGACCCTTGGCTCTGATTTGAGTCATAACCTTAATTAATCCAGCGACTGAGTAGCCTTTTGGGGGGATAGTGAGATCACAAATGTGACAATAGCTGAGAATTGGCAGAAGAACCAATTTTCACCAAGCAGGAGACTAGGTTGGACCACTTGACTGTCTCTCCTGGGTAGTTTATACAGAATAAAGCAAAACACGAGATGAGCATATTGGAGAGCCGCAGGATGGGTGCCAGCCAGTTCAATGATGGAACTTTGCTTTGCTCAGTGAATGCAGCCGCCAGTAAGGTGGCTGCAGGACGACTTCTCCAGAGAAGCTTGCCAAGTATTTCCAAAGAACCTGAAAATGAATAGCAGATGGATTCCTTTCTTCCTGTTTAGTATAGCGTGTGCAACACATATATGTTAGGAGGTAATCTCTACAACAGCCATGTAAGTTAGGCCCGGACTTTACAACAGTCGCAGGACTTGCCAGTGTCCCTGTTTTCCAGGGAAAGTTTCTGATTTGATCTCGGAACGTCCCGCTTTTCCCCAGGACATCCCTATTTTCATCGGAGAAATCATGGAGTTATGCGACCCATGAGCTAAGGAGATAAGTAACTATGCAACCTTTAGAAGACATCTGAAGGCAGTCCTGTTTAGTGTGTGTGTGTGTGTGTGTGTGTGTGCGTGTGTGTGTTGGATGCTGCTGGGGCAACCCAGTCAGATTGGCAGAGTATAAATACAATAAAATTATTACTACAGTGGTACCTCAGAAGTCGAACGGAATCCATTTTGGAAGTCCGTTTGACTTCTAAAATGTTCAGAAACCAAGGCGTGGCTTCCGATTGGCTGGAGGAAGCTCCTGCAGCCAATCAGAAGCCCCGCTGGAAATTTGGCTTCCAAAAGAACGTTCAAAAACCAGAACAATCACTTCCAGGTTTGTGGCGTTTGGGAGCCAAAACCTTCGAGCCGCAATGCATTCGTCAACCAAGGTGCAACTGTATTATTATTATTGACTAGGACATCCCTGTTTTCATCGGAGAAATGTTGGAGTTTCTGGTTTTCACTGGAATGATCCTTGTCCCTGTGTAGCACCAAAGAGCAGGTTTTCTGGAGAAAAGTGGCAAGGCAAAGGCAGAACCCCTCGCACCCATGCATTCTAGGTATGGGACAAACCAACGGGTGGCGGAACCCTTCATTTTTCAGACGTTGCAAGGAACAAAGCCTTGTGGAGGAGCCTTAATCGCCTTGCGTTGCAAACTGGCTCTGCAAGGCTGTGTCATGGCTAAAACCTGTTCCTTCCGCCCCTGAAGCCACTTGCTTGTGAATCTTCGTTCTGGAACCTGAGCAATGTGCAAGCGGTCGAAAGCGCTGTAGGTTTCCAGGCTACCGTGATGTATCTGCTGTGTGGGAGGAAGGGAGAGAGATCCAGCACAAAAGTATTTCATCTCCCTCTGCTTCTCAGGAGGGTTTGCAAGTGCTGTTTTTCTTCATAGCTATGGAAGTGTGTGTGTGTGTGTGTGTGTGTGTGTGTGTAGAAAGAGACTTTCAGAAAAGAACCTTGCTGAATCAGGTATTTGGCGTTCCGCTAGATCAGTGTTTTTTCAAAATTGGGGAAAAGCTGCTTTTGGACTACAACTCCCATCATCCCTAGCAGGGGGTGATGGGAATTGTAGTCCGAAAACACCTGGAGACCCAAGTTTGGGAAACACAGCTTTAGATTAATCCAGGGTGACCAATGTGGCACCCGCCAGACGTTGTTCAACTCCGATTCCCATTTCCCCCATACCATTGGTCATGATGGCTGGGGCTGATGGGAGTTGGAGTTCTGCAAGATTTCATGGGCTGTTCCTGGGTTAGCATCTGACACCCCTTCCCTGAACTTCGTTGTCTTTGAAACATTCACATCGCGACAAAACAAGGCCTGGGAAATGGAGAGATTTTCCTTGGATAGCCAGCATGGCTCAGTGGAGCCCAAACTTGAATTCCCAACTCAACTGACAACTAGGCGATGCACTTAGGTGAGGCACTTTCTTTCAACAGTGCTTTCCCTGCTTGTATTTCCCAGAAACTGGTTTCCAGAGCTTGCCATTGACAATGGAGGGAGAGCATAGCCATTGTGGCTGGTTGCCACTGATAGCTTAATCCCCCAATAACTTGCCTAATCCTCTTTTAAAACCATTCAAGTTGGGAGCCATCGCTGCCTCTTGCAGAGCGTATTCCATAGTTTATCTGTGTGACGAAGTACTATTTGTTTAGTCGTTTAGTTGTGTCCGACTCTTCGTGACCCCATGGACCAGGGCACGCCAGGCACTTCTGTCTTCCACTGCCTCCCGCAGTTTGGTCAGACTCATGCTGGTAGCTTCGAGAACACTATCCAACCATCTCGTCCTCTGTCATCCCCTTCTCCTTGTGCCCTCCATCTTTCCCAACATCAGGGTCTTTTCCAGGGAGTCTTCTCTTCTCATGAGGTGGCCAAAGTCTTGGAGCCTCAGCTTCGGGATCTGTCCTTCCAGTGAGCACTCAGGGCTGATTTCCTTCAGAATGGAGAGGTTTGATCTTCTTGCAGTCCATGGGACTCTCAAGAGTCTCCTCCAGCACCAGAATTCAAAAGCATCAATTCTTCGGCGATCAGCCTTCTTTATGGTCCAGCTCTCACTTCCATCCATCACTACTGGGAAGACCATGGCTTTAACTATACGGACCTTTGTTGGTAAGGTGATGTCTCTGCTTTTTAAGATGCTGTCTAGGTTTGCCATTGCCTTTCTCCCAAGGAGCAGGCGTCTTTTGATTTTGTGACTGCTGTCACCATCCGCAGTGATCATGGAGCCCAAGAAAGTAAAATCTCTCTCTGCCTCCATTTCTTCCCCTTCTATTTGCCAGGAGGTGATGGGACCAGTGGCCATGATCTTCGTTTTTTTGATGTTGAGCTTCAGACCATATTTTGCACTCTCCTCTTTCACCCTCATTAAAGGGTTCTTTAATTCCTCCTCACTTTCTGCCATCAAGGTTGTGTCATCTGCATATCTGAGGTTGTTGATATTTCTACCAGCGATCTTAATTCCGGCTAGGGATTCATCCAGCCCAGCCTTTCGCATGATGAATTCTGCATATAAGTTAAATAAGCAGGGGGACAATATACAGCCTTGCCGTACTCCTTTCCCAATTTTGAACCAATCAGTTGTTCCATATCCAGTTCTAACTGTATCTTCTTGTCCCACATAGAGATTTCTCAGGAGACAGATGAGGTGATCAGGCACTCCCATTTCTTTAAGAACTTGCCATAGTTTGCTGTAGTCGACACAGTCAAAGGCTTTTGCATAGTCAATGAAGCAGAAGTAGATGTCTTTCTGGAACTCTCTAGCTTTCTCCATAATCCAGCGCATGTTTGCAATTTGGTCCCTGGTTCCTCTGCCTCTTCTAAATCCAGCTTGCACTTCTGGGAGTTCTCGGTCCACATACTGCTTAAGCCTGCCTTGTAGAAGTACTATTACTACTACTACAATTAATAATAATAATAATTTATTATTTATACCCTGCCCATCTGGCTGGGTTTCCCCAGCCACTCTGGGTGGCTCCCAACAGAATATTAAAAACCTTCAGATGTCTTCTAAAAGTCAGACAGTTGTTTATTTCCTTGACATCTGGTGGGAGGGTGTTCCACAGGGCGGGTGCCACCACCGAGAAGGCCCTTTCCCTGTTTCCCTGTAACCTCACTTCTCGCAGTGAGGGAACCGCCAGAAGGCCCTCAGAGCTGGACTTCAGTATCAGGGCTGAACGATGGGGGTGGAGACGCTCCTTCAGGTATACTGGGCCGAGGCCGTTTAGGGCTTTAAAGGTCAGCACCAACACTTTGAATTGTGCTCGGAAACATACTAGGAGTCAATGTAGGTCTTTCAGGACCGGTGTTATATGGTCTTGACGACCACCTTCTGTAAAATGTGTTTACCTCTGAGAAACGTGAACTGCCAAAACGCTATTGCCTCCCTGCTATGGATAGGCTCAAGCCTTCATTAAAAAATAAATACATTAACTGGATGTGTAGGAAAGTGAGACTGAAAGAGATCCCCATTGCATACCCTCCCCACAACCACCCCAGTTTTCCCAGGACATCCCAGAATTACAGAAGCCATCCATCCTGGCTTCTGGTGCCGCACAAGCTGACTTGCGCGGGAGCATGGCTCCGAAAGATGTGCATCTCCTTCCTTGGAGGTGTTTAAGCAGAGGTTGGATGGCTGTCTATATTGGATGCTTTAGCTGAGATTCCTGCATTGCAGGGGGTTGGACTAGATGACCCTCGGGTCCCTTCCAACTCTACAATTCTATGACCCCGTGGAATGCTGGAGGGTATGCCGTTGATGCTGCTTGCAGCCCAGGCTCTCCCAAATTCATGTGTATTTCCCTGCTGATGGGATCAGTACGGTGCCCTTTGTTTTACGTTGTCGTTGGCTCTCCCTACCTTGCGCCTGAGCCTGAAAACTCTGTCCTCCCCGTGTCGTCCTTGAACGGCGCCTCCAAGGTACTTCCAGGGTGAGCTCTGGCCTTGGGGAAAACAACCTTGCCGGAGACTGAGCCCAGCGCAGATCCTTGGTTATAAAAGAACAGATGTTCCGATGCCATCACCCCTGCTAATTGGAATTAAAAAAAGAGGCGCTGTGCCACATCTCAAATTTCCCAGCCATCTGCGCCAGGGGGAAACAGAACAGGAGGATGCTTTCCTTTGGGAACTTGTGGAGCGGTGGGTGCGAGGGACAGCTGGTGTGTGTGTGTGTGTGCGTGCTAGAAAGGGAGAGCATGAGCATATGAACACACCAGCTGTCGGGTGTGTTACTATTTTGCGTTGCTTACCCTTGGGAATAAAGGAACACAGTTCTGGCACCAGCCGAAGCTGGTTGCAGCAGTTTTTCGGCACGACCAACGCCTGCGACGGGGAACAGAGTTGTTTCTGCACTTGAGGGTCTGTTTCTCTTACTTACACCATCCAGCACAAAAACATTAGTATACTAGTATATACCAGCCTCTGCCAACCTGGTGCCACTCTGAGGTCCATGGTCTACAGTTCCCACAATCCCTGATCGTTGGTCATGCTAGCTGGGTGTCAGGGCTGGTTCAGATGCAGGTTGGCATGCCGGATGCAGAGACAAACGGAAAAGTTAACTCTTTATTCTAGGAAAAAGTATGCAAGGCAGCAGTGCCTAGAAGCAGGACTGGCCCCTATGAAACAGGTGCCAGGACTGAATGTCTTCGCCTTCTACTTCCCTCTAAGACTCCTTCCAAGCAGCCTCAAACTATGTTGGGTGGGGCGAATCGGTGCTCTTTGTTCCGTGTCCTTGGAGACAAGGGCGGAGAGGAGCTTGTACAGTAGCAGCAGCAAGCTCCTGGCATGTTTCTGCAGCATCTGTCTTCCTCCTCCTCTGCTTCATCTGCTGAGTCCGAACTGCTTTCTGCACCTGGCTCCTCTTGCTCGCTAAAGCCTGTTGCCTCTTCAGCATCCAACCATTCCTCCCCTTCTTCTCCCTCTGACCTGCCCTCAGTGTCCCATCACCACTCCTCTTCTAAGGCTTCCCTAGGGGGTTCCCTGGCTGGCACCACTCCTCATCAGCCAGCCAGTCCCTGACACTGGGGTTGATGGGAGATGGTGTCCGAAACATTTGGATGATGCCAGGTGGGGAGGTCTGCTATAAAGGTCACCCGAAGTCACCCAGGGGACCAGCGGCGTAGCGTGGGTTGTCAGCACCCGGGGCAAGGCAAGTAATTTGCGCCCCCTAACCCCTAACCTGCCGCCGCTGCCAGCTTCTTCTTGCTGCTGCCTGGTCTGGTCTGGTGTGGTTCTCTCCCGCGCTCAGCGCTGCGCCTGAGCGGCCGCTGCACTGTCCCTCCGCAGATAGTCCCTCGCTCTCTCTCCGCACCGCACGCCTGGCACCCACCCCCTCCACAGTGGGCGGTGACCCAGCGGCTCGGATCGGATTCGCACAGCCAGCACTGCAGTGAGAGAGAGTGAGTGAGCCAGGTAGGGGCAGAGAGCTGCGAGTGCGAGCGCGCCCCCCCCAGATGTTGCGCCCGGTGCGGCCGGCACCCCCTGCACCTCCCACGCTACGCCACTGCAGGGGACAGCAAGCTACTGATGGCTGCTAGCCATGCTGCCTCTGCAGTTCAAGGCAGCAAGGCTACTGAATACCAGTCGCTGAAAGAGAGGGCTCTTATGCTTGAATCCTGCTTGCTGGTTTCCCACAGGCATCTAGTTGGCCCCTGTGAGAACAGGATGCTGGACTCACCCAACAGGTCTCAACTTATCTTCTTCTTCTTTGGCAATCACTCATAGCCGAGTAAGATTGTCTTCCATAAACACAGTTTTAACAATGAGTCCGTAAGTGACTGTGGAGGCCAATTCTGGATCCACACGTCCTTCCACAGTGGGGACATTGGTTTCCGGGCGGGAGTTGATCACGGGGCAGATTTGCCAAGCGTGCCTTCCTCTTAGCACGTTTCTCCCTTGCGTCCTGAGTTTGAGTGTCTTCAAAGCCCATGACACCTTTGGTAAAGGCTGTTCTCCAACTGGAGCGCTCGCAGGCCAGTGTTTCCCAGTTGTCAGTGTTTATACTACATTTTTTTTAGTGACCGATGCTCTAAGTGACTTGTTTCTCATTTTCTGAAAGCCACTGTCTTATCTGGAAACTGTCATTTTCTCTGCATCCTTCTCCACGAGCTGTCAAAATTCCTCTTTGTATGTGTTTGTGTGTGTGCTCTTTTCTCCCAGTGAATAGCTTCGGGGAGGACGAAGACCTGACCACCTCCTCGGACAGCGACGACGAGGTGATCAAGCAGTTTGAGATCTCCGTCTCGCGCTCGCAGAGCTTCCGTTCGGGAGTTTCCGAGAAAGGAACGCAAGCCGGTTCTGAGCGCAGGCCCAAATTCAACCGCTTGCTGTCGAACCACGAAGAGTACAGCTCCGAGGCCTCTGAATGCGAAGGTATTATCCAGCTCTGTCCAAAAAGAAAAACAAAGCAGTCAAACACAAGAGATGGTTTGCTCCGAGAAGTCCAACAAGGATGGACTCAGTTTCTGCGGCTTTGGAGGAAATGGCAAAAGCGGTAAAAAATGCACTGATGTGCTGGTGCGCGCACACCGTCTTCCCATGACTTGAGGATTCTGCATTTTGAATCTCAGTTGATAGGTGCAGCCTCTCATGATGAGAACGTCAAAGGTGTAACGAAACAGTTGGTAACCCAAGAAAAACGCATCTCCCAAGATTCTCTGGGTCAACTCCCCAGAGAACCTTGCGAATGGCAGAGGATTCTGGGAAGCATTCTACAGAACACACTCACTTTCCTGCAGGACATTTCCTAGGTCTCACTTTGCACCTGAGGATGAACCTCAACGCTCCCCTTCCTTGCAAGGGAAAATGTTTTCAGGAAAACTTGTTTGCCATTACAGTGGTACCTCAGGTTACATACACTTCAGGTTACATACGCTCCAGGTTACAGACTCCGCTAACCCAGAAATGGTGCTTCAGGTTAAGAACTTTGCTTCAGGATGAGAACAGAAATCGGGCTTCAGCGGCGCGACAGCAGCAGGAGGCCCAATTAGCTAAAGTGGTGCTTCAGGTTAAGAACAGTTTCAGGTTAAGTACGGACCTCCGGAACAAATTAAGTACTTAACCTGAGGTACCACTGTACTGAATTTCTCCCTGGGGAACCTGCAGTCATTGGCTCCCCCACATACCTATATAGTGATACCTTGGTTTCTGAATGGCTTGGCTCCTAAACAAATTGGCTCCTGAACGCCGCAAACCCGGAAGTAAGTTTTTTAGAACGTTTTTTAGAAGCCGAACGTCCGTTTCGGCTGTCAGCATTGTTTCCGGGGCCCATCAGCCAATCAGAAGCTGTGCCTTGGTTTGCGAACATTTTGGAAGTCAAACGGATTTCCAGAACGGATTGAGTTCAGGAACCAAGGTACTACTGTACAACGTTGCCAAGGGAACCCCGAGATTTTACAGAACACAGTTTTCACCCACCTAGTCTGCAGGATTCAACCATCCCAACTGAATCCCTCAAACGGCATTCCTTAATAATAGCCAATATCCTGGCTGCAGACCAAATCCACAAGGCACGGTGGGGAGGCAAACTTTGTGTGGGAAGTGTGTAATGTAACTTCTCACTAGAAAGGCATGTCTTCTATTCTGAAAAGCCTACGGCGCTTTTTTATTTACTCTTTCTTTTTTTACATTTATAAAACCTGCCTTTTCAGCCCACCACTCCGACGTGCCCCAAATGTATATATATCAATCGTGTCCTTGTTGATTTCGGAGCTGCAATCTGCCGCGTGAGCTGAGTCCTGTTTGATTTTAGCAGAGCTGGGAGCCATCATAAGCATAAGCCTTTGGTTTGGGGAGTGGGGAAATGCCATCTGGACCCGTTCTGTGCATAAGAACGGGACCATGTGGTTCTAAACCTAAATGCACACTTTTAACTTGGCTGGAAGCCCCATTGAACCGACTGGGCTTGTGAAGATGCACAGGGCCAAACTACCATATTTTTCGCTCTATAAGACGCATCAGACCACAAGACGCACCTAGTTTTTGGAGGAGGAAAACAAGAAAAAATATATTCTGAATCTCAGAAGCCAGAACAGCAAGAGGGATCGCGGCGCAGTGAAAGCAGCAATCCCTCTTGGTGTTCTAGTTTCTCTGATAGCTGTGCAGCCTGCATTCGCTCCATAAGACGCACACACATTTCCCCTTACTTTTTAGGAGGGAAAAAGTAAGTCTTACAGAGCAAAAAATACAGTATAAAGCTGTGCTGATTCCAGCAGGGCTTTCATAGGCTGCAGACTTGAGCGCAGCTGAAACTTTAAGTGTCTCTGCACCCATGCAGAGTCTTGCCCAAGGAAAGGCTTCCCATTATTCCTGGGTGGCTTCTTCCATCTCCCTGTCCTGCGCCTCTTCTCTAGCAAATGAAGGATGGCAAATGTGTGGTGTGGGACAAATAATTCAGAGCAGGAGAGCGGGAAGCTTTTTCAGCTGCAGGGCTGCTTCTGGGCAACTTCCAAGAACCATAGAATTGCAGAGTTGGAAGGGAACCCCCAAGGTCATCTAGTCCAGCCCCCCCGCAATGCAGGGATCTTGCCCTGATTGGGACTCGAACCCGCAGCACTGCGATTGAGAGCCTTGTGCTCTACCGACTGATCAAAGGCAAAAGTGGGAAGAGCAGCAAGTGTACATCTTACCTTAGTAGAGCATGCGAGTTTCTGCACTCCCCTGCCTCTGTCATAGAATCAGGGAATCGTAGAGTTGGAAGGGACCCCAAAGGTCATCCAGTCCAACCCCTTGCAATGCAGGAATCTCAGCTGAAGCACCCATGACATCCAGACAAGCAAGAGACATTATCTGAGTTCAAGGGCACATCTAGCCAGGCAAAAACACGGAAGGAGGGTGCATAGCGGGGCCAGTGAGGGATGTGGCCTGGAGAGAAGTCCAAGGGCCAAGTGCAGAGGTCTGGAGGGCCACATTCAGCCTCTGGGCCCGAGGCTCTCCTTCCCTGATATAGAGAAACAGGGTGTTCTGATTACCGTATTTTTCGCTCTATAGGACGCACCAGACCATAGGACGCACCAGACCATAGGAAGGGGAGAACAGGAAAAAAAAAAATCTCCCCATCTCTGCTCAGCGCCCCTTCAGTGAATCGGCAGGAGAAACAGAGCCCCTTCCATTTCTCCTCCCGCTTCACTGAAGGGGCTCTGCGCAGAGAGGGAAAACTGTGCAGCGCCTCTCCAGCGAAGCCAAGCCTGGAGAGCAAGAGGGATCGGTGTGCACCGACCCCTCTCGCTCTCCAGGCTTCAGGCGGCTATCCACAAGCCTTCGGAGCTCAGCAGGAATTCCCGCTGCGCTCGGAAGGCTTGCGGATAGCTGCCTGAAGCCCCCAGAGCGCAGCGGGAGTTCGCACTGCGCTCCGGGGGCTTCAGGCGGCTTCAGCGAAAGCAACGCGAAGCCTCCGGAGCGCGGGGGGAGCTCTCCCTCTGCACTTCGGAGGCTTCGTGTTGCTATCGCTGAAGCCAAGGAGCCTGCATTCGCTCCATAGGATGCACACACATTTCCCCTTCATTTTTGGAGGGAGGAAAGGTGCGTCCTATAGAGCGAAAAATATGGTAGATTCATATCCCGCCTTTTCTCCAAGGAAATCAAGGTGGTGCACAAATTCCTCCCCCTCTCCATTTTATCCTCACGACAACCCTGTGAGGTAGGAAGATAGTGGCTGGCTCAAGGCCACCCAGTGTGGGGATTTGAACCCTGGCCGCCAGGTTCTAGTCAGTCCCTCTAACCCACGGGTGTCAAACACAAGGCCCGCGGGCTGAATCCGGCCCGCCAGACCTCGTCATGTGGCCCTTGTAGCTGCTGCCGGCCGCCAGCCTTCACCTTTTATTCTCGCTTTTTTTTTTTTTTACACAAGAAAGCCGCCTCTTCAGCGCTTGCGCGGCAGCCTACAAGCCAGAGAACGTCTGCCCTCTAGCGGCGCTGGCCGTTCTACACAGGAAACCTCCAATTTAATCCAGTTTATTTCCTGGGGTAAAATCCCCAAAAAAGCTCAACAACTTTGCAACTTTGGTCGGCCCTCACGCATGTTCACTTCATCAAATCTGGCCTCTTAGAAAAAAGTTTGGGCACCCCTGCTCTAACCACTCCTGGCCTGTTGGCATCCTTCTGTCTTGAGAGACAATGGAGTGCGCCTCCAAGGGGGAAACCAAACTGCTGTGTTAGCAGCGCCGAAGTGACTTCCTTGCGGTGCAAGCCTGGGCAGAGGGTCTGGAGGTCCTGGGCTGCCCAGATGACAAGACCCTCCTCCGGCCTCTCTGATGTGGTCTGAAGGAAAGCAGAGCAAGACGTTGGGCACCAGCTTGGCTGCAGGAGTTGCCGGAAGGCAGGCGCGATGGGTTGTGCCCAACAACTTGCAATCATGTTGGGGAGCATGGAGGTTGAAAATTGTCCTCTTCACCTCCCGCCCCTACCCAGTGGGCCAGTGCTTGCCTGGAGGCGGCGGAGGATACGATACAAGACAAGGCAAGGCAAGGCAAGACAAGACAGGACAAGATAAGACAATACGATAATCTTTATTGTCATTGTCCCGTACAGAACAACGAAATTGAAAAAATTTACATCAGACATTCAAAAACCAACAAGGCCGCTATCCCAGCTATCCCGGCCTGGTTAACCCCTTAAAAACTGTGATACCCCATAATTAAATACAATATATCGTATTTTTCACTCTATAAGATGCACTTTCCCCCTCCTAAAAAGTAAGGGGAAATGTGTGTGCGTCTTATGGAGCGAATACAGGCTGTGCAGCTATCCCTGAAGCCATCCTCCTGGCTTCAGGGATTCCCACGCAAAGCCTCTGGAGCGAAGTGGGATTGCTCCTCCCTCTGCGCTCCAGAGGCTTTCTGTTGCTTTCGCTGAAGCCAGGAGAGCAAGAGGGATCGGTGCGCTTCGCTGGAGAGGCGCTGCGCAGAGAGCGAGAGGATATTTGCTTTTCTTGTTCTCCTACTCTAAAACTACTTGCGTCTTATGGTTAGGTGCATCTTATAGAGCGAAAAATATGGTGCTCCCACAGAGACTACCTTACACCGCGTTTAAAACCAAAATCGCATTTGGATAGAAACTTTCTCAGGCGGCTAGTCCTAGTCTTTATAACCCTGTACCTTCTTCCAGAACGAGGGTGGCTCCCTCAGTATTGGAGGGAGGGCTCAGCCCTCTGCCTACAAATCTTGAGGGGTCTGAAGCCCCCTCTGCCCCCTATAGTTGGCATCCCTGCCAGAATGAGACGTACAAGGCGCCATTGCATCTTAGGGACTTCACTCTGGATTTGTGTAGCGTTTTCTTCTCCCGAAGATGTCACACAAGGCAGCAGAGGTTATGCACATGCTCTCAAACAGCTGCTCATCACTCAGCCTACATTTTCAGGTGTGCACTTCAAAACAAAACTCCTTGGGTTTTGTGCAAAGAGGTCCTTTGGTTGGTTCCCAAGGGAGAAGCTGGTTTGGCTCCTTCGCTGCCATTCCGTTGGAAAGAGGCGTTCTTCCTTTGGAGACTCAGGATTCCCAAGTCCCTCATGCATAGTTATCACTTCTAGGCCCTGGTCTGCAGTGGATTTAAGCATCTGCACACTTGAGGGATAAAGAAACGGCTGGTCTTAATCCCCCCCGCCGAATTTATTTTTCTCTCTGCTCTTAAAATGTGCTAGATCTCGACGGGTTCAGCCAACTGAGTTACCAAGACAACCTCTCTTATCACGAAGATGACCATCTATCCCTCGACTCCAGAACGGCGTCGGAGAGCAGGGGCTCTGGGCAGCCTAAAGACCCCGGGGTGGAGGTCAGCGCCACGCCCAGCCTTAGCCGGCAAGAGACAGAAGGGAGCTTGGAAATGGAGACGGCTTTTAGCAACCAAGGATTCGAAGGGAACGACGCCACGGACAGCTCATCGGCCTGGAGCCCGGAGGTAAGAAGAAAGCAGTTGTTCTTGCAACGTGGAGGTTGTTTCATTCCTTCTAAGAAGTTTTCTCTAGGGCGCCTGCATTTCTGTTTACCACGTTTTAATGTCATGAAATGAGTTAATTAATGAAAGAGCGCTGTAATACTGGGATACCTACCCTTTTTAGGAACGTCTTGTGCGCTCACAGCCTGGAAGGTTGTGGGTGTTAAGTCCATTTGGTATGAATGGATAATGTGTAGTTGCAGTTATGGAAAGCCCATATAGAAGATATCTGAAGGCAGTCCTGTACAGTGGACACTCGGGTTGCAAACGTGATCTGTGCAGGATGCATGTTCGCAACCCACAGCGTTTGCAACCTGCAGCGGCGCGTCTGCACACGCACAGATTGTGATTCGACTCTTCTGCGCATGCGCAAAGCGCAATTTAGCGCTTCTGCACATGTGCAACTGCCGAAACCCGGAAGTAACCCGTTCCGGTACTTCTGGGTTTCGGTGGGTCCGTAACCCAAAAAAACACAACCTGAAGCATCTGTAACCCGAGGTATGACTGTACAGTGGTACCTCGGGTTACATATGCTTCAGGTTACACACTCCACTAACCCAGAAATAGTGCTTCAGGTTAAGAACTTTGCTTCAGGATAAGAACAGAAATCGGGCTTCGGCGGCGTGGTGGCAGCAGGAGGCCCCATTAGCTAAAGTGGTGCTTCAGGTTAAGAACAGTTTCAGGTTAAGAAAAGACCCCCGGAACGAATTAAGTACTTAACCTGAGGTATCACTGTATTGGGAAGTTTCTAATGTCTGATGTTTTATTCTGCTTTTCTATTTGTTGGAAGCTGCCCAGAGTGGTTGGGGCAATGTAGTCAGATGGAGGGGGTACAAATATAATAATAATAATAATAATAATAATAATAATAATACAAATACCCCACCCATCTGACTGGGTTGCCCCAGCCACTCTGGGCGGCTTCCAACATATATAAAAACATAGTAAAACATTGAACATTAATAAACTTCTCTATACAGGGCTGCCTTCAGATAATTCCTAAAGGTTGTTGTTGTTGTTGTTATTATTAATATGGAATGCTTTTCAACTACTATTATTATTTATCTAGCACCACCAATGTGCATGGTGGCAAAGCCATAGCTCTACGGTACATCATCTGCTTTGAATACCCAAGGCCTTGGGTTCAATTCCTGGCACCTCCAGGAGAGATGCCAGGGCCAGGAGACACTTTATGCTCACCCACACTTCCATTTGCCCTGCAGTTTCTTCCGTTTGGTCCATGACTTCTTGGCAGGGTTCTAGAAGACTTTCTTTTGCCCCACTGCTTTCCCTGGAAAGACCCGAGGTTTACCGCTATATGGGAACGAGAGTCGATCTGCAGGACACCCGATTGACATTTGCTCTGATTCAGCCGTAAACAGTGGGTTTTCCCAGGGAAAGTGGTGGGACAGAAAGAAAACCCTCTCGGGTGAGCCCTTCCTGTCTGAAACCTTGGAAAGTCCCTGCCAGTCAGTATAGGTTGATGGTCCCATCGTCTGACCTTATATATAAGGCAGCTGCAAACCCCGCCTGCTCAGCCCCCAAGAATGTGGCATCCATCACTTCGATTCATACAGTGACTCTTACACAGGCATAGTCAAACTCGGGCCTCCAGATGTTTTGAGACTACAATTCCCATTATCCCTGACCACTGGACCTGTTAGCTAGGGATGATGGGAGTTGTAGTCCCAAAACATCTGGAGGGCCGAGTTTGCCTGCTCTTACAGAACACGTTTGCCTGCCAGAATCCTTTTCCAGATAAGGATGTTGTAGCAATCGCTGTGAAGGGGATTGGGAAACGAGGACTTTCAAGGCTTTATAAAATTATGCAGCTGCAGATACTTCTCTCCCCTCCACATGCTTGACAGCTATTATTGAAATACGTCAGTTTGCAGTTTTTTTTAACATAAAATCTTTCCGGCAGATTCAGATTACCAAGCAAAAGTATGGTCTGCTGTACATAATTCTAAGCCCATGGTTATCATTAACCATAGTTAACAAACCACAGTTAGAATGGCGGCACTTGGCAGATGGCTACTTAGAATTTGGTTTGTTCCCTACAAGCCAGGAATATCTGCTTTTCCCTAGTGGCTCTGTAGGTTTGAGTCATTGATGGCTCCTTAACCGTAGTTAAGGCAGTTGATAGTCTAGCACCCCCTAGTGGCTGGGAATTCTGCCCCCTCTGAATACCACCCTGGTAGCAAGAAGGCTGATCAGATATCTTTATGTTCTTCTGTCCTCAGCTCTTCCTCCTCCTCCTCTTCCTTCTATGTTGATAGATTTTTTTTCTTGTACCTGTAGCACCCGGAAGCAGTCTGATATGTTTCAGATCCACTCTGTTTCATTCAATATGTTATTCGGGTCTGAATATGCCCTGTTAAATCTCAAGTTCTGTTTCCACGTCATTGACAATAACAGGGAATCTAAAAGAGCTGCAACCTCTTCCTTTATTACTTAAGTGGATGAAATTTGCAGGCAAAGGAGCACCTGCCTTTTTTGTGTGTGTCAGATCCACCCAGAGGTCTTTGTGCAGGAAAATATATACCCTCCCTAACTTTTTTTAGTGCCTACCACAGTTGATGAACATTGCAGGCCTGGTTGCCCTTTCTGAGGAGATGAAGCCTACAAACAGTTTTGAAAGATGATTGCAGCAGTTCTCCAGCAAGGGCTCATGTTACAATTTCAAAACAGAAAAATAAAGATCCATGTTTCCTCCTCTCTCTTTTTGTTTTGCAAGGGGACATGGGGCCTCCCACCTGTCGGCATTTCTCTGTGGCTTTTCAAGTCTTCCTGTGCTTCTCCTGTAAAACCAGTGTCAGAGATTAAAAAGAGGAATGCAGGGAGACTTGCAAAGCACTCTTTGAAGCAGCCTCCACCCCTTCCTTTAAAGGAGCCTGTTTCAAAGGGTGCTTTTGGCTTTGCTTGCAAAATATGCCTCTTTTTCTCCCTTCCCCTTCATTTGAAAGAGGAGGGGATTTCTCCAGTCCTCTGCCTTTGCTTGAGGTTAGGAAATTAGAAGGTAAGGAGGAGTCATGCAAAGACCTTTGCAAGTCTCCCCCTTCCATTTTAAATCCTCACCCTCTCACGGATCTGCTCCCATCTCTCAGCTGTGCTCATCAGCCAATGAGCAGAGATTAAATCCTGCTGCCTAGGCTGCAGGATTCTCTTCCTACAATTCGTTATGAATTATAAGATGCAGAGGTAGATGTGTGTGTGTGTTTAACCAGCTTAATTGTACTCAAATCTTACAATACTTGTCTGTTTATTTATTGCTATATATCCCACCTTTTCCTCCAAGGAGCTTGATAGCATACATGGTCCTTCCCCTCCTCATCTAATCCCCACAACATCCCTGTAAAGTAGGTCAGGCTGAGAGGCCGTAACTGGCCTAAGATCACCCAGTGAGCTTCATGACTGAGCGAGGATTTGAACGCAGGTGGCGCTGTGGTCTAAACCACAGAGCCTAGGGCTTGCTGATCAGAAGGTCGGCGGTTCGAATCCCTGTGACAGAGTGAGCTCCCATTGCTCAGTCTCTGCTCCTGCCAACCTAGCAGTTTGAAAGCACGTCAAGTGCAAGTAGATAAATAGGTACCACTCTGGCGGGAAGGTAAGCGGCGTTTCCTTGCGCTGCTCTGGTTCGCCAGAAGCAGCTTAGTCATGCTGGCCACATGACCCAGAAGCCGTCTGCGGACAAACGCCGGCTCCCTCGGCCAGTAAAGCGAGATGAGTGCCGCAACCCCAGAGTCGTCCGTGACTGGACTTAACGGTCAGGGGTCCCTTTACCTTTACCTTTTACCTCCCAGGTCCCAATCCAGCGTTTTAACCACTACACCACACTACTTCACCACCCAGCCTTTTTTTAAAAAAGAAAGGTTTGCCGTAGGTTTAAGTGCTGTGTACAGTCCTGGCTTGTAAACTAGGATTCAACTGTAGGTTGCAGTCTTGATTTGTAAGTAGCGCTTAAACCAAATCCCTGGTTTGGATGTCGCAGGAATCTGCAATTTTAACTAACCAAGAAGATGAACCACGGGGAGAGCCCTGAAGCTTGTTGCTTGTTCCATCACCAGCACACAATGGTTTGTTGGACTAAACAAAAAGCAGCGAAGTTGTATTTGCCTGCATTTCATTCAGCCTCCTCTGAGTAGCTTGTCTGGCTGCATTGTGGGGCTGAGATAAAAGGCTGCCTCTGCTATTCTTATATTCTAAAAATATTCCCGGTATCTTAAAACTCCATTCAAACACCCACTTATTTGGATTTTTAAATTTTTTATTTTAAAAGAACCCTTCGCTTTTGATGGTGGAACCACAGAAACCGTTTCAGGACCATTCCCGTAATTGCTTGCTTTGTTAGATGGATATTGCTTTTCTCCTTTTCCTCTTATTTGCTTATTTTTTTCTTCCACCACACGTATATAAATTCAGTTGTTGTATTGGGAGTGGTTTGCAGTGAAGGACGTATTCAGCTAAATCTAATGCTGATGACATCTTTCCGCCGGGCTCAAACGAAGAACATTGTTTGAGCTCGGAAGAGAGTTGTTCAGTCTGCACAGCCTTGGAAAATGAATGCGTTCAGCAACCATTTCTAAGGAGCAGAATTATGAAACAGGATGGGAAGAATGCCAAGCATTAAGGTGCTCCAACCAGAAGAGGCAGGTACGTCAGGCACAGGTTGTCTGTTCCTTACATCGCAGGTAACTCTGGCCAGAAGGAAGGAGCTGCTCACAGCCAAAACCCAAATTCCTTAACCCAATGAGTTATGTCGCTTTCAAACGTGGCAAAATATTCACACATACCCCATGTAATGCGGAATCATGGGGATTTAGAGGGAGTAAGAAGAGTCCCTTGCCAGCAAAGGTCCGTATAGTTAAAGCTATGGTTTTCCCAGTAGTGATGTATGGAAGTGAGAGCTGGACCATAAAGAGGGCTGATCACCGAAGAATAGATGCTTTTGAATTATGGTGCTGGAGGAGACTCTTGAGGGTCCCATGGACTGCAAGAAGATCAAACCTCTCCATTCTGAAGGAAACCAGCCCTGAGTGCTCACTGGAAGGACAGATCCTGAAGCTGAGACTCCAAGACTTTGGCCACCTCATGAGAAGACAAGACTCCCTGGAAAAGACCCTGATGTTGGGAAAGATGGAGGGCACAAGGAGAAGGGGACGGCGGAGGACGAGATGGTGGGACAGTGTTCTCGAAGCTACCAGCATGAGTTTGACCAAACTGCGGGAGGCAGTGGAAGACAGAAGTGCCTGGCGTGCTCTGGTCCGTGGGGTCACGAAGAGTCGGACACGACTAAACGACTAAACAACAACAACAACAACGAGAGTCCTGCTGGATGAGACCAAAGGTCTCTCTCCCCATCCCGCACCCCACCCCTGCAGGTCAACACAGACTGGTGGGCAGGACACGTGCCCTGCCAAAGTCCTGTCATTGCTTCCCAAGTGCCTGGGAAAATACTTGCTCTTGGCCCTTGGGGTACTGCAGAAAAAGGGGTTTGGCCAGCCCCATGTTTTATGCTCGAAGAGCATATACCCTTTAACATTCATCTGATGAAAATAGGGACGTTTTTTCTTCTTCTTTTTGTGTACAGTGGTACCTCGGGTTACATACGCTTCAGGTTACATACGCTTCAGGTTACAGACACCGCTAACCCAGAAATAGTACCTCGGGTTAAGAACTTTGCTTCAGGATGAGAACAGAAATTGTGCTGCAGCGGCACGGCAGCAGCAGGAGGCGCCATTAGCTAAAGTGGTGCTTCAGGTTAAGAACAGTTTCAGGTTAAGAACGGACCACTGGAACGAATTAAGTACTCAACCCGAGGTACCACTGTAATTTTTATTAAATTTTCTACAACCTTAAAATATAAATGACTTCCCTTTTTCTCTTTCCATGGTTCATTTTGTATAACATAAATCCTTGCATAGTCGTACCTTGGCAGTTGAGCACCTTGCAATTCGAACGTTTTGGCTCCTGAACGCCGCAAACTTGGAAGTGAGTGTTCTGGTTTGCAAACGTTCTTTTGGAACCTGAACGTCCAACGCAGATTCCGTGGGTTCCGATTGGCTGCAGCAGAACCCTCAGCGCTGGACCTCAAGTGTCTGGGCCGAATGATGGGGCTGGAGATGCTCCTTCAGGTATACTGGACCGGGGCCATTTAGGGCTTTAAAGGTCAGCACCAACACTTTGAAATGTGCTCAGAAACGTGTTGTTGTTGTTGTTTAGTCGTTTAGTCGTGTCCGACTCTTCATGACCCCATGGACCAGAGCACGCCAGGCACTCCTGTCTTCACTCGGAAACGTACTGGGAGCCAGTGTAGGTCTTTCAGGACCAGTGTTATATGGTCTCGGAGGCCGCTCCTAGTCACCAGTCTAGCTGCTGCATTCTGGATTAGTTGCAGTTCTCCAGGTCACCTTCAAAGGTAGCCCCATGTAGAGCGCATTGCAGTAGTCCAAGTGAGAGATAACCAGAGCATGCGCCACTCTGGCAAGACAGTCAGCGGGCAGGTAGGGTTTCAGCACTGTGTACCAGATGGAGTTGGTAAGCAGCTGCCCTGGACACAGAATTGACCTGTGCCTCCATGGACAGCTGTGGGTCCGAAATGACTCCCAGGCTGCGCACCTGGTCCTTCAGGGGCACAGTTACCTCATTCAGGACCAGGGAGAGGCCATGGGATGCTCCCTCACTGCCGCAGCTGCTTGGGACAGGTGCCAGCTCACCCACCTCCCCGAACTCTTGGTGGTGGCACTGGCAGGGGAAATAGGGACATTCTGGGATCAAATCAGAAGCCAGGATGGATTTTGTAATTCCAGGGCTGTTCCTGGAAAATAGGGACACTTGGAAGGTGTGAGAGCTCTGAGCTTGCAAAACCCTTAGTACATCCCTTCCCAAACACCTGACGGCCAGCTGGCAATCAAGGCAACATGCAAACAATTAAAACAGCGATCAGCAGCACGAAAACATCAAGATGATTTTAAACAAATCAAGGTTAAAAAGCATGAGTGGAAACAAAAGCCGTTAAGCTTGGGTAGGCTTGCTCAAGTCCTTGAATGTCCTGTTCTTTTCAGCGCGTGCTCATGTTTAAATAGAAAGGAGGGGTCTCTATAGCAACTCTTTCTAGTCTGAGATTAAAGAGCACCTACGAACAGGAAACACATGCACCCAGGAAGCTGAACACCTGTCTCTCTCTCTCTCTCTCTCTCTCTCTCTCTCTCTCTCTCTCTCTTCCCTCCCACCTTGGTTTTGTTTCATCAAAATAAATGTTCTGCAAGAAGGCAGAAGGGTTTGCCTGCAAGACTCACTGGAAAATACAAAAAACTATGGCTCAATTTCACATTTAGAGAGAAGATGTTCATGTGCAGCTCAGAGGTGAGGAGGTGGAAAGCATTTGTGTTGTTACAAAAGTTGGGTGCCCCCACTCTCTACAAGATTCCATGGGGACCCAGGCACTCATCCAGGGTCTGTGTTCCTTTGGAGAATTAAGCATGGCAGAGACTGTCATCGCTTTAAGAAATATGGTTCATTCACCTATTGACACCTTCAGTCTGCATGGAGGGAGTCCAGATCTTACAGCATGGTCATTTCAAGATGGGCTTGTACCCCACAGCAGTGTAGACCTGGGGTCCGCGGCATGTCTCCCAGCCAGCCTTCAGCCAACCTGCCCAAGATGGATCCTGGTCTCTCTCCCCTTCTTCTTCCCAGCACACCTTGCTAAAAAACCCTCTCTTTTCCTGTCATCCCAGGTCAATGAGGGAGGACAGTTCTCTTGCATTGCCAATGGCCCTCTATTTTTTCTTGATGGCCTTAGCTTGACCGGGTCATTTTGCATAGGCTAGCTGAGGAATCCCTCTGCAGTTTTTTATTTCTCCCTTCATGCCACAAAAAAATCAAAATCCTACCATTTATTAATTTCTAGGGTTTAGGGAGTTATCGTCCCCCCCCCAAAGAATCTACAACAGTATTTATGCTTTGGCTTTGTTACCCTGAAGGCGTAAGAAAGATGTTTGCAGCACAGTTGGCTAGGAATTAGGCCAGCCTCCCACACTATAATTTTCATGGCACAATACACTTCTGTATTGTACAAATGTGTTGAAGGAGATTTTATCGCAGGTTGAAGCACCTGCAGAAGGCCATGGGTTCAAGGTGCCAGAAAAAGCTCACCAATATTCATGCTACCTTTTTTTTTGCAGCAGTAGTGATGGCTTTCGGGGTTTAGCCTGTTTTAAGCTGGGAACTCATGATTCTCTCACGTTATGCCTCAATGCTTTCTCCAGATTCCTGCACTTTCTTCCCTCCAGCCCCTAAGCAGGGGTTTTTCCCTCAGTCCCATTCTCCTTGTTCCTTCCGTTCTTCAGCTGCCATCACCATCCACCCCAATTCCTCCCAAGCTCTTTCTTCCTCCATCTGTTCCTCCCTGCTTCTCAGACCACTGTGTGACTATCGATGGCTACTGTTTGCCACTGAATATCAGTAGTTGGCTCCTTCATGGCAAGTTCTTAGAGAAATGGGAGTGCCTGATCACCTCATCTGTCTCCTGAGAAATCTCTATGTGGGACAAAAAGCTACAGTTAGAACTGGATATGGAACAACTGATTGGTTAAAAATTGGGAAAGGAGTACGACAAGGCTGTATATTGTCTCCTTGCTTATTTAACTTATATGCAGAATTCATCATGCGAAAGGCTGGACTGGATGAATCCCAAGCTGGAATTAAGATTGCCGGAAGAAATATCAACAACCTCAGATATGCAGATGATACAGCCTTGATGGCAGAAAGTGAGGAGGAATTAAAGAACCTTTTGATGAGGGTGAAAGAGGAGAGCGCAAAATATGGTCTGAAGCTCAATATCAAAAAAACGAAGATCATGGCCACTGGTCCCATCACCTCCTGGCAAATAGAAGGGGAAGAAATGGAGGCAGTGAGAGATTGTACTTTCTTGAGTTCCATGATCACTGCAGACGGTGACAGCAGTCATGAAATTAAAAGACGCCTGCTTCTTAGGAGAAAAGCGATGACAAACCTAGACAGCATCTTAAAAAGCAGAGACATCACCTTGCCGACAGAGGTCCGTATAGTTAAAGTAGTGATGGATGGAAGTGAGAGCTGGACCATAAAGAAGGCTGATCGCCGAAGAATTGATGCTTTTGAATTATGGTGCTGGAGGAGACTCTTGAGAGTCCCATGGACTGCAAGAAGATCCAACCTATCCATTCTGAAGGAAATCAGCCCTGAGTGCTCACTGGAAGGACAGATCGTGAAGCTGAGGCTCCAATACTTTGGCCACCTCATGAGAAGAGAAGACTCCCTGGAAAAGACCCTGATGCTGGGAAAGATGGGGGGCAGAAGGAGAAGGGGACGACAGAGGACGAGATGGTTGGACAGTGTTCTCGAAGCTACCAAACTGCGGGAGGCAGTGGAAGACAGGAGTGCCTGGTGTGCTCTGGTCCATGGGGTCACGAAGAGTCGGACACGACTAAACAACAGATCAATTGGAAATCACATGGGGAGAGAGCACTGTTGCAGTCATCCAGTTGGACTACAATCCTGTGACCCATAAAGCCTTCAGTGGCTCTGGACTGCAATATCTCAAGGACCACCTCTCCATGATACCAGCCCTTTTCCGCGTGCCTCATATATGAGAGGTCCGGAAAGTGGCAACATGATAATGGGCCTTCTCTGCAGTGCCTCCCATTTGTGGAGTGCTCTCCCCAGGGAGGCTCACCGGTACCAGGCGAAAACGTTCCTCTTCAACCAGATTGACATCTAATGCCCCTTTGAATGTGTTGTGGGAAGGGGATTATTCGTTGTCGTTTTGTTCTTATTTTTATTATGTGCTGTGTTTTTTATATTATAATTTTATGTTGTGAACCACCCTAATATCTATGGATGAAGGGCAGTCTACACCAGGGGTAGGCAACCTAAGGCCTGTGGGCCTTCTAAATCCAGTCGCCTTCTAAATCCAGCCCACGGGTGGTCCGGGAATCAGCGTGTTTTTACATGAGTAGAATGTGTCCTTTTATTTAAAATGCATCTCTGGGTTATTTGTGGGGCATAGGAATTCATTCATTTTTCCAAAATATAGTCCGGCCCACCACATGGTCTGAGGGACGGTGAACTGGCCCATGGCTGAAAAAGGTTGCTGACCTCTGGTCTACACATAATAATAATAATAATAATAATAATAATGGTTATTTTCAGCCGGAACTCACCGGAGCTCAGTTCTGGCAGCTCTCACGTGGGTGCCATTACCATTATAAGACAACAAGGGAGGCGTTCTTTGAGTGTTCCAGCACCTCTTTTTCTATAAAAATAGCACTGATAATAGTAATGATTTGGCTCCTTTGCATTTCCCTGACCTCCCACTGGCCTCTGTCCCAACACCTAACGCTAAGAGAAGAGACTAGATCCCTGGTCTAAGATCCTGCTTTCTCTTGGCTTCTTGGCCTGCAGTCTGACAAAATTCCAGAATCATGGAGCTACAGCAATTCCTATTGCCATAACAGCTTGCCTCCGAATATTTGTTCACAACAAAGCAAGGCAAAGTGTTGTTGCAATTGCAAAGCGTAAATTGCAGCAGCGAGGCTTACAGAGAACCACAGAGCACAAAAATAACTGTTATTATATTGAAGAACACTCTAAGCAGCTGGCAGCAGGAGGGCTTAGGAGTCCTGTATCAAAGATCTTCCTCGGCTGATAGCAGCTTGAAAATGCATTAAGGCCCCGGTTGCAGTTTTTCGCAGCTGGGAGGACTTCGGAGCTGTTTATCCCTCCAAAGAAATTACTTGATCCCAGAATTTTAATACCACCGCAAGGGTCCAGACTTCCAGGCCGGAATCCCAAGAGGGGAAAGTACTGTTGTTGCCTTAAGTCCTGTTTGCAAGCTTCTCGTGGATGTCTAGTTGCAGACCCTCCAGGTGTCCCTATTTTCCAGGGACAGTCCCGGATTTACAGAAGCCGTCCCGGTTTCTGATCTGATCCTGGAATTTCCTGCTTTTCCTTAGAATGTCCCAGAGTGGCTGGGGCAACCCAGTCAGATGGGTGGGGTACAAACAAACAAACAAACAAACAATAATTGAAATTGTCACTTTGCCTTCCTTAGTGCAGAAAGTATTGATCTGATGTGTAGAGATCTTTCCTATTCTACTTAATTCAAGAGGGTTCTGGAAGCTTCTCTGTGTGAAAGAAACAAGCAGAAGGTTCATGATGTTTGGGTTATTCCTTCCCAGAAGCTGGTTTAAACTAGTTCTCTTATCTCTTCTGTCAAGGTCATGCTGACTATATAAGTAGGGCCAGAAGTTTCATTTTCTCTTTCTATCTCTTTTCCTTCTGGTATGGTGTTCTGTTCACGGTATGCTTAGTGTTAAGATTTAGTTAAGTTATTGTAAGGTAAGGTAAAGTTATTGTAAGCTTAAGTTAAATCTTCTGCAACTGGATTTATTATAGGCAGTGCCAATCCTGATTGTATTGGATTTGTGACCATTTGCCTTGAGTAGCAGTAAAGCTCTGCTGGATGAAATATTAATTGCCTCTGGTCTATTTTTTGGGAATCCTGCAACATGTTTAAGTTTTTACTTTGCTAACTATCCATTGGAATCTACTCTGGATCAATACTGAGTAGAATTCCATGGCAGAAATGTTGGACGGTATGCTAGGATGTCCCTATTTTCATCAGAGAAACGTTGGAGGGTATGGAATTATGAGACCCCTGAGCCAAGGAGATAAGTAACTATACAACCTTTAGGAGATATCTGAAGGCAGCTCTGTATAGGGAAGTTTATTAATGTTCAATGTTTTATTACGTATATATATATATGTTGGAAGCTGCCCAGAGTGGCTGGGGCAACCCAGACAGATGGGCAGGAGGTGGTTGTTGTGGTTGTTATTGTTATTGCAACAGGTCATCCCTATTTTCATCAGAGAAATGATGGATGGTACCTCGGGATGAATACGCTTCAGCTTAAATATTTTCGGGTAGTGCTGTGCGTCGACCTGGAAATAACGGAACACGTTACTTCCAGGTTTCGCTGCTCGCGCAGATGCTCAAAATGATGTCACGCGCATGCGCGGAAGCAGCAAAACGCGACCCGCGCATGCTCAGACGCAGGTTGCGTTCGCTTCAGGATGTGAACCGGGCTCTGGAACGGATCCCGTTCGCATCCAGAGGTACCACTGTATATAGTTGGCCACAGTGAGAACTGCATAACTTTTCTTACGTTATGTCTTTTTAACCCAAATTTCCAGCTTGATGTTTTTTATTCTGTTTAATATTCCGTTAGGAGCCGCACAGAGCGGCTGGGGAAACCCAGCCAGATGGGTGGAGTATAAATAATAAATTATTATAATATTAAGGTAAAGGTAAAGGGACCCCTGACCATTAGGTCCAGTCGTGACCGACTCTGGGGTTGCGGCGCTCATCTCGCTTTATTGGCCGAGGGAGCCGGCGTTTGTCCGCAGACAGCTTCTGGGTCATGTAGCCAGCATGACTAAGCCGCTTCTGGTGAACCAGAGCAGCGCACGGAAACGCCGTTTACCTTCCCGCCGGAGTGGTACCTATTTATCTACTTGCACTTTGACGTGCTTTTGAACTGCTAGGTTGGCAGGAGCAGGGACCGAGCAACGGGAGCTCACCCCGTTGCGGGGATTCGAACCGCTGACCTTCTGATCAGCAAGTCCTAGGCTCTGTGGTTTAACCCACAGCACCACCCGCATCCCTATTATAATATCAAGATTACTTATTTTTTTTACCCACATTATATATCTCCTCCGCAGGATCACGAAGGAGCGAGTGCCCTTCCGGCTCCGCCAAGCAGCCACGTGCCAATTTCCAAGTGTGGCGACCTGGACGTCCTCTTTGAGTACAAGCCCTCGAGCCAAAAGCTGCTGGTGACCATCCTGGAGGCGAAGGAGATCCCTGACAAGGACCGCAGCGGAGCCAGCTCCTGGCAGGTGCACGTGGTCCTGATGCCCAGCAAGAAGCAGAGAGGGAAGACCAGCGTCCAGCGAGGCCCCAGCCCCGGGTTCAAGGACAAGGTGACCTTCAGCAAGTTGGCACCGGAGGAGCTGAGCAGCTACGCCCTCCGGTTCCGCCTCTACTCCGTGCGCAAAATGATCAAGGAGAGAATGATGGGGGAGCACCTGTTTTATCTCAGCCACCTGAACCAGGAAGGGGAAATGAAGGTCACGCTAGTCTTGGAGCCCAGGAGCAACTTGTGTGTAAGTTTTTAGGCTGGAAGAAGCCACCTAACGCTGTCCCCTCCCCCAAAAATTGTATTGAGACTTTTCACACACACACATATATATATATTTGAATTAATTTTTTAATTAATTTTAAATTAATTTTTTAATTTAATTAATTTTTTAAATTAATTTTAATTAATTAAAATTTGAATTAATTTTTAACATATCTTTTCCAACAGTCATTTAACACAACTTCTTATCTTATACAATATTTTAGACTTCCGTCTACAACCTCTGAAGATTTTCCATTCTTTATCACTTATTCTGCATTTCTTAATTTCTCTGTTACTTTTAATTGTCATTAACTAATAATTCTCTTCCTTGCAATGTATCATATAATCCTCCTCACAGAACTTCTTGCAGTCCTACTAGCGTAATCTGCTTATTACAATTGCTTTCCAAATAGTTCAAATGTTTACTCCAGTCTTCTAAGAATCTCTGGTCCCGCAGGTTTCGAATCCTTCCTGTTAATTTATCTAATTCTGCATAGTCCATTAATTTCAAATTTTATTGAGACTTTTCATCATGGAATACAATAAATAACAAACTAATCTAACCACATATAGACTTTTTGCAGTGGCTCCTCTTCTGTGGAATGCTCTCCCCAGGGAAGTTCGCCTGGTGCCTTCATTATGCACCTTTGGTTGATTTCAAAGAATCACAGAACTGTAGAGTTGGAAGGGACCCTGAGGATCATCTAGTCCAACCCCCTGCAATGCAGGAATATGCAGCTGGTCCATACAGGGATCGAACCTGCAACCTTGGTGTTATCAGCACCATGGTCTAACCAATTTGATTGACATCCTGTGCCCTTCTAAAATGTGTGTGTTTGTGTGTGGGGGGGTTATTGGGTTTGTTGTTATTTTTATTTTTATTATGTACTTTGTGGTTTTATATTCCGATTTTATCCTGTGAACCGCCCTGAGACCTGTGGGTATAGGAAAGAATATAAATTCAAATAACAACAACAACTTACAATATTTGGGTTTGAGGACTGAAGGTAATATTGGTTTATAGAAAGTGAATTTGTTGGGTGTTATCTTGGAGTGGATGTGCTGACTAATTTTCTACCTATAGCTGAAAGATGAAGAATTGGAAGTTCTCTTTTTTCCAACCTCTTTTTTCTGCATATTCTCCTTCAGTCTTTATTTAGATTAGTTTTTTGGTCTTGATACAAAGATATTTGATAGAAATCTTTGTACAGTGGTACCTCCGGTTGCGGACAGAATCCATTCCGGAGGTCCGGTTGGATCCTGAGGTTTCCGCAACCTGAGGACCGCTACTGCGCATGCGCGCGTGGTGAAACCTGGTAAAATAATCTGGGTTTGCTGTGCACGCATCCCGAAGTTTACGTAACCAGAGGGTTACATAAACGGAGGTACGACTATATTCTTTTTCAAATTTCAATAATTTTTTTTTTTTAAAGCCAAACTCATCTAAATAAAAAACATAGAGAGAGAAAGTGCAGAGAAAATGCAAATCCTTCTCTCAAAAGCCAATCTTAATCCTTGTCTCGCACAAAAGGGGGTGGACCCTCCCACCTCCCATTTACGGGACCATAGCTCTGTCCTACAGGCCCGACAGAAGGAGGTTAAATCCTGCAGGGCCCTGGTCTCGTGGGACAGAGCATTCCACCAGGTCGGAGCCATCACTGAAAAGGCCCTGGCCCTGGTGGAGGATAGTCTGACTTCCTTAGGGCCCGGGACCTCTAAACTATGGTTATTCATGGACCTTAAGGTCCTCTGCGGGGCATACCAGGAGAGGCGGTATTGCAATTGCTTCAGTTCTGCATAAGTACCCAGAAGGCATAAAATAATCCTGGAGGGGCTCCAGTGTAGGCTTACAAACCATTAATTAAAAAAGAGAGAGATGTTTTCATTAAGAATTTGAGGTCTTAAGCATCAAGGATAAGAAATAAATTACGCAACCTGTTTAGGTGGTGTTAATAAAAAAGAAATCTAACCATCTAAATACTTCTTTTTTAAATAAAATAGAAATCCATGCTTGTTATAAATCTACTGTGCCCCAGTAGTTGATTATCAAATGAATCAACCCCTCCCTGTACACCATACCCAAATTCTCTCTTCTGCAAAATTCCCCCAGATTCCAGCTACAAACATATGCAACTGCTCCTACTTTATTGGTTCTGAATTTGTTTACCTAAATACAACAAAAGATAGCTCAGATCTCCTGCAAAACAGGTGGGAGGCTGAATATTTTGTTTTTAATCGGTGCACCAAGGATATTTCGCTCTCAGAGACTGGTATGAAAGGCATTTCTGGGCAACGAATTACAGCCCCCGACCGTTGTGCAGGCATTTACGTAATCCCTTTTGCAGCAGGGATCGGTGCATTAAATGCTTCTCTCAAAGGCAGATCGAGTGCGGCTGGTTCAGAGCTTATGGGGTGCACAGGAAATCCTGCAACTATGAATTCCAATGGAAGGCGAGAAGTTGGGCGGGGGCACTGGATTTTGGCATTGCACAGGGCACCACTTAAAATTTGAGGTGCCAAGGCGTCTCTGGCACAGAAATGCCACTTGCTCTCCTGGCTTCAGGGATAGCCTCCCGAAGCCTCCTGAGCGCAGCGGGATTGCTCCTCCCGCTGTGCTCCGGAGGCTTTCTGTTGCTTTTGCTGAAGCCAGGAGAGCAAGAGGGATCGATCCCTCTTGCTCTCCTGCCTTCGCTTCACTGGAGAGCCACTGCACGGCTTTCCCTCTCTGCGCAGCGCCACTTCAGTGAAGCGGGAGGAGAAATGGAAGGGGCTCCATTTCTCCTGCCGCTTCACTGACGGGGCGCTGCGCAGAGAGGGAGGGAACATTTTTTTTCTTGTTCTCCTCCTCTAAAACTAGGTGCGTCTTATGGTTAGGGGCGTCTTATACAGGGAAAAATACAGTATTTATTTATTACACACACACACTCACTCACTCTAGTTTTCTGTTTTACAATTTAAAGTACTCATTTTTACATCCTTAAAATATTAATGACTTCCCTTCTTCTCTTTCCATGGTTCATTTTACATATCATAAATCCCTGCGTATTTTACAGAAACTAAACCATTCAGCATTCCATTATTCCATCCATCAAAACTTATTTACACTGCTGAATTTATCTTAACGCTGCCAACGTTTTCAGCTGTACGCAGTTCTTTCCCATATATTCAGTAAACATTTTCCAATCTTCTTTAAACACATGTTCTTCTTATCCTCTTATTCTATATGTTAAGTCTGCAAGCTGTGCATGTTCTGTCAACTTAAGTTGCCATTCTTCTTTGGCTGGAACCTCGCTCGTTTTCCATTTTTGGGCTAACAAAACACGGGCCGTAGTAGTGGTATACTTAAATAACCTTTTCTGACACCTGGGAATTTCAGTCTGAATTATCTCCAACAGAAAGGACTCTGGGTTTTGAGGGGAAAGTACTTTTAAACATTTTTTTTCAATTCATTATGGATCGTTTCCCAATACTCTTTTACCCTTTTACAAGTCCACCACATATGAAGGAATGTTCCCTCCACCTCTTGGTTAACGCTTACTCTCTGTTCTCCATCCCCAACAGAGCGGAGGCTCCCAGATGAGTCTCTCGGTCATCTCTCACAGCGACAGTGCTTCTTCGACCCAGTCCCTGTCACACGGAGGGGTTCCAGAACTGCTGGTGGGCCTATCCTACAATGCCACGACGGGGCGGCTGTCTGTCGAAATGATCAAAGGCAGCCACTTCCGGAACCTGGCTATTAACAGGCCGCCTGGTATGTAAAAGCGTTTTGTTTTGTTTTTGTAGCCAGCATGCAAAGTCTCCTAGCTTAGCAGATGTGGCTGGGCTTGAATTCAGAAGCTTGCGGTCAGGGGCAGAGGGGCTGCGATCTAGTTGCCTGTTATGTACTGAGTTGAATAGGATCCAGAATGCAGCAGTCTGATTGGTCCTAGAACAATAGGATCCAGAATGCAGTAGTCTGATTGGTCCTAGAACAATAGGATCCAGAATGCAGCAGTCTGATTGGTCCACAGGAACCACCCAATCCAGCTCCAGGTGGAAGTGAATCTGCAACCTGATTGGCCTACAGGAAAATCCCGGAATTAGCCAATCACGTAGGGCCCGTTGTGTAAATAATGTATATAAAGCAGACATTTTGGGGGAACTTCCATTACTCGCTACTATGAGCTGAATAAAGAGCATGAAATCCACACTCGACTCTGAGTATATTTCATTGCCCATGGCATTTTGTATAGAAAGGAGGGGTGTAAATAAAGCTGGAGATATTTCTCCAGACAGTGGAAGGCAATTTCAAAGAGAGATTTGTGCTTGAGGGCGTGTTCACACATCCCCGCTCGCACCTAGAAATGTCTAAGGATTCCGATTTAAACAGAAACAGGCTGGATATTACGTGTTTTTTTCCATGTCTGGGACAGAAATCAATCTAGCAAATACAACCGGCATTCTGCGGCGGCCTTCAGTCTGCAAACAATACGTAATTAATTACGCCGCCCCCCCCCCCATTTCCACTGCATTGAAATGAACGGGGTGGAATAATGTTTTGAGGACGTGACTCTGCTAATTGTGAAAGTCACAAAGTTTTGCCACAAAGGACAGCGAGGCAAATAACAGAGTTTTGCGCAGAAGACGAACTGCAGCAGAATGGAAACAGTGGAACAGAAAACGACAACTTCTTGCGCAGGTTTATTGTGTTGCCTGAAAAAAGATACTTGCTTTATTGGAGGCAGCAACAGGGCAAAATAAATAGGTGACACTCATGGGAAGCGATGGTTCCTAGAGCATCAGAAATTTATTGGATAAGACGCAGCTTTTCAGAGAAGGTTTCCTGGTGACATAGGAGGAGCGTAGCAAACAAGGGCAGGTTGTCCTGCCGCAACGCTGATAGTGAAATGATTTAACAACTCTCGTCAGCTGAGCTTTGGCCTCCGCCCTGCAAAGCAAATTCCATTTCCTCCATTTATTTTATGGTTTGTTTGGTTTTTGCTTGGGCCAATCACATCCTGTAGGAGTCGACAGCATCGGTGGCACTTGGAGACACCTTTTTGTGTCTCATTAACAAGCCGTGGGCTTAGCACTGAGCCCCAGTCAATGGTTCCTTCTGGTGAGAATCGAGCTGCGTCGTGCTGACTTGAAGAACTTCTGGGTTTTTTTTAAATGATATTTATTAAGGTTTCAAAGAAAAAAGTTACATAAATAAAAAGAAAAGAAAAAAAGGACAAAAATAAAAAGAAAAGAAAAATACAAAATACAGAAAAAAGGTAAAAAACACTTTATAAAAAAAAAAACTTTAAAAAAACACATCAATCTTTCCATGCCTTACATTCATTTCCTTGCTTCCCTGACCTCCTCGCACCTCCCTTTTTTTGTATTCCAATTCAGTTAGTTAATTCAGCAATTTCTTTCCCTCTTTGTTTTTAATAATAATAATAATAATTTATTATTTATACCCCGCCCATCTGGCTGGGCTTCCCCGGCCACTCTGGGCGGCTTCCAAAAGAATATTAAAATACTATAATACATCAAACATTAAAAGCTTCCCGAAACAGGGCTGCCTTCAGATGTCTTCTAAAAGCCTGGTAGTTGTTGTTCTCTTTGACATCTGGTGGGAGGGTGTTCCACAGGGAAGGCGCCACTACCGAGAAGGCCCTCTGCCTGGTTCCCTGTAACTTGGCTTCTCGCAGTGAGGGAACCGCCAGAAGGCCCTCGGTGCTGGACCTCAGTGTCCGGGTAGAACGATGGGGGTGGAGACGCTCCTTCAGATATACTGGACCGAGGCCGTTTAGGGCTTTAACTTAATCCTTTAACTTAATATATTATAACTTTGGATTCTCACCTGTTAACAATCCATTTTTACATACACCTTTATAACATTGCTGCTTAAACCACTTAACTTCATTCTGACATCATTCTAACATTCATTAATTTTGCAATATTTCTGTAAATAGTCTTTAAATTTCTTCCAATCTTCTTCCACCGACTCTTCTCCCTGGTCTCGGATTCTGCCAGTCATTTCCGCCAATTCCATGTAGTCCATCACCTTCATCTGCCATTCTTCCAGAGTGGGTAGATCTTGTGTCTCCCAAAACTTTGCAATAAGTATTCTTGCTGCTGTTGTGGCATACATAAAGAAAGTTCTGTCCTTCTTTGGCACCATTTGGCCGACCATGCCCAGGAGAAAGGCCTCTGGTTTCTTCAGAAAGGTATATTTAAATACCCTTTTCATTTCATTATAAATCATCTCCCAGAAAGCCTTAATCCTTGGGCACGTCCACCAAAGGTGAAAGAATGTACCTTCAGTTTCTTTACATTTCCAACATTTATTATCGGGCAAATGATAGATTTTTGCAAGCTTGACTGGTGTCATGTACCACCTGTATATCATTTTCATAATATTCTCTCTTAAGGCATTACATGCCGTAAACTTCATACCTGTGGTCCATAACTGTTCCCAGTCAGCCATCATTATGTTATGTCCAATGTCTTGTGCCCATTTAATCATAGCAGATTTCACCGTTTCATCCTGTGTATTCCATTTCAACAGCAAGTTATACATCTTTGACAAAATCTTAGTTTTGGGTTCTAGCAGTTCTGTTTCTAATTTTGATTTTTCCACCTGGAAGCCAATTTTCTTATCCAAATTGTATGCCTCCATTATCTGATAATAATGAAGCCAGTCTCGCACTTTGTTTTTAATTTCTCAAAACTCTGCAATTTCAGTCTATCTCCCTCTTGTTCCAAAATTTCCCAATATTTCGGCCATTTGACCTCCATATTGAGCTTTTTCTGAGCTTTCGCTTCCATCGGTGACAGTCACCTTGGGGTTTTGTTTTCCAGTAGGTCCTTATATCTTATCCAGACATTAAACAATGCTTTCCTGACAATATGGTTTTTAAATGCTTTATGTGCTTTGACCTTATCATACCACAAATATGCATGCCATCCAAATACATTATTAAAACCTTCTAAATCCAAAATGTCTGTGTTTTCAAGAAGCAGCCATTCTTGACTTGAAGAACTTCTGACTGCAGCTTTCAAGGCCCCCTATTCCTTGGGAAGCACCATTAATTGTGTTAATTATCCATATGTCTGAATCATAGAATCATGGAACTATGGAGTTGGAAGGGACATTGAGGGTCATCTAGTCCAACCCCCTGCAATGCAGGAATCTCAACTGAAGCATCCATGGCAGATGGCCGTCCAACTTCTGCTTAAAAACCTCCATGGAAGGAGAGCCCACCACCTCCCGCGGGAGTTCGTTCTGCTGTTGAACGGCTCTTACTGCCAGAAAGGTCTTCCTGATGTTTAGTCAGAATCCCCTTGTGGCGATCACACAGGGTCCCCGGACGTTTCACCATCTACTGATCCCTGTGCCACCACTTTATTTCTCGCTGCCACCACCCAGGCCCTACCTGGTACAATACTGAGTCCAGTCAGGGTTAAATTGGAACATAAACTTCTGTTTATTTATTGCAGTTTAACAAGCGTGTGGTTTCATAAACGGTCTCAGTCAATTACAGTCATGGGATGGCTATCCAGACCTATAACTTCCGCTACCTGCTCTCACTCACTAAACCACTTCTCAGATATTTACTTGTCTTCCTAGCCCTAACTGTTCCTGACTCAGCTTATTTTGCTACACTAACTCAACCTGCCCACAGACTCTATCCCGATTCACTCCCACTCCAAGCAACCACCCAACTCCCAATGAACTCCTCTCTTTGCCTCTCCCAGAGATGGTTTTATAGTCTCTCTGACTCCACCCCCTGGGTTCTGATAGGGTAACCTGTTTAACTATTTCACCTCCAGCACTCTCGTATGTTAACGTCACACCTCTTTCTTCCAACTTGAAGCCATGGGTTCGAGTCCTACCCTCCAGGGCAGGAGAAAACCAGCTCGCTCCATCTTCCATGTGACAGTCCTTGAGATATATGGAGATGGATCTCATATCTCCTCTTGGTCTCCTCTTCCAGGCTAAGCTCCCTCAACCGTTCCCAGACCCTTGATCATCTTGGCCACCTCCTATGCATTTTCATAGAGTTGGGCAGCAAATTATTTTCCATGTTCTTGTTTTTCTTCTGACCTGAAATGGGAACAGTATGTACATATTTTAAATAAACAAGTAATCTGAGGGTGAAGGACAGCGCAGGTACCGATTTATTATTGTAATTGTTTTGTATCCCAAATTTGCCTCCAAGGATGTCAAGGTGCCGTAAATGGTCCCCCCCCCATTTGATCCCCACAACAACCCTGTGAGGTAGGTTAGGCTGAGAAACAATGACCACCCCAAGGCCACTCAGTGAGCTTTATGGCAATAATAATAATAATAATAATAATAATATTTATACCCCGCCCATCTGGTTTCCCCAGCAACTCTGGGTGGCTCCCAACAGAATATTAAAAACACAATAAAACATCAAACATTAAAAACTTCCCTAAACAGGGCTGCTCTCAGAAGTCTTCTAAAAGTCAGATACAGTGGTACATCTGGTTGCGAACGGGATCTGTTCCGGAGGCCCGTTCGCAACATGAAAAGCCCGCAACCTGAAGCGCCATATCTGTGCAGGTGCACGGTGTGATTTGGCGCTTGTGCGCACACACGAAGCGTGATTTAGCGCTACTGTGCATGCACGAGTAGCGAAACCTGGAAGTAACCCACAGCCTGAAAAAAACGTAACATGAAGCAAACGTAACATGAGGTTTGACTGTAGTTGTTTATTTCCTGGACATCTGGTGGAAGGGCGTTCCAGAGGGAGGGTGCCACTACTGAGAAGGCCCTCTGCCTGGTTCCCTGTAATTTCAATTCTTGCAGTGAGGGAACCGCCAGAAGGCCCTTGGAGCTGGACCTGAGTGTCCTGGCAGAATGATGGGGGTGGAGACGCTCCTTCACGTATACTGGGCTAAGGCCGTTTAGGGCTTTAAAGGTCAGCACCAACACTTTTAATTGTGCTCAGAAACATACTGGGAGCCAATGTAAGTCTTTAAGGACCAGTCTTATATGGTCTTGGCGGCCACTAAGTGGGGATTTGAACCCTGATCTCCCAGGTCCGTGTTTGACACTAGAGGACTGAGCAGCAAGATAACTAGCAAGGACTGGTGTGTGATTGTGTGTGCAGTGATGGGGTCCAACCCTTGTATCTTAAAGGGGGCACACTGAGTGCATCTTTCCTGGGAAGAGTTAACCTGATAACTCTTCTGCCAGGAAAAAAGCTACAATAAATAAAATACTAAAAGAGAACTCTAAAAGAGATTGCTCTCTCATTTCCCAAATCGCTTTGTGTCTTGTCTATTTAGATTTTTACGTCACTGAAAGAAACACACCCCACCGCTTAGGTTTACATAAAATAGTATAAAACATTCATTTTAAAAGCAATAAAAGCAGACTTTTAAAAAGCATCTGAATAAAAAATATAACAATATTCAAACAAACATACGTAATAGAATTACGTGTCTGGGGGAGGCTTGTGTGTATGTTTCCCAAATGCACACTCAGGTACGCTGATGTGTTCATCCTAGAACTTGTAGCAAAATGTCTGAAGGCTGTTCATTCAAAACATGCACAGAAAAACAGACACACAAACACTGGTGACAGCAGCAGTGACAGAAGAGGAAGCTGCCTAGAGAGGGACTCCTTGCTTCTGAGTCGTATACAAGTGTTTTCGCGCCAGAAGCGAGACATTGCACCTTGTTTCTCAGGCGCAGAGGTGTGGAAAAGAGCGTGTCACAAAGAGAAAGAAGCTGGATGCTCTCAGGGGAAGATTGAGGGTTGCCATTCCAGTTCTACTCAGCTAAATTCCACGCAGAGCAGACCTAACAAAAGCTAGGTTTGTTAATTTCAACACGTTCGCACTGGGCTGTTGATGTTTGGTGTTGATTCTGTCCATGATATTCAGGTTAGGGCTTAGGGCCCTCGTATTTATGGGACTGCCTCTCCTGGTCTGCCCCGCAGAGGACCTTAAGGTCCATGAATAACCGTAGTTTAGAGATGCTGGGCCCTAAGGAAGTCAGACTATCCTCCACCAGGGCCAGGGCCTTTTCAGTGATGGCTCCGACCTGGTGGAATGCTCTGTCCCATGAGACCAAGGCCCTTCAGGATTTAACCTTAGACAGAGCTATTCTGCCTGGCCTTTGATTTGAATTCAGCCTGATCTTTTATTTCCCTTCCCTTCCCTCCCCCTCCCCTTTTATGAAGATCACCCGCTCTGAGACCCCACAGCTAATTCTCCCCTGGCCTCCTCCCTGGCCCAAGTAGGACTAATTCAGCCAGCTAGCCCTGGGGATTATCTAATGCTTATTAGATGGATTTCCCCTAAATTGATTTCTGAACTTTGAATTTTATTGTTATCCATGTTTTTATACTGTATTTTATGCTGTTTTTACAATTAAGTGTTTTAAATTTGTTGTTAGCCGCCCTGAGCCTGGTTTTTTAACCAGGAAGGGCAGGGTATAAATAAAAAGTTTTATTATTATTATTATTATTAGTAGTATTGTGGCAATTCTTGCTGGTTAAAAAGTGGCTGTTCATCTCCAAAACAGCCCTCAGGGGTGGCTTCAAAACAGAGATAAGCCACTGACGTAGCGCTTACATTTTTTCCCATTAGACTAGACCAGACTAGACTAGACAAGAATAGAATAGAATAGAATAGAATAGAATAGAATAGAATAGAGGGTCCTGAGGGTCATCTAGCCCCACCCCCTTCAATTCTGGAATCTCAGCCAAAGCATCCATGACAGATGGCCATCTAACCTCTGCTTAAAAACCTCCAAGTCCACCATCATATCATCATATCATATATTATCATATCATACCTGCATTGTGGGGGGTTGGAATAGATGACCCTCGGGTTCCTTCCAGCTCTTAAGATTCTATAAATTACATATTTAGAAACAATAACCCAGGGGTAGGCAACCTAAGGCCCGGAGGCCAGATCACCTTCTAAATCCGGCCCGCGTACGGTCCGGGAATCAGCGTGTTTTTTACATGAGTACAATACGTGCTTTTATTTAAAACGTATCTCAGGGTTATTTGTGGGGCATAGGAATTCGTTCATATATTTTTTTCAAAATATAGTCCGGCCCCCCACAAGGTCTGAGGGACGGTGGACCGGCCCTCTGCTGAAAAAGGTAAATAGTAAATTGAAGGCGTTAATTTTACTAGAAAGATGATTTTGGAGAGCTGTTACAAGGTGATACATTGAAGTTCAGTTAGGCGGGATTCGAGGAAGTCAGTTAACAACGAAAGATAAATTGGGTTTAACAAGTAATATGTGTTTATATTTTTGTTTCTTTTTAGTACTGTAATGTGTTTTCTTTTTTTAAAAAAAAAATAATATTTATTAAAATTTCACAAGGAAAAAAAACCCACATTAATAAAGAAAAAATTAACAATAAAAAGAAAAAATACAAAGTAACAAAGGAAAAAACAATTAAAAACAATTTCATCTTTTCCTCACTTCTTTTACATTTACTTGTTTCTCGGACCTCCTCTTACCTCCCTCTTTTGTATTCTAATTAAATATGTTAGTCCAACAGTTCCTTTCCCTCCTTTTTAATCCTAATCTTTAATCTTGATATAATATAGCTTTAAATTTTAGATTTTACATATTAAAACCAATTTTTCCATATTCTTTTAGCCTGTACAGCTAGAAACCCCTTAACTTCAATCCAACATCATTCTAACATTCATTAATTTTGCAGTATTTCTGTAAATAGTCTTTGAATTTCTTCCAATCTTCTTCCACCGACTCTTCTCCCTGGTCACGGATTCTACCAGTCATTTCCGCCAATTCCATGTATTCCATCATTTTCATCTGCCATTCCTCCAGTGCGGGTAGATCTTGTGTCTTCCAATACTTTGCAATGAGTATTCTTGCTGCTGTTGTAGCATACATAAAGAAAGTTCTGTCCTTTTTTAACACCGATTGGCCGACTATGCCCGACTATGTAATGTGTTTTCTTTTGTGTGTTTTTTATGTTATATTTGTTATAAATGTGGAAATCAATTTTAAAAAATTGAATTTTTTTTTTGAAAAAGGTTGCTGACCCCTGCAATAACCTGTCCCTTCCCCCTTTCTTCGCATGCCCATTTTTGTCCTGCAGACACTTACGGAAAGCTCTGCCTCCTCAACTCCGTCGGCCAGGAGATGTCCCGCTGCAAGACGTCCCTCCGCCGGGGGCAGCCGAATCCCGTCTACAAAGAGACTTTCGTCTTCCAGGTTGCCTTGTTCCAGCTGTCGGACGTCACGCTGATGATCTCCGTCTACAACCGCCGCAGCATCAAGCGCAAGGAGATGATCGGCTGGCTCTCCATGGGGCAGAACAGTAGCGGGGAGGAAGAGCTGAGCCACTGGCAGGAGATGAAGGAATGCAAGGCTCAGCAGGTGTGCCGGTGGCACACTCTCCTGGAATCCTAAGGGGAAGAGCCTCCGAGGTCCCGGCATGGCGGTTGTCTCCTCCCGAGGCCCAGAGGGTTAGGCCAACCCTCCCCGGCGTCCCAAACATGAAGGACTGCCAAGTTCCTGTTATGAACTGGACTTCTGACGATTTTTACTAGTCACAGTTGTATTTGCACTCTTCCCCTCCTCAAATGATCTCTCAAAACGACAGCCACGCCATTGGCAAAGGCGGAGCAGGATTGGCACTCGGATCCGGCCCCTCAGAGAAGTAGGCCAGGGCTGATGAACCTTTTCCGCTCCCGGGGCCTCATTCTGCTCTCGGCAGCCTCCCGAGGGCCGCATGCGACTGTTGAGCAGGGCCAGAGGCAAAATTGGAGGGTGGGGGCAATGGGAGGCGAACGTTACATTTGTCCAGTAGGCTGAATTTCTAGACACCCACAGCACACAGTCCTTGTCCACACCAGCAAGAGACGTTTTTAGGGTTGAAAGGATGCGTTCCGGCCAGGGCATTGAGTTTTGAGGACCGGATTGCAAGGCCTGGGGGTCTGTGTTCATTCCCTGACAATCCCCGCTTCCAAACGAGGCTTTCTTTGTCTTTGGCGATGCCATCATGTAGCCAAATCTGATTGGTTGGCCAGTGGAAGAGGGTCTGTAAACAGCAGCAAGTTGTCATGCAAGAAGTATGCATTGAGGGTACAGTTTTTCTCTTCAAAACCCTCCCATCCCCTTTTTCCACGCCAAAAATGATGCTTGCTGGGGAACATTTGGCTCAACTCCAATTTGGTTATACGATGGCAGTCGCTGAGATGACATTTGGAAGAGGCTGCTTGGCAAATGGAAAGAATGAATGGTTCCGACGGGAATGTTTGGTGGAAGCCATGGAAGGGGGAAGACAGTATCTAGAAGGCTGGCCGTCAGCACTATAGTGTAGCATAGTCGGAGAAACTGGGCGTAAAAGCTGGCCTGACCATGATAGACCCTGCTCAAGTCTTCCTTTTTAATTTCTCAGCCTCCTCCAAGTGTGGCCCTTGCGTTTTCTAAACTGAGCATGGCCTATGTGCTTTTGCTGAGCCACCCCTCTACTCAGCCCAAGCAGCCACAGTCAATGATCAGAGATGATGGGATGGCAATCCAACGATAATAGGAGGGCCACAAATGCAGAATTCCCAGTATAAGCCCATGAGGGCTAGAAACTTTGTTTTAACAAGTTGAGGTACAAAGCTGTACACAGAAAACTTCTGGCAAAGCTTGGCTTGTGCACTCACAACATGGAGGGTGTTGTGGATGGTGCCATTTGTATGGTTTAGCTAATAGATGGAGTTCGTTGGATCTGAGTAGAGAGTCAGGAGTTCCCTCTCTGGGAGCAGAGACTGCAAAGATTTTGTCTAGCTTCTAGACCTGTGCATCCTCTACACCTCCCATGAAGAAAGGAGAATCATCTGAAAGAAGTGGGACCTGAATGTGCAGTACATTGGGTCAGGACTCAGTAGAGCACCAATTAAGTCCCCCCCCCCAAAAATGGCTGAAATCAATCCCAGCCTTGGGAACCAGGGCCCAGGAGAAACCAGCACAGACAAAAATGACCTCCTTTAAGCATCAGGGACCAGTAAGCGAAGCAAGCTCCTTCAGTGCATGGCCATCTTTTGGGGATGCTTTAGCTAGGATCCCTGCATTGTCGGGGTTGGACTAGATGACCCCTGGGTTCCCTTCCAACCCTTACAATTCTATGATTCTGTGACACAGCCGGTGGAGGGTCCCAAGCACCAGATACACTGTTGTCATAAAGCAAGCATGCATCTTACTTCGGAACGTAGGAGCCAACTCCTAGGGGCCAAGGGGGCTTTGGCCCCCCAATAAAATATTTGAGGGGGCCCCCAAATTTGGTGGGCATTGCCATTCAAATGCTTTGTATGCACCATGACATGTGATTGATTATGCGGGGCAGAGATTACCTCCCCCCCCCGTCCAGTATTTTATTCAAGTTGGCTGCCCTGCTTAGGAACAAATATAGGCAGGTTTTAGGGACTGATCAACCAAAACTCATGTTTTTGTTTTCCTTACCACCTTTTTATTTCAAAGGACTACGGGGGGATTGCAAGATTTGTCTGAAATTATGCAGATGATGTCATTGGTCTAACACTGCATATTACTCATCTATTCTTTTTTTAAACAACAACAACAACAACCTGGGGTTTTATTTTCTGTTCCCGAGACAAAACATTGTTTGCTGCAACTGCAGGCTTGGAAAGGGGTTGAGGGACGACAATGAGTTGAAGCAGGTGGGCCAACAGATCACCTTTGGGAGAGCTGTAGATCCCTGCCCCCACCCTTTAAACTTCCAAGTGCCTATAGGCTGTGATCAAACTTGGATATGTGCCAATAATAGCAATGGATCCAAAATGAGCAAAGAACTCCATCATTAGTTGGGGAGATGCAAAACCTTTCAGCAGCTCCCCACCCTCCACAATGTTCAAATGGTTGTGTGAGAATGTGATGCAGCAATTGATGGATGCCACAATTATAAGGAGGTGTCTTGTGTCGTCCGTCTTCAGACCTCTGTGTTTTCTTTCCTTGCCAAATCCACCATTGGGAATTCCAGAACCAGGGCTGGATCCCAAACTATTTTTATTGAGAGAGGGGCTTTGGCTGAAATCCATTCTGCAGCTCCTTAATTTCCGAGGCAAAAGGTCCAATTATTCATTTGGCAGCCTTTGCACACAGAGGTGGGCATTTCTGTGCAAAGGCTGAACACACACTCACTTGCAGCACAAAAACTTAACTTTTTTTCTGAATCCAGAATTGTTCCCACTCGTCCTCAACAGGCTCCTTTCAATGCAGATTGATTCTAGATCCTGCCATCCACAATGATGAGTGTGGTTACTTGAGAACCAATTGAAAACCCTCTGTTGCATAGGTTATCCACGCCTTTCCATCCCTGAACCTGCCCCAGGTGAACGAAGAAGGAAGTGGTGCTTACGATCTTGTGATATGGCTCTCACATATCATTGGGCAGGCTTGTATAGACACACCAACACACTGAAGGGACTGTCTATATAGGATTTCATCATTTTTTAAACGGACACACTTGCATAGTAATGCAGACTCAATTTGCCACGAGCTTTTCATGTTGAAACCTGTTTCTCCAAAAACGCTGTCCAGAGATCAGGAAAAATATGCAGTAGTTCTAGATTGCGTGTGGAAGAAGAAAACAAGTACTTGATCTCCATTGAGTCTAGAATAAAATGTTGTACAACGTGTTTATTTAGCATTTATCTCGGATTTGTTTGGACAGGCTTTCCAGGGAAGAAAGGGAGCGTTCATTCTGATTTGCTCGCTGGGAGGTTAGACGTAGTCATATCAGGAAATGTCACATGTATTTGCAGGCACGTGCCCCTGTGCAGCCACAAGAAGGGTGCACCGGGCCACTGGGGAGGAGCCCCAAGATCCAGCAAACAGCCTATGAGCCCCATAGCCCTGTCTGATGTGTGGGGTGAGTGCAGCAGAGGGTGGGATTTGGGGTGCTGCTTCCATGTCAGAGGTGGGGAACCTGCAGCCCATACATTTCAGCCTGCAAGGACATTTTACTCAAACCGTTCTCACCTGCCCTACACACCTGAGGCTGCGTTTGAGATCAGGCGTGGGGCAGGCAGAGACCTGGATGGATTGGCAAGTTCTCTGTGGGGGACACAATGCCTGCAGAAAGCAGCTTTGCCAGCCCTGTGACCAGCGATTGAAGAGGTGAGCTTAAGGCATCTTAAACTGGCTTGCAGCGTTGGGAAGAGATCACTGCAATTGAGAGCCAGTGTGGTGTAGTGGTTAAGAGCGGTAGTCTCGTAATCTGGAGAACCGGGTTTGCGTCTCCGCTCCTCCACATGCAGCTGCTGGGTGACCTTGGGCCAGTCACACTTCTCTGAAGTCTCTCAGCCCCACTCACCTCACAGAGTGTTTGTTGTGGGGGAGGAAGGGAAAGGAGAATGTTAGCCGCTTTGAGACTCCTGAAGGGGAGTGAAAGGCAGGATATCAAATCCAAACTCGTCTTCTTCTTCTACTGGAGCCAAAAATGTTCCCTGCCCTTGTCCTCAGTCAGTAGATGGCCGGCTCTGCGAGAGCGTTCACCCCCAAAGTCCCTTATGCAGTGTGCCTGTCCCTAAGCATGGCAGTGAAATGGGTGCATGAGCATGGGGTCAGTCAAAGGAGTCCCTTTTTAGACTTGCTAAATGCAGAAGCACAGTTCATCAGAGTAGCTGATCGATAAGAATTGGGATCAAAATCTTCAGGATAAATTAAGCACAGTTTATGGGCAATACCTAATTATTATTAATTTTTTTTGAAATCTATATAATTGTAGTTTTGTTCTTGCATCAGAATACCCTTGATTTAAATGTATGCATTGTTTTAGTTTTTACCGATAGAAACAAAATGTACACCTTGACCGTTTTCAGATACTTACTTTTGTGTGAGATGCATCTGAATGTGCAACATTAAACTTGCAACATTTCTCTTAACTGTCCCGTGCAAGTGTAGAGTGCTGTCTGCTTTACGGCAAACACACACACACACACACACACACACGCACAAAACTGCCCAAAGAGGTGATGGGATGCAGAAGGGATGGATCTTATTGATGCGGAGTTCAGAAACTACTTGCAATTGTTGATCCCAAGCAGCGAAATACTTCCTGTCTCCCTTTCCTGTGCAGTAAGAATTTCAAAGCAACAAAGCAAAGTTAAAGGGGGTTGCAGGAGGCGGTTTGTGGGTTTAACTTGTGGGTTCACAAATGTGGAGGTTGACAGGGCAAAGTACTACTCCCAAAGCAATATGAGCACTTTAAAAAACACCAATGCTCTCTTTCTCTCTCTTTTGCCAGTGAAATCCAGATCTGACTGTTCTTATCCACTCTGTTCACGCAAGCTGGTATTCAGTCCCACTCTGCTAGCTGGGTTGCAATCTGAAGTGCATTTAGGTAGAAAAAACTACAATTTGATTTCACTCCAGTTCCTTGGATAGCACAGCGGAGA